CTATACTAAGTATTTATTACAAATAAGTCCAGAAAAATTCAAATGAAAATGATGTATACTTTGCAAAATATCGAATTATATACAAAGTGCAATTATGGTAGTCGCCGCACCAAAATAAAATAACGTCATAATTATGATGGATACGCGGCGTCATAAACTTAAACGCTTCCCCTTAGTTTCATTAAAAATATTTGAGATTCACGAACACATTCACATATATTTCTCTTTTTAAAAGAATTATTGGCACCCATTGTAAACTCAGACTAGACATAATTTAGTTATCTGTCAAAATTCTTAGAACAGTACCATAAGAAAAACTTAAAGTTTCTCATATCGCTCTAACCGTCTAATCGTCTCTCTTTTTGGACAACGTCAGACACCATTTCAGGCACGTTTCCATCCGACTTCCCTTTTTCTGTCTTTCTGTCCTCTGCTAATCATTCACCTATGACCCGCTAAAAATGAAACCATCTATAAACAAGTCTCAAATTTACTTTCTATCCTCTGTGTGTCTGATTATCATTGTAACTGTTTCTATGGGCGATTTCCCCATTTTGAAGCAAAAACGCATTACAGATCGTTTCAGCGGTTTTTCTCCGTTTCGACATTTCTTTTGTTCAATCCAGCAGATTAAAACAACTATATTTATTATCAAAAAGCAATGATGCCATTTTATTTATAGACTAGAAAATTTCGTAAAATTTTGTCTTCTAAAATATTGGAAGATTAAACAGGTCGAGACCACTAGATTTTCTGACGTCAGAATAAATTTGCATGTAAATTAGCTAATATGTTTACTTTATACCTACTGCTGAATGAGCCGCAATGCATTGTGGGTTACTACAAGTGCCTAGCTGTGTCGAAAATTAAAGGCAACTTGAATTGTCCCTTGGAAACTTATTTTCAAATCTTTTTGAAATTTTTGAAAGAAATATTTAAAATGATGTATAATCTTTCATTTTTATGCTCACATTTACAAAATTTGCTTTATAAAACCTTATATCAACTTATAATACATTGGCCTAGTATACCATTGTTCAAAGAGACGTATAAGTGCTATCATGTCATAAAACATTGAGTTTTTTCACGTGATATACGTGTACATAGCTTTCGCAGGTGGTATATAGGTCCTTGTTTTTAGACAGCAGGAGAAAGTGTGCAATTATTATTTAACCCCTCAATATTATCAGAAAGTGTTTTATGTATATGCAAAAGTCAAGGCGTTTGTACGATATTCGAAGCAACTGTTATACATTATTATCAATGAAATTTTCAATCGCGTTGCACGCATGTAAGGATTAGACGGCTCAGAATTACGGTAAATTCTGAACCTGGTGTAGGGGTGATTTAAACCCAGCTTAATAACATTTCCATTGGTAAAATTTTGAAATATTTCGATGTTGCAGAAATGTTTTATGGTAATGATGATTGCATTGATAGATTTTGTAGTATTGAAAAAGCTACACTAAATGAAAAAAATTTATGGCCATATTGCATGGGGATTTTTCTTTTTGCACAAATCTTTAACAGCTGTTCAATGTGTTGTTTTAACACTGATGTAGCTGTAATATAAAGTTTTGGAAGATACTTTTAAAATACATAAATGTACATGAACAGGAATTTTATAGAAACTTTCTAACATACCAAATTTAAAATCAAATTACGAATTTTACGCTTTCGAACAGCTGATGATACACATTTCAATAATTTCTAGTCATGCCAAATCTAGAGATAAAAAGTCTTTCAGTTATCTGATTAATTAGGCTATCCACATGGCCGTAGAAACTTGGCCGGGGGAGGCATGCCCGTCCCTTATATGTTTGCCGCTTTATAAAATTCTCTCAGAAACATAGCTAATATGTATTTACTTAAAAATAATGTCTTATAATTTTCTTTAAATTTGATTTTAAACTAAAAATCTAAAAATATACATTGTTCCTTTATTTTTTACCTATATCTTGTGTTTTGGTATTGTTTCTAAATTACTTAAGTCCAAAGACCCCCATCCCTGTTTTCTTCTATTCAGTCTTTTGCAAAGCTTTATTCTGTTTGCGATTTCATATCTTCTTATGGTTTGAGTTTCTTGATGTCGTGATTTGAATTAAATTGGATTGTATTTTTCGGCATTTTTAATTTACAATTTAACATCAATATATATCTTTGTTTTTAAATATGCTAGTATCCTTATAATTTTCAACCACTTACTAGTATATAAAACTTGTTTTGAAGTGCATAATATTAGGAAACCTATTATCCTCCAACATTTTAAATTAAACTTAAACCTTTCAGTTTTACAGCGTGCAAATATTTCACTGGGGATTACGTGATACAACATGCACTGAGCTGAAAAGATCTGAGCCATAGATTTGCAACCGGCCATTCATCATCTAAAACAACTCCAATAATAAATGTGAGCATGGAACAGTGTCTTCACAATATAATCTTTCAATTTCGGTCTAATAAAGTTATAAAGAAGCTCTACAGTTTTTCCGGTGACGAGTTAAATTTTGTGTGAATCGTAAACACGTGGTGGACTGTTATGCTTTGGGAATCAATCTTTTACTTGATTGGAGAACGGGCGTGACGAAGACATCGTCACTTGTTGAAAATTGCCTTCCAAATAAGGTAGTGGTCTCAACCTGTTAAATGTTTGTTTTAGATGCTTTGTGTTTGTTTTTTTTTTATTCTTATATTTTACAATTCAAAATGTGATGTTTAGTTTTGACGCGGCGACACCCCTTAAGTTTAATATTTTAAACGTCTATAAAATTGATTCAAGTAAACATTATTAAATAAAATTTTCAATTTTGATTAGATTTACTTTTAGGCATCTTTTGATATATTATATTTGATAATTTGTCGCCAAATATTAAAGATATTGACACAGTGACATTACTTTTGGATCAACCCTCGTATAAGTAATACAACATCGATTTTATTTATTCATTATTTAATAATTATTGGAGCATACTTCTGCTATAATTGCTCGAAATAAAATGAATAAGAATTAAAATTATTAAAATTTATGTATTCTATTTGATGTTATTTTCTCTTTATGTCTTTATTCATCCAAGTCTATAAGACTTATCAGCAAATTATGTTTGAATTCAGAATTAAAAAGAAAAAAAACATTGGAAATAAATTCATAAATTGTTCCAAAAAATTAAACTTAAACTTCTTGAAATATTTCACGATTACACAATGGAAAAGATAGGAATTTCTTGAGCTCAATTTCAGCCACATTTTGGCGGTTGCAAAATTTGTGTGGAGGAAAAATTAAATCTCTCTATTTTTAAAAATACATATATAAATAAAAGTTCTCAATTTGCATTGCTTGTATTTTGATTTTTCTAAATTTTTCATAACTGAAATTTCTTCATGTGTAATTTCTTCTTGCAGATACAATAACTCGATTTTTCTGATAGTAATAAGATAATACGAAACAAAAGTAGAAGCTGTTTTAGAATACTCAGTATATAAAGCAACATTCGACTCCTTACTTCCCTATTCTAGAGCATGTGTTTAAAGCTAAATTAACATTCCAATATTTCAAAAATGAAACACTCCCGCATGCATTCAATACTTAAGATAAAACAACCAACAGTATTCAAGATCAAAAATCCCTAAGACAAGACAAAATAGAAGCAGAGCAAACAGGGACTTCCAAAACAGAGTTGGAATCTGGTGCCATGGAGGAGTAAGCATCTCCTGCCGACCGGTCACACCAGCCGTGTGCTCCTTGTCATGATTGGGAAATAACGGAAAATCCATCTTCAATTTAGTGTATAAATGATGGAATAACAATTAGTATGAAAAACGTCAGGCAGCATCCGACTCAATAATAACTTGTATTTGCTGACAAGGGGTTATTGTATCGACCATAGAAATTATGAAATTATGATTTCAAACGAGACTGATTATATTTTTGTTTAATCAACTTGTTTGCCAATACCTTACATCGTTTAAGAAATTGTTCATACGTAGGACATGCTCTTGTGTATCGAATCAGCTAAGATAGTTGTCGGACTTTATCTGACTTTTATACAATTTGAAATATTAAGATTTTACCAAAATCAACAGCTTAAAAACTTTTTAACTTTATATACAACCATTCCCCATGATAAATTAAAGTCCAGGTGTTTTGATATCATTGACAGCTGCTTTTTCAATAAAAATGGAACTTTTAAAATTTACTTAAAAGGACTTCTGAGTACTTTTATGAACAACCAGATCTTTTTTTTTTATACTATTGCAAATGACCAATAACACGGTAAGTAAATTAACGAGTTCCATGTTTATTGAAAAAGCAGCTGTCAATGATATCAATAAACCTAGGCATTAATTTATCGTGAGGAATTGTTGTGCATAAACTGAAAAGTAGTGTTTTAAGCTGTTGATTTTGTAAAATCTTTTAATTTCAAATTGTCCAAAAGTTCCTTGGAATTTTTAAGTATCCACATCTTATTTACACCACTTTTTGAAAAAAATATATTTATACCCCTGTTTGAAAAGTGGGAGGGAGCTCATTGCTCACAGTTCCTCTAGTATTGCATAGTGCTATTAAAATTTCTCCTTCACTACTGTTAATATCATTGAATGGAATTACAGAAATTTTCTCTAACACTCTATGTATCTTTGTTTGTAGGGATTTATATAGAGTTGCAGAATCCAATATAGATATGGTAGTTCAATTCATTTTGGTTATTTGAGATTTTAAAGTGAAAGTTGTTGTTAACATTTAATGTTTTAAAAAGCTCTAAATATACTTAAGCTATGTAGATGCTTTATAGATACAATTAGATATATCATATCTTTTGCAACAGAGATGCCAATTACACAATTTCAAGGTCTTTTTGTCATATTCACTGTAAAAGGCTATGATATTCACTTTTCTAATATAGTTTTCTGAAATTACAAAAAAAAAAAACTTTGAAAAAGACGGGAAGTATTTAACTTCATAACTCCATGTAATTCAGTACATTCATTTATTTTTTTTGCAGAATAAGAGTACAAAGTGTTTTTTAGTCGTGGGAATTGTTTAATTTTCAAACTTCAATATATTGTGCTAGGCAATAACCGACTTCATCGTATTCATTTGCACCATCATTGGAATAGCATGTTGATTTCACATTGACATTTGCCCTACAAATTTAAATCACCACTAAGCAGATACTAGTGCAAAACCGAAATACAATGAACATCTTGGAACAAACATCGAAATCGTATGGAAACATTACCTTTTCTGTATGAAAATGTTACCATCTTGTGCTATTCCTACGAAGAAAAAATAATTCAATTAAACTAGCATATCAAACTTTCAAAGTCAAAAAGATAAACAAAATACAATAACTTTCAGTTTTACCAATTACAAAAAATGATACATACTACAGCATTTTCTCATTAAACAAACATAAAAAATGGCTGACACAATGCAAACTATCATCGGGATTGAACAAAGGGACGTCAAGAAGTAGATCCTACAAAAATCTAAACAAAAAATATTAATTTTGATTCAATGATACCAAAGTTGTTTTATCACAAATAAAGTTATTAAAGGATACTCCAAATATTATGCTACGTTAAGGTATGTCACTCGTCAGCTTTTTAGAAAAGTTCACGCAGAACCTCTTACTTCAAAACTATATATTAAAGTCCATTTTTATAGCAGATTCAATTTCATTAATATTAATGTTTTTACATTCGACGAAAAGACTGCTCAAAAAGCTACAAAGAAGCAAGCTTTTGAGGGACAATTTCTTATGGTGGAAGGATATTTAGCAGATAATTCTGGAAATCTGTATATTTATTAAATCTAATATCTTGGTACTTTAGCCTCACATACTTTTACTCGGAGAATATTTTCCATTATGATATTGCTAGGAATATTTAATATAGTGCAAAATTCCGAAATTCAAGGAACATCTTTGTCATACACAATGAAATCGTATATAGATTAAACCAACACTATCTAATATATTTATGGACAAATATGGAGTAAATACACAAATTATTCTAATTTAATAGACAAATTTCATTGTCTGGTGTAAGAAGAAAAAAAAGTTCAACCAAAATTATTTGCATATATTAACTTTCAAAATCCACGGAAAAGTAAACAAAATAAATGAAAACTTAATAGTTTTATTTATACCAAATTTTGGTGTTTACAAAAAATATAAATTTTATAACGTTTTATATACATTAAACAAACTTTTTAAAAAATGGCTGACACGTTGGCACAACGGCGCACTGGAATATGATCAAGTGATTGGATCCTGAACTCACTCTTACAAAAATCATAAATGACAAAAAATATTAATTGATTAAAATGACTAAAACGGTTGTTTTATGTATATATGTGAATAACAGTAACTAAAATAAAAAAGAGGGCTAAGAAATGGGCAAGAGTTCCATTGTGCAACTCCATTAGCGAAAACAGACGAAAAGTCCATGGAAATAAAGCATTTTCAATTTTTTATTAATTCATACCTGTACATGCATATACTTTGTTTACATATTTTAATGTTTGACCATATCATAGTAATTAAGGTATTTCACATCTATAACTATAACCGTTTCGTTTAATTTGGGAATTTGATTCTGATAATTAAAATATTTTCTCCAAAAATTTGAACCGTTGACATTTGTATTTTTTGACGTTGCAGATTGCTCCGGGTGTTAGAGAACGATATCACTTTAAATCTAATAACTCAAAAAGTTTTCAAGTAAACCTGATAAAACTTCATTATTTATCTGCCAAGAACATGCTTCATCCACCCTGAAAATTTCATAAAGATACATTAATTTCTTTAAAAGATATATTGTCTACGACATTTTGGGACAACCCTCGTAGGTCTTCATTTATATTTTAAAACAAGTTTTACACCTTACTTTAATAAACATTGCAAAAAAGTGAAGATATATCAAATAAGTTAAATTAATAAAATTTTTACACCATTTTTTGCCCGATAATCATATATTTTGACCAAGATTTCAAAATTAACATCACTGACCCCAACTTTTTCTTTTGATACTTGTGACTGATCGGCATTTAAGCTGTAAAAAGCTTGATTTAAGAAAAATGTTTTATTGTCTATTTAGTTTTTAATACCCTAAATAAGTAACTTTTAAGTGCAAAAAGATCACACAATAATTTATGCGAATTTACTTGCAAGATTTGTTTATTGAAAAATAATATTCAAAATATTTTACGTAAAATAAAATTATATTTATTGCCATGGCAATATATGATAAAATATTATATATGTTATAGTAATTCACCAAAAAGATAAAATCTAAGTGCAAAAAAGGTCAACTTAATGTACCGTAGATTAATAAGATGAACACTGAACCCTTATTTTCTCTGCGATTTTGAGTCACTCTATATGAGCACTTATCCAAAATATACTTCTCAAAAAATGCTTGATTTAACAAATTTCATTGTGTGACATGCCCTAAGTTAGTACATACTTGTAAGTAAATTCTTCAATGCAAATCAGTGTCAATCGTCTCTTTGTTAGAACATTCTAATCGTGTTTTTTCATTCATATGAATTAAACTCCTTTCATGTAAACCTAGCATTTTTCGCTTGAATCATACCTGTACTGAAAAGTTCATTTCCAGAGTCAGGAAGCAATGTTGTACTACTGGCAGTGCCTACAATGCCTATATTGTATAAAAGGATTAATATGAGAAATTACCGTGAACGTTTTTTTAATATAGAAAATTCGATAAGAGATCATGTTTTTTCATTCAAATGAATTTAAATCCTTTTATGTAAACCTTGCATTTTTCGCTTAAAACATACCTGTACTGAAAATTTCATTTCCAGAGTCAGGAAGGAGAGTTGTACTACTGGCAATGCCTTTATTTAAGTATAAAAAGGTTTATTATGAGAAATTACCGCGAACATTTTTCTTATATAGAAACTTCGATTGCAATAAGAGATCTTTTTATTTTTTTTTTAAAACCCGATTTCAAGAGTAATTGAATTGTAATTAAGGACATTCAACACAGTGGAAAGTTTGGTGGTACGACTCCAGATGAGTTCATTATACCATTTTTGAAGTTTATATATACACCTGGTTATATTTATGTACACGTAAGAATTGAAAATTTTTTCTTGACATCACCCTTTTTTTGGAACCAAGCTACAGTCAGAAAAGTTTTAAGAAGTCATCCGCAGATTCTGATTGGCATACTGGAATTTTAGCAAATATAAAATATCATTAAGTTGTATTTTGGCTGACATAATTCATATAAATTGTATGACCTTTGTTTTGATTTTTTAAAATCTGATTTTGACAACAGAATGTTCTTTCTATCCTATCAATTTAAAGAGCTCACGGTGGATATGAACAGTCCACAGGTAACACTTTCTCTTTATAGCCGCCTGTTCCCACCTTTGAAATTTCGAGGGGTCAGTGTTTTTGGCTCTCTTTGCAGATTTGTATAATTTATAGATTCTCTGACATCAATCACCGTTCGTAATATTCATCTCTTTTTATTCAAATAAAATATTTTGAGCACTTTTTTTTTCAAAGAGCAATATATGATAAGTGTATCAAATTGCCTCTTAAAATAAATATCTAGATTTTACTTTATATATATAGCTTTAATTTGTACAGCAATACATGCGACCTTTATTGGTCATTTCAATTTGATCAAAATATCGTTATTTTAGAAATATGACATCATAAAGTTTACGTTTTCCCGCCATGTTTTGTATAAAACTGCTTATTTTCAACAATTTTTCTTCCAGGAAATATACAGCGCAGCCTAGAACAAAATTTATATTTTTACAAAAGATTTATCCAATACTAATAAGTGACAGAAAAATTATGTATGTTCTACACTGCACTCTATGCTTTCCATAAAAAACATCAAGAAAAAGGCATAATTTTGGCTTTTATGTTAGATAGCAAAATAACATTACTTCTCATGTCATTTGCAGGCAGTGATTGCATATAAATGTGAAATATATATTGGAAATATTTCTAATATGATCTTTTCTACAAAATAAATATTAATTAAAAATATTTGAATATCATTCTAAAATGTTGGTTTTTAGGGGGCCAGAATTTGCTCTTATAATATATAGTCCTTTAGCATTACTGATTATCTTTATTTTTTTGTAACACGATCTCAAATTGTCGCTCTCTTGAAGTGGAGACCAGTAATTCGGATGATTCCTTATAAACTGAGCTTCCGCGTCGCTGAAGGTGCTGGCACGAAAAAGTTCCTTCATTGATCAATAGCCCTAAGTGCCAAGTAAAGGACAAATGCAACTCCCTACCGGCAAGTGGCGGCGTCTCCATATGAGTGAAAAATTCTAGAGAGGGATGTTCCACAAACAAAACTAATCTCAAATTGTATTTGGAAATAAAGATTTCGTTTTTTTTAAATACTTACGGTAGTCTTCTTGTTCGGACTCGAATGATGTTGATGTAGGCTTTGTTGACGTTGACAGAGAATCTAAATCATTATAACGTCGTGTGTAGGTGGTATGTTATGTGATATAGATAGACATATATTTATCTGTATAAATTCACATATGACATTAAAGGTCTAAATCCATCACTTAGGCCTTTCAACTAATTTTTCAAGTTGCACATATGGTTAAAAACATTGTATAGATAGATTTATAGGTACATGAAATTATCAAAAAAGATAATAACTTATGCATACTTTTAATTACATCATTAAAAGGTTTAATCATTTATAATTGACTTTTCCGATGTTGTGTTTAAGGACAGGTAACTCAGGTGTGAAAAATGACCAACTTAGTGCTGATTTATGAGTTATCGTTAATAGGAATGACATATAGGCTGCTTCAGCATTGGCATTGTTATATACACAAAAGGGTTCCTTACATTGTTTTGTACACAAAAAGTTTTGACCAAGAGAAAGAGAATGCCTTCACTCTACCTGAAATAACAGGGTCAAATGAATGGGGAACAGACTATATTCAATAGTTTTAACTCTCTTTGACGATTATTTTGAAGAAGAAAATTTAATGTCATGTTTTTGTGTTCGCGCTTTTTCGCTTCCTGTGTAAATATATATATTTTTACAAGTAAATGCAACAATTGATAATCTTATTTGTGTTACTTGATATATATGATTTCACTTTTTATTTTAATTAAAACTTTTAATTATATGCAGTAAAGTCCGCAACTATACAGTAAATAAGTTTAACAATGCTAAATTTTAAAACCACTGGATTCTACTGAGAGCAAAGAAACACTTGGGAAATGCTAAAAACTGCCTTACTTGTAAACAGTTAGATACCCGGCTCTAAACAAGTTTCAGCAGTGAGTTATCGTTCATAACATCGACCTCTGGCGGCAGTTGAAAGGCCTACATCACTGTTAACTGATTCGATAAAATTAAAAAGAAAACAACTTACCATGATCTGAAATTGTCACTTTTTTAGTTGACGAAGGTGTAATCATACAGTCTGTTTCAAAATAAAATTATTTATTATCATACGCAAGAGCATGCTCTACGTATGAACAATTTCTTAAACGAGGTAAATTATTGACAAGCAAGTTGATGAAACAAGACTATCAGCAGTCTCGTTTAAAGGCATCATTTAGTAAGTTCTATGGTTCGATACAATGACCTTGTCAGCATATACAGTTTAATATTGATTTAAATGCTGAATTACCTTTTTCATACCAATTGTTAGTCCATTGTTTATACACTGAATTGACGACGGAAATAATGACAACGAGCACAGTGAAGGGGATGCTTCCTTGGCACCTGATCCCACCTCTGATGTTTCGGAGGTCCGTGTTTGCTCTGCTCTTATTTTGTATATTGTTTAATGGACTTTGAGATTGAATACTGTTCGTTATCTCCATATCTTTCTTGATCAAATAAAGCTCCAATCAAAACTCTAATTGATATACATATCAATATCAGTACTTTGAGATTGATGTAATGTTTTATTGTGTAACTATTCATTATGCATTGCAGTAAATCTTTAAATTTTCTGCTTTTTTAAAAATAGAAACTCAGTTTATAGTCAGTTTTAAAACTCTTTTTTGTTCTCTGCACAAAATATATTTCCGATAAAAATCGACAAAAAATAATCAAAGTAAATTTAATCTTACGAAAAATATCATGGATATCTAATTTTTCTCACATCAAAATGTTAAACTTAATGGTACTATCGGCAGCAAAAAAAGAGAATGAATCTTTTTTTGCATCTCGTATTTGAATTTGACGTCAAAGAACTTTACTTTCAAATTACCTTTCAAAAGAGAGGAATATAATTAATTACTTAATTCTAGAAGGACATACCCTTATGGATTGTGACATTTTTCTCTTCCCGAAGATGTGTAACTCGACTTCTCTGTTTGTCTAGAGGTACCCATTTTATTATGTAAGTATGAGTCGGTTCTGCATCATTAAATATGAAGCTATGGGCAGTTGTTTCAAGGCTGAATAAAAATTTCGCGTCAAATTCATTCTGTACTACTACTTGGAATCGAAAGTAATGACTTAAGCTCCAGTGCATATGGATTTCACATCCAACTGAAACGACGCTGATATCATAAAATGCTTCAGATGCCGCACCTACAGCTAAAAGATAAATTCAAAACATTTAGCAATAAATCACGCATTTATGCATAATTAGATTTAACAACTTTGACATACGTGTTATTGCAGCGAAGTATATCAAACTCCAGAACATTTTTCATAATACATGTACATCAGATTGCCTGATTAATTTATATATAAAACACGATAAATGATTGGTTACATTTAACAATAGGGTGTGGATATATAGTTTCTTATTAGCATAAATTTATGCATATCCAAAATATGTAGTTCAATTAAATATTGCAAGTATTTATGTTTTTTGATTTTACAAACAATTTTTTATCAATCATTGTTTGCAAAGATTGATTTGACATAAACAAATACCCCTTTTGGCAAATAAGAGTTCTTAAGAAGAAATCATAATTTATATTCTCTTTTCTGGGAAAAAAATCTTTTTTATACAGAAAAATAGAGATTAATGAGTTTTTAAGTTATCAGTTAATGCAAAAAGGATCTTCCTGGTTCAAAAACTAAAGTTACCAAGGATATAATGCAGCATGTTGAATAAATATTTTACAATGTTTTTTTTGTGAATAGTACATTTGTATATTATGATTTCTTCTTGTCAATTTGCCTTCAATTTTTTGTGTTTAATTCAAAAAAGGATTTTCTTTTAAAAATCGCAAATGGTAAAATATTATTTACATCAAAAATAAAACATTACTTAAATTTATTTATTTAAAAATCAAAATTATTTTATGTTGCCTTTTTTTTGAAATACATGTATCTTTTCTTTCACTAAGTTTGGTACAAAATAGTTTTAGAACCCCGACCCCCTTCCGTTTTCAAGCAATGCAATTGGTTTCTTTACATAAACAATCCAATTTTAAAGTTATAACCAGTTCATTAGAATCCTTTGATTGTTTTAAGAATATATTTGAGGTCGGGGATATATGCATGACCAGAACAACTGGACATTGATATATTGTAATACTGTACTTGCACATCCGCGTACATTGCATTTAGCAAACGACAAGAAAATAGGAAAAATATTTACATGTATGAAAATTTGCTTCCATTTCACAGTATGAGACTACCACAAGTCGATCCATTCAGAGGTATGTGCTTGTAGAGTCGTGATAATCATATTGCACGGATGTGTCTGCAACACCCAGTCACCTAGAGACAGTTTTTTGAGAAGCTTGGGACAAGGATCAACCAACCAACATATAATAATCTATACAACCCATCAGAATGCAAAATTATACCACGTTTCTGCTTTATTTCTGAAAATCGGATGCTTTTATTCTTTTGAATGTCCGTATATATGATATGAAAACAAACAGCGCAATAAAAGGAGAGAAACCTAAAAACTAAAAATTTTTTTTAAAAAGTCTACAGATTAAAGAAATCTTTCAGTACAGTTTTGGTTAACTTAATTATTTATTGAAAGTTTGGAGCTAACAATTAATAGGAGCTACAGATTTCTCCGTATGCTCACTCCTCCATGATACCTGATCACTCTTCATTTTTTTTAAGTCCGTGTTCGCTCTGCTCCCGATTTGTATTATATAGTATCGACCTTGAATACTGTCTGTTATCTCCCTTTCATTCAAGCTGAAAAGTCCTTTTAAACAAAACAAATCATAGGCAGGGCAAACAAGGACCTCCAAAAGTCAGAATTGTTAAGGTGCCACGTAGCAGTAAGGATCTCCTGCAGACCGAGCATGCACAACGTATGCTTCTTGTCATGACTAAGGCAAAAAGTAGGCAATGGTCTAACAATTTGTATGAAAAACGTAAGTCTGCTGATGACTAAATGATAGGTTGTGTTTTGCTGCGAAAGTCGTTGTATCGACTATAGAACTTACAAAATGATGAATGCTAACGAGACTGTTGATATTCTTGATGTCAATGACTTGTCTCTTCTTAGAAATTGTTTATAGGTAGAACATGCTCTTGCGTATCGATTCAACTGAGAGATATAAACTCCGTATTAAGTTGATATAATAATATAATGCTAAATAAGAAGTTAAAAAAAAAGATGGTCATATTTTAATCATGAAGCTTTGTTGTTAGTTTACCATGAACGTCTTCTACTAAAATATTCAAACTTAAAAAATGTGTTAGATTTAGTGGAACATTCTGACTGTATTAACAAAATAATAATTATTATATACGAGTACAATTGACTGATGCTAATATATGTAATTTTACGATATGCATATTTATATATAATGTCAATGATGTCAAAAAAGTCTGGACTTTAATTTATATTGGGAATCGGTTATTTAAAGTGTTTATAACTCGTTTTTAATATCTATTGATTTGGTAATAAAAGCTGCTTTCAAATTTTTAAAAAAGTTTCTCTAAATTCTTCAGTATACAAATCTGACTTACATCCATTTTTCGAATATATTGTTGCACAGCACCTATGAAGTTTCTAATTCATTTTGTTAATATTTAAATGAGAAGTAAAAAAGGGCTTTTTCGATCTTTTAGTCGAACTTGCTATTTATTTTCTTAACGAATAGAATTTTTATAATTTAAAAATACTTGTTATTCCCCCCCCTCCCTGAAAACAGGAGGATTTGTTGATGCGGATTTCCGTCGGTCCATACGTGACGCTTTGGGAGACCCATCTCTTATCCTCAACTCCTCTTATACCACTGAATGAAATTTAATGAGACTTTCAATGATTCTTTTTTGCCTATTGCCATTGTTGCCTCCTATTTTAGTTTTTTTTATATGACACATATTTTGGGTTTCCTTTAGCAAAACACAGAAATTGTTCTTCATTCTATTATATTGAAGGGTAGCAATATTTAATCCACCCACAATTTCTCCTATACTACTAAATAAATTCAATGATACGTTTGCAAATTCTTTATTACATAGACCAATATACCATTTCAATCTGAACTTTATTTCTGATCTGTCATAGCAAAACATGGACTGCAAATGTCATTATACGACTCGTAATCACATTGGGGGGTCATTTTGTGAGCTCATTGCTTACAGTACATCCAGAATCCTTGAAAAAATGGGCAACATCTGCAGCAAGTTTAAGTTTTACTAACATGTATTTCAAACCAATAGTTATCTTTCTTTCTTCATGTTTTAATGGGATATATACGTATATGGAAAAAGCTCCAATTGGCAGACATACAAGAGTTATTTTATCTTCGAATTCAAAATAATTTCAACCTGTTAAACTGGTTTTCATTTCAATATTTTACTTTCTAATAGTAAGTAAAATATCTATATATTTTTGATTTATAGTTATGAAGCTCTGCCGGATTTATATTGTATGTTGAGCTATTTTGGAAAAAAGATACGTGATATCTGTAGTGTATTTGTAGTTTGCTTTTAATTTTAGTCTTTTGGATTTGTTCAGTAATAATTCTAAAAAAATAATCAGTAGATTACGGCGTAAATCAAGATATGTTTATAAGAGCTGTACATACACTTAGTTTCTTCCTTTATTCGAACGCAAATGTATAGCAAATGCTAAGAACTACATTGTATTTAAGGTCAAGATCTCGAAAATGAAAATTACCTAGAGCTATTTCAAAATTTGAGACACAAATTCTTTTGATAATTTGTTTCAATTAACTTACTGAATTAAGCCTTAATTTTTTTAGATATTTCTACGTTATACACTTTAATATTAATATCGTCGCCCACGTGGCGCAGTGCTTAGAGCATCTGCTCTAGAGTTAGGAAGTAAGGGGTTGACCTTTACGTCGCGGGTTCGAATCCCATTGTAAGACGGGACCTTCGAATGAGACGTTTAAACCATCTCATATCGCTTTAGCTGTCACTATAAAGATCCTTGATTGCTCAATGACCATTAATGCCCAGTATTTGAAAGTGACGATAAACATTACAAACAAATCGATAATCGCAGATATAGAAAAGCATGGCAAATGTAAATATTGCATTCAGTATATTGTATTGATTAAATCGAATTCTTTCAATTTTTTATGATCATAAACCTCAACATTTTAGATTTTTATCATGAAATGCTTAACTTTTTTCTTTTTTGCACACCGCATAGCGTTAAATCGATATAATGTCTGTTTGTTCTGCATCGGTAATCCTTCGTTTTCATGTATAGTATGTTGGGATTATTGAGTCTGCAGATTTTATTTTTTAGCTGTTTTTTCCGTAATTTAGTATCTTTTTGCAAAATTAATTTTTCATCAACATCTAATTAACCGTTTTCCATAGCGATCCTACGAAAGCCCAGAAGGCTCATTCGAGATTCGAGTTTCCAAATACGAGATTCGAAATTCGAGATTCAAAATTCGAAATTCGAGATTCAAAATTCGAGTTTCGAGATTCAAGATCCAAACGAACCAATCAAAAGCGGGTTCAACATTTGATTATTTCCCTTTATTATGTTTTTACTATCAAGAAATAGTTCAATATAATTATATCAAATGGGCCATTTGATTAAATTACAATGCAAGAAAAAGTGTTATATATATTAGAGGGAAATTTAAATAATTAATGGAATTTTGATCAGCAAAAAATATTTTTATTTATATTATAGATTCTTAAATATTAAATAGATTTCATATATCAGGAGTATATATATTTTTGAATTGTCTACTAATCTTAAATTTTATGCATTTCCTGTGTTAGGAAAACCACAGGTACTCGTGAAAGGTACCACCCCCCCCCCCCCCCTCGATATTCAACCCTAGGGCTTATTGGAAATTTTTTTCACAAGTTTTATTTATTAAACTTATTCATCATGTATACAATAACAAAAAATTGTAAAATCAGCAGAATAATCGCTCAACACCCCCCCCCCAAACTCCAGTCTGTTTACGTTGTACCCCCACTGGTGTTAAATGCATTTATTTTGTTTTAACTTTATATGTCGATTCACTGTTTCTACATATACAATGTATTTCCAGGGGCGGATCCAGGAATTGAAGTTAGGGGGGCGCCAGATTCAGGCAGGGGGTCTGGGGGCCGCCTTGAGGCCCCCAGTGGGTCCAGGGCAAAGCCCTGGTGGGGGCCAAGGGGGCGAAGGTTCCGGAAGCTCTTGGATTCTAGAGGTTTTGTAGGGTAAAAATGAGGTCTTCCGAGTAGACATTTAAAACATTTTCTCGACAAACTATGTTTTATGCTAACTTGGACAATTTTAAGGGGGCGCCCCCCCCCCTTATATCTGCCACTGATTTCTGTCTTAGTCCATGCTATCGGACTGACTCTGCATCACGTAATAATCCCATATTTTTTCCGTAAACAGCTTTCTTTCTTGTAAAGTGGGGTAATAAATAGTGTTTTTTTGTTTTGTTTTTTTGGTTGAGCGATTATTCTGGGGGTTTTACGCCAGCGATTTTTTTCGTATTGTAAGGCTACACATAACAGAGAAATAAGCCCCGGAGTTCAATATCAAGGGGGGGGGGGGTCTTGTCCACACGTACCTGTGTTTTTCTAAAAATTAAGACAAGAAACATGTATTGACGTAAGCGTCAAAAATCGGCCGCGAACCAATTAATGTTCCTTCTATGAAGCAACTAAAGACTATGGTGGTCTGTTTTTAAAATATCTTATATTTATCTTTTAATATATATCCTCGTGATATTAAAAGCTTGTGCTCTACATTGCATGATTTTCTTAATTATATAATGCATGTTCAGTATTAACCCCTGGTACTCTGCGTCAACAACTTTTGAACTGTGGGCCTGTATGGCATTTACATTAAAAGTTTAAAACTAAAATTAAATGTAATCTACAAGTAGATATGCAGTGTAGTTTAATTTAATAAAAATGCAGCAAATATGTTGGTATCCTTGCTCTCTCTTAGAGGAAAAAACTAAACTCCCTCTAGATCCGCCACTTCATTTCTTCTCTATGAGTTGTAGCGGGAAAATTCTTGGCACATTGTAAAACGTGCATTATCCTCGTCTGCTAAGGGCCAAATCTTGTAATATTTTGTAGCCTGCTAAGTCTTTTAATGAATTTACATTTAACCATATTTTTCAAAATGTTTATATGTGTACATATGTACACGTCATTTTAAAATAAATACGTACAACAAATCCCGTTTGAATAGAGAAAGTAAAATTGTGTAATATACATAACGCGGTTTTGATTTAGACTACGCCCAGCACATGTCTTAATTTTCTCCGCACTTCAAACATATCTAAATTTCTAAGTCAGTATTGGATGAATTATTTACCTCATTCTTCATAAGAATTTTTAATTTTATGTTTATTGTGCGTTTTTCTTTAACCTTAAGACCGTCTTTTTAATATACTATTATATTAATGTTAAATAATTTTTATTTAAATTGTTTTAACTCCGCAGAAACGCACAGCGACTTCGAACTTTCATATCATATATCCGACCATCTCCTGGCGGCCGGTAATTTGTCATCAATACAAAAATATAATTATATACTCCTGATATATGTAATCTATTTAATATTTAAGAATCTATAATATAAATTGAAATATTCATTGCGGATCAAAAATCCATTAATTATTTAAATTTCCCTTAAATATATATAACACTTTTTCTTGCATTGAAATTTAATGAAATGACCCATTTGATATAATTATATTGAATTATTTCTTGATAGTAAAAACATAATAAAGGGAAATAATCAAATGTTGAACCCGCTTTTGATTGGTTCGTTTGGATCTTTCTCGAAACTCGAATTTTGAATCTCGAATTTCGAATCTCGTATTTGGAAACTCGAATCTCGAATGAGCCTTCTGGGCTTTCGTACGATCCCTATCTTCAGTGACTCTAAAAAACGACACTGCGCAGGTGTCTAGTGCGCAGGTAGGAACTCAGGAAGGTAGATCGATTAGGAAGATCATCATAATAACTTGTGAGCATATATTTCTATAATGTTATACTAAAAATAATTTGTTGATATTAATGGTATTTCGATAAAAGTGGACTATTTAAATTTATCTCTTATGAAAATGGCTTTTGCAGAAACACTAGAAAGGTTCAATATATTCATTAAATTCCTCTCTATCTCTTTTCTTCGAATCAATATTGAAAGTTATTTCTTTCATTTTTGATTTCTTATTAGAAATATAAAAGCATTTCAAAAGATTTTTTCATTGATAATAAGTCTTTTTATAGCAGTGTTTTATTTTAGTAAACAACAATAGACTGTATTTTAAGTGTATGAATTTATTTTAAATTAAATATGATATGTAAAAAAAGCTTTGTCTGGCATGTTGCCAGATTAACAAAAGACATTTGATAGCATACCAATATCAATGTACAAAAACGGTAGGCTTTTGAAATGGTCTCTCTCAAGGTCGCTCAAAAGATAAAATTACACAAAAGAAAAGTTAGTGATAAATTACTAGTAAATAAATTAGCGTTTGGAAATTTCATTGATGCATCTGTAAGAATAATTATTCAAATAAAGAATTTATATTAAAATTAAGACCTCGACTCAAGCTTCATAACGGGATCTTTTTTAGCACATTTTAAAGCGTACCGACCCTCTGATAAGAGAGATAATTAACTTTTAAAGTACAATTGAATATATTAAAAATACCATGAAGAACCTTAAAAACAAGTTTTGGATTGATGTCTTTGAGGCTTGGATTGAATTAAACAATAAACACTATAATGTATGTAAGGTTGCAGGAGACATACCAATTTTTTATAATCCTAAAATTGTCATTGGTGGGAAAGTCATTTATAACAAACATATGTATGACTTGAATATTAGGTTTATTAATGATCTTATAGATGAAAATGGTTCCTGTTATAGTTATAAAGAATTTTGTGGCATATATCCAAATGTAAGGCTTGAATTTGCAGGTATAATACATGCTGTAAAGGCATGAATGAAAGCAACATACACTAATGATATAATTGCAAAATTACCTAACCCATTAATTTTGTCAAACACTCATATTCTTTCAAAGTGTAAAAAAGCAAAACAGTTTTATGAAATAATTAATGTAAATGATATTGAACCCACTGGAAAAACAAGATGGAATGATATCTTTAATTTAGGAGAAAGTGAATGGAAAAGGTTTTTTAAACTTCCATTTAAAATTACAAAAAATAGTAAACTTCAATGGTTTCAATACAGAATTTTAAATAAAATATCAGGTACAAACTCATATCTATGTAAAATTAGGAAAAGAGATGATAAATTATGTTCTTTCTGTAATATGGAAGAAGAAACTACATATTTTATGGGAGTGTGACAATGTACAGACCTTCCTCAATAGTTTTGAAAGACATTGTGAACAAAGGACAGGGTTGTAACTTTCATTTACAAAGCAAAGATTTATTTTGGGATTTCTAGTAAAAAAAAAAGATATTCATAACTTGCTGGCCCTATGGATAAAATATTATATACATACAATGAGGTGTTTAGAAAAAAAATTAGATGTCAGACTTGCGACTTAACATATTAAACATTTTTATGAATCTCAAAAATATTTAGCATATAAGAATGGTGACAGAGAGATGTTTGACACCAACTGGAATATGTGGAATCAAATGTTTTCATAAAATGTTATTAAATGGAAAAGTCTTATTTATGTAAAGGAATTTTTAAACATGCCAACGCTCCTTCCCTCCCTCTCTCTCTCTCTCTCTATAAAAAAAACAATCTGTAATATATTAAATTTTGTATTATAGATTGTGAAACAGATTGTGTAAAATAAATAAATAATTAAAAAAAACTTTCAAAGTACAAAGTATATATCTTTGTTTTCGTGATCAGAGTTTCCTAATTAAGACCTCATAAATGAAACATATGATGGAAACATTATTTTCTATTTCTATTGCGATTTTTTCCCAAGTTGTTTTATTATATTAAAAAAAATAATTAAAAACAATATTTAAACCCAATCTCATATAAGCCTTATTAATTGAACTAGTTTCATGTACCAAAAACATAATTTTTATTAGAACAAACTTTTTTTTCAAATGGAGAAAAAATTAGAAGAAAGATAATTCCTCCTCAAATATGTAGTTTTATAACGTATATCATTCCGATTTTCTGATTTATCAAGCAGAGCTTTTTGATATTTTCTTACATGATTTTAATGGGTATGATGGATATGATTCTAAGTATTATGTTCATCTACACCTGCTATTTTCAATTTATTGTTGTGATGATAAATTATTATTCTTTTTTTCTTTGTATTAAAATATCTTCATATCATGATCTGACATAAAAATCATTTCTGATAAGATACTTCAGACTTTTTTATGTGGTTCTAATGTTATTGTTATTCATGAAAATCAATGTTAGGAATTTAGAAAATTTTCTCAGTGAAATTTGTAGCAGAGGTTCGGGACCCATTTATTAATTTGCTTAACCTTTGTCGTTGTCTCTGTCATCGTATCAATCGTCTTCTCCAGAACCACTTGACCAATTTCATCTGAAAAAAAAAACAGTCAAGTTCTCTTTCAAATGAATGACAAATTACTCCTCCAAGAAGAGATAAAAAAGTGACAATTAGTAGGGGTTCGCAAGTGAGTTAAGGCTATATATGGAGGTTTCTATGCAAAATATCTAATAAAATTCCATAATTGTTCTACCTACCGCACAGAAAATGTTAAAACTTGTTTTCTAATACATTCTCGGTACCCACGACATGCGATATCCAGTAAACATTATGACGTCATATTATGACGTCATCGACCAATACTACACAAGTTTATAAGAAACATTAACAAAGTTGCTTTGGCGCAAGGGCATACCTCAATTTGTTATACAGATACAGGGTATTAAAAGACGCAGGATATTCCAAGGATTTAAGATATTGCTGCACAAATGTCGGCACTGCAAGTGTTTAGTTACCATTCGTGCAGTTCTAAGTTTAAACAGGGTAAAAATTCACAGTCCAGTGTAAATTTCCTAAATTTTTTTCGATTGAGAAAGTGCATAGGATTTTTGCAGCAATTTTATTATTTTTAAGAATATTCTCCTTAAATATTATACATTGTTTTTTTTTTTTTAAATTAGATAGGATATGCCCTTACGCCGACGTGATTTTGTTGATGTGATTATTTACCTTGAATGAGAGAGAACAATGAAGTCATAATATGACGTCATAAGGTGCACTTGCATTAATAAACTGTGGGTACTAAGTATGTATAAGAAAATCAAGTTGAACTTTCTCTGTACATAAAATATACAACTTATGAATTGTTATTAGCTCATTTGCATAGAAATATCCATATTTAGCCTTAACTCACTTGCGTTATTTAAGGACGTTCGATCCTGAGATTTTGAGCATATTTTGGTAAGGTCTTTTATTTATAAAATTCTGCATCATTTTTAAGTTCTAACATTAAATCTGAATTCTACTATGCAAATTTAAGTATATTCAATGAAAAAACAGCGATTAAATTCCCTTCAAGTAGAATTAAGCCAGGGACTATATTTTGTGGCGGAAGGTTTTTTAGACGAAAATGATCAGTTTTTCCATTTTGAACTAAAACAGTACTGTTAATTTTAGATTCCTATTTTCCCATCCTGGTTGCACACAAAGCTGTTTTTTTTGCAGTGAAATGTGTTATACTAGTTCTGAAATATCTGTTAAGTTATTTCTTATGAATTCTATCAACAAAGTGTGACAAATATAGTAAATATATGCTGAAAATCCGGGGGAAAATTGAGCCAATTTTAACGTAAAATTGACACTTTTTTAGTAATATCTAAAAATTTACAATCATATACCCCAACGTTTGATGTTCTTTTCTAAATATTCAAGATAAATTTGACCTATTTACCTAAAATCAGAAAAAGTTTCAGACTTTAAAATAATTTTCTTGCTTATAAAATTTTCAATACCAGAAAAAATCACATTTTATTAGTGCAGAAAGGTCAAATAATTAATTGTGCGAAGCAATTTGAAACTTTTTCTTAGTCACAATTTTTAAGTGTCTTTTTTAAAACAAACTTAGAGTTCATTTTGTTTCATGCTTTAAATGGATAAAAATATTGGAGGGAAAACGTCAAAAAAGTAATTTTTATTTAAGACACAAATTTCAGTGCAAAAAGGTCATATTAAATGTATTGTAGCACCAAAAGAAGCGTATTGACCCCCAATTTTTGATTTGCATTTTAATTAAGCTATGTATGCAGAAACTAAAAATATACTTGACAAAAAAAGTTTAAGACTTTAAATATCAGGATCGAACGTCGTTAAACATCTTCTTAGTCATCAATGGGCCTGAACAGATAACACTAATATGAAGACTTACTAACATAAGTAATTAAGTATAGATTCATTTTTTTAAATCATGAACCGTTGGGAATAGGGTTAGGCACCTAAGCACGATTAGAGTTTAACAGAATATAAAAAAATCTCCAAAAAATCTTTCTAGAACAACAATGTAATGTTCATTCATATTGATGTGGAAACATGCTCAGGGAGTGTAGATTTATGTTTGTTGAGTTCCAGACCCCGACTGAGCCTTAACACACCCCCCCCCAACAAAAAATAAAAAAAAAATTCAAAATTTAGACAAAAAGATCATTTTATAAAAAAAATCTACTGGATCCATGATGGTGTAGCGTGAAATTTGTTTTAATAAATTTTCAGGTGGGTTAGGACTATGTTTATAGTGTAACTTTGTAATACTAATCAAAAATTTTATTGCCTCCTGTTTACAAACTGATATGACGACTAATCTTTCGGGTTTTTTTTTCGATCAACGTTTTTCTCTACCCTTTTTCTGTTTTTTATTTTGCGGGCACAATCAGGTTTCGACGGACGAAATCTAAAAAAATCAAAAATGGCTTTAAAATTATATAATGAAAGTGGGCTAAAAATTTGCCTTCCTTAGAATGCGTGCGATTTAAACACCAATACTGACACAAAACCAAAATAAAAGATTGTTGGAAGACATTGAAGTCAATAAAGTCTCCCACCAGACTCTATGGATATAAAAGGCTTTTATACAATGTAAATATATTTCAATGTTTTGAAAGGGGTTGTCATGGATGATTAATGCATGCATTATACATGGCAAGTTGTTTCTTTTAGATGTTAACGGGTACGCAGAAAGGCATAGTTAAGAAAAAAAACTAAAAGACGTTATAATTAATCTTACATGTTTTGAATGTATAGAGGCAGGTTTTTGACAATAAGCACATTATATTAATACAATTTTATACAAATTATATCACATGGCAAAAATATAAACTTAATTGTTAGTAACAACTCAAATGGTAACAACTTATATTTATTTCCATTTTTAATCATGCTACAAAAAAATTACGCAAGACACAACGAATCTTGTTACTGAAAAAATTCGTCGTTGATTTCAGTTAAGGATCTATAGGAAAACACTATTAATTCAAATCTTTTGTAATTGATATTCTTTCAGAATGTGAAAAGACAACAATGTACTACACATGCATGGAACTGTGATGAAAGTTTAAAAAGATAGTTATGGCTGCAAAGTATGTTGCAAGCAACGATAGCGACGTGGAAGAATTAGACATTGGTCAGCAAAATGAAAAGTCAGAGGAGAAAGAAAGATACCCCTTGCATATTTACTCTGAGGAGGATTTTGTAGATTCATCACAATTTATGGAATCTGGTGTACCGAGCAAAATCTCGGATGAAGAATATAATTATGTTCATAGTCATCGAGGTTACAGATGTACAGAATCAAGGGGACGGCCAGGTATGCACAGGTCATCAAGAAGAGGTTATAAATCAGTAGGTCATGCACAATCAACTCACGGTCGATATGAGAAAGAACTTCATAACCACCGTGGACTTAATGATCGGGGTCGAGGGCGTTCTCAGGGGCGGAGAAATTTCAGGAGATTCCCATTTTACAATCAAGACGAAGAGAAATGGACAGACAACGAAAATGCTGATGAAAATTTAAATGAGGGAAAGACGCACAATCAAGTACAAATCCGTAGAATGGGCTACAAAAGACTGAAAGACTTAGACAGTTCATCAAGGAATGCTGACGAAATTCTTGTAGCTTTAGTTACAAAGAGAAATGGATTTAGTTCTCTTTTAAGTCAGAAATTAAAACCAGATTGGATGATATTGGTAATTTCACTTCTTGTGAAATCGTTCCGATCCGAAAAACATCAAACAAAGCTGGAACTTGTGGCTCTATTAGATACATCGAATTTCATAATGGTTAATCTTCTCCTTTTCCTTGGAGAGATAGAACTTGAGCAAATAAAGTTACAAGACATTGAATTTTCTTCTTTAATGGAAAACGTCTGTTCGTTGACCCAAACATTAATTCAACGAATGCAAAGCCATGTATCTCAGTGGAGCATTTTAATAGAATATTTAGATAGAGTAGTGGACAAAAATTCTGACAGAATCCTTCATTACAAACCCGAGGTCATTACAAATATGAAAGAATTTAAAGCTGTAAAAGATGGGATTCAAAAAGGCGATTATAAAAAGACGATAACAATACCAGATGATGATAGTGAATCACTAAAACCACCTGAAGACTTCAGAGAACTCTCCGTCCTTCCCGAAATGAAAGATTTTGATTTCAATGAAAAGCCCTTTCTAAGGGCTAACAAAATAAAAGGTGGATATGAAAATTTGGACCATTACTTGGATATTCAGTTTAGATTGCTTCGAGAAGATTTTTTACGGCCATTGCGAGATGGAATAAAGGAATACAAAAAGCAATCAGTGTCCAAAAATCTTCGCAAAAAAGTTGGAGATGTGAGAATTTATACTAACGTTCAGATAGTGCGCCCAGTGTGTAGAGATGAGGGCATCGCACATTTGATACGTTTAGATATGACAAAGCTTAGAAATGTACGGTGGGAATCTTCAAGAAGATTAATGTATGGGGCACTACTGTGTTTGTCTCAAGATGGTTTCCAAAATATTCTTTTTGCAAGTGTTACAGATCGTAATGAGAGAATGTTGGAAAATGGCGAAATAGAAGTCAAGTTTCAAGAAAAAGATCTAAGCAATGTTGAAAAAGCAACAGCAAATAACTTGTTTGTTGTGGCTGAAACCACTGCATACTTCGAAGCTTACAGACATGTACTGGAGGGCATGAAAGAAATAACACAAGAAATGCCATTTCAAAAGTATATTGTACATTGTCAAGCAAACGCAAAGCCTCCCAAATATCTTTTGTCTTCAGGCGTTTTGCTTTATGACTTTTCAACTCTCCTTCAAAGAGAAGACGCTGATAAGATACCTGTAGACATTTCTTGTTCCGAAATTAAAAGCAGAGATCGATTTGAGATTCCAATACTCAGTACATCAAAATGGCCTTCCGCAGAGACATTACATTTGGATCATTCGCAACATAAAGCTCTTCAGTTAGCTTTAACTAAAGAAATCGCATTGATCCAAGGTCCCCCAGGGACCGGAAAGACTTTCCTTGGAATGAAAATTGCACAAATGTTATTATTTAATAGAGATATTTGGGCTGAAAAGGAAAAACAAGAGCCAATTTTGGTAGTTTGTTATACTAATCATGCACTAGACCAGTTTCTTCTTGGCATAAAAAAATATACCAAAAAGCTTGTTCGAATTGGTTCTCGATCAAAAGTTCCGGAACTTGAAGAGTACACTTTAACTTCGTACAGAAAAAAGGCAAAATATGCGCGAATTTTATCACAGGCCGTCTATGACAGAAAAAGTACGTAAGGGTTGCCCGCAACCCTGTGTCTCGCCTGCTGTCGCTGTGGTTAGTAAGAAATGATTGTCTGATAAACTGAAGCATTTATTGACATTTCAGAAGGAATAACTCAAAAATACAATAATAAAGAAATGGAACAGCTGACTTAATATCTAATCCCTTGGCGATTATATTGGCATTTATATATATATACATATACCCTGTAAATTCACAAATTATTGTGATGTTTTTATTATTGCGAATATTGCAACGTGTTATGAGTCGCAATAATTTGAACTTGCATTTTGAAATCAAATCCACTGTATATGTATCAAGTCATTCATGCAGAAAATGTAGGTGAAGATTACCTAATTATGGTACTGATATTGTTGGTTACCCCATGATGTGTAGACTGACAAATTATCATGCCACTATAAGTTATAGTTGCTGAGATATGGACCTCCACCATAAATTTATGCAAAGTCACTCATGCGGAAAAATGTAGGTCAAGATGACCTAATTCTGGTACAGGCGTTTGTGGTTTGATGTATCCACTGACAAATTATCATGCCACTATAAGTTATAGTTTGAGATTGGACCTCCACCATAAATTTATGCAAAGTCACTCAGAAAAAAGGTCAAGATGACCTAATTCTGGTACAGGCGTTTGTGGTTACCCATGATGTATCCACTGACTAACTATCATGCCACTATAAGTTATAGTTGCTGAAATATGAACCTCCATTATCAATTTAACCAAAGTCATTCATGCAGAAAAATGTAGGTCAAAATGACCTAATTCTGGTACTGATGTTGTTGGTTACTTATTAGCTGTACAATGACAAATCATCATGCCATTATAAGTTATAGATGCTGAGATATGGACCTCCACCAAAAATTTAACCAAAGTCACTCATGCAGAAAAATGTAGGTCAAGATGACCTAATTCTGGTACTGACGTTTGTGGTTACCCATGATGTATCCACTGACTAATTATCATATCCCTATAACTTATAGTTGCTGGAATATAGGTCTTCACCATAAATTATCATGAAAAAACTAAGTCCAACTTAAGGAAAAAATACGGAAAAATTTGAATTTTTTTTTTCAAAATCATACTTGGGATATAAATTTTTATCCATACTGAATATTGTGTCCAAATTTCAAGAAGACTGAATAAAATTTGAGAAAGTTATTGCAGTTTATAAAACTTTGACATTTGGGTTAACCAAAAGTTGGACGCCGACGACGACGACGACGACGGAATCTATGGTCGCTATGTCTCGCTTCGCGACATTCGTCGCAGGCGAGACAAAAACGACTGTTATCACGATATGGAAGACCACCGGAAAGCCATTGAAAGTGTAAGCAGAAAAATCAAAAGTGTAAAACTAGGCATTCTTTCCATCGAAGAATTGGAAGCTGTTGTTTCCAAAAAACATTTTGCAGAATTAAAAAAAGAAAACGGCACTTCCATTGATGAATGGTTAGAAATTGATAGAGAGATGTCCCTCCTCAAGAGCTTTGGTAAAGGAACTGAAGAAGAAAAAGCTCTGAGGAAGAAATATGACATACTGATACAGTGGGAACAGGAACTAATCAGAGGCAAGAAAATCAACCCCATACCATTGAAACTACTCAACCGTTATCAAAATCCTTGGCGATTAAATTTAAGACAAAGGGGGAGTCTTTTCAAAGCTTTATTATCAGAATTTAGGGCGGGGGTGAAAAGGCATTTGGACATAATTCTCAAACAATACAACAATGCACTTAATCATCATCGCATGCCGTTTGCACAAGTTGAAATGACCAGGTGTGTTCAAGAAATCAATTATTCAATAGCCATTTTACACGCGAGTGAAAAAGAAATTATAGACGAAGAAGTCATGAAATCATTTGTCCATCCTTTTCTGGGTAAACTGATTACGGAGATACAGAGGTATGCACAGTCTTCAAAGGCTTTCTTTTTGTGGCTATGTTTTGATGGATCAACAGAGAGCTGCAATCGTATCGCTGAAATATTTGAGGGGAAAATAATTGAAGACAGTGAAAGCGATGACGAGGATTTTGATGACCGCATTATTGATGAAGACAACCCACACAGAAGTAACACTGACTGGAGGACAAATGAAATTGAATCTCCAATGACGACTATTCTTTCAAAAGCATCTGTAGAAATTCTCTCAGATAATTTAAACCTTTCTGAAAGGTCTACATGGATGGAACATATTTTCAAACAACATATTCGAATAAAACTCAAAAAGGTTTTGACCTGCAGTGATGCGATGACAAAAAACGAAAGTGAAGACATTGAAGACGTTTGGGATCTATCTTTAGACGACAGAAGAAGATTATATAGATATTGGGTTGATCAGTACATAATTGCAAAGAAACAATCAATAAAAGAAACTGAACAAGAGTACAACGAAAAATGTAAAGCTTACAAAGAAGCTCTAGATTTGGAAAGTGTTGAAATAATGGCAGGAGCCGACGTTCTTGGTTTGACAACAACCGGGGCCGCGAAATTTCGGAGTATTCTGCAGTCCATTAAACCCAAAATCATTATTGTTGAAGAGGCAGCAGAAGTGCTGGAGTCACATATTGTTACCACTATCAACTCTGAATGTCAACACATGATTCTTATTGGGGACCACAAACAACTGAGACCTACACCTACTGTTTATAAATTAGCAAAACAATACAACCTTGAAATATCATTATTTGAAAGAATGGTTACTAATGAGTTGAATTTTGTCACTCTGAATTTACAACACAGAATGCGCCCAGAAATTTCTGTTCTTATGAAACACATATATCCAGAATTAAAGGATCATCCGTGTGTTCTTAATTATGATAGAGTACGTGGAATTACATCAAATTTGTTTTTTATTGACCATGATGAACCCGAGGAGAAAAACCTCGAAACAAAAAGTCGGTCAAACTTGCATGAAGCTAAATTTGCGAAAAGATTATGCAGATATTTACTAGATCAAGATTATCAACCAGAGGATATTGTTATTCTCACACCATATACAGGTCAGGTGTTAGTTTTGAAGCAAGAAATACCTAAACATGAATCTGGAGGGGTAAAAATTACATCAGTGGACAATTTTCAAGGAGAAGAAAGTGATATCATCATTCTATCTTTGGTGAGAAGCAATGAAGAACATAAAGCTGGATTCTTAAAGATAGACAACAGGATATGCGTTGCTCTCTCAAGGGCTCGAAAAGGCTTATTTGTCATTGGCAATTTTAGTGTTTTTGAAGAAGAAAGTGAATTGTGGCAGAAAATTATTGGTATGGTCAAAAGTGAAGATAAGTTTGGAAAAGCATTGAAGCTGAGATGTGAAAATCATTCGGATTTCATCTGCTGTGTTCAAAGTGATACAGATTTTGACAAAATGCCTTTAGGTGGCTGTGGAAAGCCTTGCAATATATACCTACAATGTGGCCACCAGTGCTTGCAAAATTGTCACAATAAAGATCCAGAACATAAGACGTATAAATGCACACAGCCATGTAATAAAACAATTTGCCAGCTGGGGCATATATGCAAAAAACAATGTTTTAAGGACTGTGGAAAATGCATGGAACTTACCAGGAAACCAATGAAAACTTGTCAGCACGAAAATATAATGCCTTGTTCCGAAGATGTTTCTGATTTCAAATGTATGCAACTTTGTAATCAAATGCTTCCCTGTCAGCATACTTGTCAAGGAAAATGTGGGGAATGCAATCAAATGAAAGAACATCGTCCATGTGAAGAAATATGCAGAACAGTACTTATTTGTGGACATACCATGGAAGGTCCGTGTTTCCAAATCAGAGCTCGCCCATTGTGCACAGAGAAATGCAATGTGATTCTTTTGTGTGGCCATGCTTGTTCGGGGGCGTGTGGGGAGTGCATGGAAGGTCGGCTACACATACAATGCCAACAAACCTGTGGAAAAACACTTATATGTGGACACATTTGCAAGCAAAAGTGTGTGGAAGGATGTCCATCATGCAAGAAAAAATGCGAGTTTTCATGCCGCCATACAAATTGCACCAAAATTTGTGGGGATATTTGCGATCCATGTGAAAGACGATGTGCAAGGGGATGCAAGCATGCCAAATGCATTAAGCATTGCAACGAAAAATGCAGTATCCTTCCATGTACATTTCCTTGTGTAAAGGTCAGAGAATGTGGTCATCAATGCCCTGGACTTTGTGGAGAAAAATGTCCCCCTTACTGTAAAATTTGCGACAACGTATGCGTCATGCAATCGACAGGACAACAATGTTGCCTTGAAGAACACGAACAAATAATTACGTTAGACAGTTGTGGGCATACGTTTGAAGCACAAACTTTAGATAACTACATATTCAATAAAGAAAAGAGGCCATATAGCATTCTTGATGTTAAAACATGCCCTTCATGTGAAAAACCGGTAAATGGAACAGACAGGTATAAAAGTGTTTACGAGGAGAGTAGGAAAAATATTGTAGAAATAACCAAATATTTAAATGAAAAACTTGCTTACAGTAATTTCAAAGGTGAACATCAGAGAGTACTGAAAATGTCCAAGTCCTTAGGAGAAACTGACGAAACTGTTAAAAGAATTATTTTACCATTAGTAAAAGAAAAAACATATGTCCCAGGGTCTCACCAAATACAGCTTGCCTTGATACAAATTGAAATTTTATCAGCTGTACATAAAATTCTTCAGCTCATGTCTGGTTCTGTCATTGAAGGAACCAAAGAAGAGAAACACGTGGCAACAAAACTTTATGTTATTCGGGATTGGCTGTTGAAAAGCGTAGAAACACGATATGAAAAAGGACAGAAACATCACATTGTTGTTGACAGATCTTGCTTTACCAAACAAGAAATACAAAATGTCTCCTCTATTCTAAAAGAACTTGTCTATTTGGTAGAGTTTTTATTGTTATCAAATTCCGAATCCTTGTCTGGAGAAAACATTTACATGATTACATATGGATCAAAAATACGTCCATTTCTGGCTGGAAAGTCGCCATTAGATGACGAGTTAAAAAAGATTTTAAATCTTATAGCTATAAAGAGTGGAAACGAAATTGTGTGGGGTGAAACCATAACAAAGAATATAGAGAGCAGCTTCGCCAATTCTTTTAAAGCTACATGGGAAAAGGGTGTTTGGTTCAAATGTAAATATGGTAAGTGCTTATGTTTGCTAATATTTAGTAATTTCAGAATTAAATGTTATTCATTCAGTTATGATGAAGTATAAACATGTATTTTTCTCAACTTTATTTTAGGACACATTTCGCATTTACCAAACGGCAAAGGTAAGTGTGGTTCCTGCAATATAAAAATTACTACGGTTGTAAGTCTTAAAGGACCCAATACTGTGCCGACCTTGTCTATCGCTGGAGAAATTGGAAAAATCTGGAAACCTTCAGCGCAGAGTTACAGGGATGATCAAAACCGTAAGGATAAAAAAGGATTCAAAGGACAATCAAAACAAATGAACAGAGACTCCCACAGAGGTGTTCAAGACAGGCAACAAGCAAAGCGATTAAATTACAGGGAAGCAAAGGAAAGTGATGCGACCCAAGATACGCTGAAAGAAAAAAATATTGAACTGAAAATGGACCCAGCTATCATTAAAAGATGTGATAAAGGTATGTTATCGGCGTACACTTTTGCAGATAGAACTAAATTTTCTACATGCAAATGAAATAGTATCCTTGTAGCTTGTAGAATGCTAGTAATTAAAAAAACGTTTTTCTTGTTCAGTGAATTGAACTGCCATGCAAATTCTTTTCTTTATTCTCATTTTCTTTATTAGGCAGTAACTTTTTCCCTATTTTTTTTTTTTTTTTTTTTTTTACATTTTTTACTCTATTGTCTTCAGTGAATTTAACTGCCATGCAAATTATTTTCTGTATTCTAAATTTCTTTATTAGGCATTAACTATTTCACTATTTTTTTAAAAAAAAAACTGTTTTTGATATAGGTCATATTATGCGGACAGATGAATCAACCTGCACATACTGCAACCCTCAAAGATCCAAAGCATGGGCAGAACAATACAAGTCTTGGAGTTGAATTAACAGTTAAATTAACGGTATAGAATGAAAAAGATAGTGACTTTGATGACGAACTGTTGTTGACAATAAGCAAAATATTTAATATATTGTTTTTAGTTTTAAATCTTCAATGATTATTGATTTTAAAAGAACCTTTAGCATTTTGTATAAGTAATTTTGAGCTTGAATACTGTTCGATATCTCCATGCCATATTTAGTTTTTACTCTAGAATTGCGGCACAAAAGTTCCTCCTTACGACGCGATTTCCAATCTACCATGCGACGTAGAGACTGAAAGACTTTAGTTATGATTTTTGAAAATATGTTATAAAAGCACTTACAATTGTTTAAAAAGTTTTGTGATTGCTTTGATTTATTTATACTCTGATATCTGAAATTTTCACTTCTTGGGTGGAAAAAGGTTTTAGAGTACTGAAAAACATTGTGAGATTATATATATATTTTAATGCTGTTAAAATTATAGTTGGTACTTATAATTTTTTGAAATATTTTAATTTTGTATTGGGAGGATCATAAAGAGTCAAAAGTCAATAACATAAAATTTCCAGCATAAAATTATAAAAAAAATTTGGCACCGTAGTCCAAAAAAAGATGCTTAGAACTTTCATTGTACAACTAAATTGTAAAGTAGATGGACAATGTTGATTTATTAGAATATATATTATTATATTCGATTCGCATTTCTATACATAATTTTTTATTTTGGGATAGGTATGGCACGCCAAATCCACAAAAATGAGATAATCATAGTTTCATAATCGATAAACTAGGTTTATCGGTTGTAAACTATAGTTTACGGACTGTAAACTATAGTTAACAACGTTAATCTATATTTCACATCTGTAAACTATAGTAAACGCGATAATCTATGTTTCACAACCGTAAACTATACTTAACACCGAAAACAATCTTTGCGATTGCAAAACATAGATTATCTGATAAATATAGTTTCACGATTTGTGAACTATAGTTTACAAACAGTTAACTATAGTTAACGATCTGATAAATATAGTTTCACGATTTGTGAAACTATGATTAACAACTCTTAACTATAGTTTACGATTGTAAACTATAGTTTACAAACGTGAATCTATGTTTATCAACAAAATCTATTGTAAACGCTTTATTCAGACAGATAAACTTAGATTATCATTCGTAAACTATAGTTAACAACCGTTAAATATAGTTTTACAGATGAAAACTATACTTAACGAATCGTTAACTATAGTTTACGGTTTGTAAACTATAGTTTACAGTCGATAAAACTAGTTTATCAATTGTGAAACTAGGTTTCTCTCATTTTTGTGAATTTGGCGTGCCATAGATAGGTTCACAATATGTTTTTGTTTGTGTGATGATGTGTATGTAAATACGTGCTTTTTGATCTTATGTTTGCAAATATAAAAAAAAAACGTTTTTTTTTCAAAAATAAAAAAGAGAAAAAAACTACATTATGTAATTTGTATTCATCATTTTCACGATATTTTAAAAAGACGTCAGTACGCTAATGAAAATGAACAACTACTGTAGAGAACTAAATTTTTGCTTCACCAAATATTCGCAAGACAGTTATTCAATAATTATGAGCCATACAAAAGACGGTTTTACTTAAGAAATAAGGTATCATTTTTTTAGTATTATTGGGATGTGAAACGGGTTGGCACATGATCAAATCTTCCATAAATCCCTTTGGGATTTGATCACGTGACCAACCCGTTTTACATCCCAATAAAACTCAAAAAATGGTACCTTATTACTTATATTTACATTTGTGACTTTTTCATAATTTAAATTTGCCTGATTGTGACTTTTAACGTGTGAAATGCATTATTTTTAAACCCAACGGCATGTATGTAATTATTTAACTTTGCAACGTCATCTGACGTCACAAACGGCTCTTACGTCTATTAACCACGTCAGTTTTAAAGGGCGCTAAATTCCATAAAACATTAACGAAATCAGTAATTATGAAGCAGGAAAATTAGAGAATGTAAATATAAGCATTGAATTCATATTTTTGGCATTTATAATTTACATTAACTTAAGTGCACATGCAAAGTTTGGGGAAAATCTACCGCCCAGGTATTTTTAAGGGACCTTCTCAAAATACAGGTACATTTACTATAGGATTATATAGGAAAGTGCCAATTTTTCGCACTTTAAAGCAATTTATACAAATACTACAATAGGCTTTTTGCTCAAACTATAATATATGATGGGTAATACTATATTGTACTTTATATGTAAGAACCATAAAATTCTACCGCCCTGTTTCCTGAGGGGGTGTCTCAAAATGCCAAAAAAATAACGAATTTCCTTGTTTTTATAGAGTACTGTAAAATATGACCCTTGCAAGGGATTTATTAAAAAAAATTATAAATATGACGGAGAGATTAACGAATTCCTATGTTTTAAAATTCAAGAACATATGTTTATTACTTTTTCTTTTATAACATTTTATTATTCGAGTTCTGACCAGCTGATGGTCTTGCGTTATTGCATAAAAATATGGCTACTGCGAATCAAAAGGAGTAACATTTTATTTATTTAATAATTACATTCTTGGCATACTTTGTACTTGTAAGACTTTAAACACTCTAAACAACTATTCGCCGCGATAAATTAAAGTCCATTTTATATATAAAACAAACAAACTCATAATAGATAGAATTCTTATTGTACATACATGTATATATAGTCTGTAGTTGATATTAAAAGCATGCTTAAATTCCTATTTTACAACATCTTTGTAGTTTTTTGGAATCAAGACTTTCAGCAATCCTTCGGAATTACGATGGGCACACACTGCGCCCAGATATAAGAGGGCATATATTAGTACATGTAGTTCATATGAAACAATATTCACTCAAACTTTTCTACATAAACTTCTACATTGTTATGGCTTCAAATCAACATTTTGACAAATGGTTATTGTTGTAATGTTTTAATGTTTTATCTATTGAAAATATTCATTTTCTACATTGATTCGATTTCCCCCTTGAACTCGAAATAAAAGAAACCACGCAGAATTTGTTGCATCTCAGTGTTTTACATTTGGATATTTAACTAGAAAAAGGCGGTAAGGGTTACGTAACGACAAAACTTTATGATAGTGGTAAACTAATGATTTCAACCTCTCTATCGTCTACTACCTTTATCTATATACATACCATAATCACTTGCCTATGGCGTTTTGTCTCCCAGTTGATATGATATACATACTCTATGTACGAACAATTTCTTAAACAAGGCAAGCTAATGCCCAACAACTCATATAAACAAAGATATCAACAGTTTCCTTAAAAGACAACATTTTGCAATTCTTATGAATGATGCAATTGTCTTATCAGCAATTGCAATATATTATAGATCGAATGTTAAACTGAATTTTTTCATACAAATTGTTAGGCCATTACTCTCACACGGACTTATCTACGGATTTTCCTGTTAATCCAATAATGACAAGGACCACACGCGGTGTTACAGTTGACAGGGGGATGCTTACTTTTTCGTGACATCTGATCGCTCATCTCTGATGTTTTGAGAGGTCCTAGTTTGTTCTGCTACCTAAGCTTAATTTTTGTTATCTATATATTTGATATATTTAGGTGCATCTACTCAGATTGAAATAATTATCATTTCAAATATACTTAGTAGTATTAAGCCTGCTAGCTTTTAAAACAATCCAACGTCCCTGTTTGATTCCTTCAAAAATTACGTATGTACATATTATAATAATAATGGTATGTTATACTTAGCCATATAGTTTTATTTACACTATCTTGCAAAAGGAACTAGTACCTCGCAGTGTGATTTATTTCCCGGTCATGACAAACAGATGTATATCCTTCCTTTTATGTACGTGCAATTAATTTGAAAATACCAAAATTAAAAATGTATTTTTTTCTGCTGATGTATATACTTTGTATCACACGGATTTCAGCGTTCAGTGCACCATTCACAGGTAAACCCCACATTCTCAATATTTGTCTTTTCACTTTGTTGTCTTTTATTGAGATTTTTCGACGGTGGATCTAGGTTTTTGCAAATTGTAGATGTAATGAGTGCCAAATGTACATTCTGCGCATCCGCTTACAACAAAATCATGACAATACATTTACAAATATTTCGATTATAATGAAAATATTTTTATGGTGTTAAACTAAGTTTGTACTGAAACTATAGTTAAATTTTCAAGAGCTGTCTCCGTCTCCGGAATACTCAGTATAATATAGATGTTAATATTCATCAACAATAACAGTTAGTTTTCAGCAATGTAAATGACTATATCAGACATTCATGTTATACACATTGAATTCATTTTCGCTTGTAACCTACTGATAAAATCGAAGAATACTTTCTCTTATCCTTTCCTTAAATCTGTTCTATTTTTACTAACTCAAAATAAAGCTGTGCAATATTTTGACTAAATGTATTTGAATTTCTAACTTTTAACTATGTGAAGCCTACATTGAGAGCTGTGTATTGCACGTGACCTGGTCGTCCTCTGTTGTCACGTGTTCTACAACCATCTACAAAGAGAACAACGAGTCCCTAGCATTAACAGTCTCCTTGAACAACACTCGAGTCAATTTTTCTCTGGATTCTGACAGTACCTTTAAGGCAGAGAGTGGCGATTGTAATGGAGACCAAATTATGCCCGATGACATGGCAATAAGAAATATATCTACAGTGCCAGGTTTAATGTTTTTTTTTAAATTTCGAATTCAAATCAGCATTTGAATCTGTTGCATGCATATTTACAAATCATATGATTTGCCTCACCATAGAAATAGATACAACTTTTATTGTTCAAATTCCAAAAGAGACTCGTACTTGATAGAATTGGACGAATGGCCTAACGTTACTGTCGTGAACATATCGGGCAGTACTGAACTAAACTGCACAGCAAGAGGAGCCATGAAGGACGTCCACACAAGCTGGCAGATACGTGGTTCTGAAAAAACTCTCAGCAACACAACTACTCTCCTCCTTAAAAGCGTCTCCTATGCGGACACAGGAAGTTATGTTTGTACCATCCACTATCAGTCGTGTGGTACTAATACGACCCAGAACGGAAGGAAGAATCTGACAAGGACAGTTTATGTAGACGTCCAAGGTGAGATCAACACACAAGTCTGTATTTGTGATTCAATCTAAAAATTAATCTAAAAAATATTGATTGATGCGACTGATATATGTTTTATTTTTAATTTTATTTATATAGAACGTTGTTGTATGTAAACAGTAAAGTATAATTGCATTACTAGTATATGATTATATGGTATACATATATATTATATTTCCATAATGTTTTGCCCAGTGCTTTACAACTAATATGTCAACAAGAACAACGATTTTTTTTTAAATTCAAACTGCAGGTGCGCCAATTTTAATTTTACCTGATAAAAGGAAATCATTCCATGTCGCCAAAAGACAACCAATTCTGTTCAGTATTACAGTAGCTAGTTCTCCTCCTCCCAGTCTAAATCTTACCATCGTGAAGACTAACGACGGAAGCCTACTTCAAACTGGCGTTGATTTCAACAGGACAGATAAGTCGTTTTCTAAGGATATAGGCATCTCTAGAGAAACTCCTGTGTACACAGCAAACATACGTCTCGACAACATAACGTCTAATTGGACAGGAGAATATATTCTGTACATTAACAACTCTCATGGATACACTTCCTACATGTTCTCCATAAAAGTCTTTAGGGCCGAGAAAGGTACTTTCTTTCGGTAAATATTCACTCGTATTTCTTGCAAAGACCTTTTTAATAGATCAACTAATGCATATGATGTAAATACCTAGTGCCACTTTTATAACTTACTTTATCATGCTTAAATCCTCACATTTCAAATTTAAGCAGATCTCGATGGGTTAAATCCAATTTAAAGACAAAGAATACCAAATTTCATATAAGTTCTACATGTATATAGTTTCAATAAGGTAGACATCTTTTTGGATATAAATAAAGGCAGAGAACACAAATTCACACATACTTTGTATGTAGTTCCAGTGTGGCAGTCCATACTATTGGAGATTGTAATAGGTGGTATAGGAGGGCTCATACTTCTGGCAATAGTAGTGGGGATCATCTTCATGTGCAGAACCAGATTTAAGCGTATGTATTCACTAATAGTAAGGTCTGTTTTAGCCGTATTCGAAGGAAATAGGCATTTATCTTAATTTTAATTTCAGAAAAAGCCCTACAAGAAAAAATGTAAGTAGCTTTATCACATCAACACATTAAATTGAAGAACATTTTGTTGTTGTTACATTAAATTAAATTAAAAACTCGATTTGGTGTAATCATACAGGATGGAATTAGTTGAAGCTGAGAAGAAAGGAAGCATGGAAAGTTTGGAAGTTTTGGGTCTTGGTAAAACAACTAATGGTAATTATATTTAGCTCTCTGAAATCATCGTTTCACTATGTCAATCCTCTTGATCTTGTCCCAGTATCTTGTTACCATAAAAGATAATCCGATACTTTTTAATATATACATACAAGTATATATCCGTTTAGCATGATTTTTGACGGTTTCTGTATTCATCGGATTTGAAACTACGAGGTATACCATTCAGTTTTGGCGAATATAATTTTGGTTATCCTTTTCCGTCTGTTCATGTTGTTTGAAAACTTTTTTATTCACGCTTGCACGAACAGTTGTATAGCTGAAAGTATTTCAATTTAGCGAATTATTATTTTGGTGAATTTAGAATATGATATTTATGACTTCATCGGTATTCTTAATAATACGTTTCTGTACGTATCTTGTGTGTAGTTCTCTTTTTGCTCAAGATCAATAAATTATCTAATAAAATGAATTTCGTTTTTCTCTGTTTCTTTTAGGCAGATTATATTAAAAAGTTACTTCTTTCCTTTTTCTTGGATTTTCAGACAAAGTTGTTTTTTCCAGGTTAAATGTTTTGTTGCAAAGTAATAGTTTTGTTTTTCCTTTTTGCTTCCTCTATGAAACTTTGCTACCAGTACAAAACTACCGCATGCCTAGCTTCAAATCTAAGTTTCAATGGCACCTGATCCCTCCTCCAATGTTTTGGAGGTCCATGTTTGCTCTGCTCCTTTTTTATTGTTTACTGGACTTTTGATCTTGAATACTGTTCGTTATCTCCACATGTTTCATCTAGAACTGTTAACAGACTAACTGTTTCTTTGTTTAATCTTCATAATACTAGCAAAGCTTTGTCCAAAAGCGAACGATGTTCCACAAAATCTAGGTTGACTATATTCCATCCAAACTGATATATATGCTCATCTTTCATTCTTTATTATTACTAGTAATATTTTTTTATCAAGTTGTTGATTTTACTGTATTCTCTAGTAATGTTTTTGCATACTTTTGTTGTCTCTTCTATATAACTCTAATTGTTTTCAAGTCAGTTTTCTTATACCTAAGATATTCAATTTCATGTCACATTCTTGTAGTCATAAATATTAATCAAATAAAAGTTGTACTGGTGGATGAAACATCATTCATGCCGTGTATATGTAGACCTCTTCCTGTCCAATCATAAGCTGTCATTCTGACAATTTGAATTTTATTAGTAAAGGATATGGAGATAACGAACAGTATTCAATACCAAAGTCCATAAAATAATACAAAATAGGAGCAGAGCAAACACGGATCAGGTGCCATGGGGGAGTGAGCATCCCCTGCCGATCAGTCACACCCGCCGTGTGCTCCTTGTCATGATCGGGAAATAACGAAAAATCCGTCGTCAAATCAGTGTTTAAATAATGGACTAACAATTAGCATGAAAAACGTAAGTCAGCATTTGAATCGATGATAAATTGTATTTACTGACAAGGTCATTTTATCGACCATAGAACTTTCGAACTGATGACTTTAAATGAGACTGCTGATTTTCTTGATTCGTTAACTTGTTTGTCAATAATTTACCTTGTTTTAGGAATTGTTCATACGTAGAGCATGCTCATGCGTCACAGGCACTTGTTTTTGTAATTTTTGACCCATAGTAGTGTTATTATTATACTATGGGTTAAAAAATTATTTCCGAAACAAGTGCCCGTGTCTTATAAACTCCGTATGCAGGTGATGAAGGTATATTGCTGCATAAGTAAGGGAAGCTGACGATAGAAAAGTTAAAGTCATCACGTTTATCATAGAACTTGGTTGTTAGATTACCATAACCGTCTTTTTCAAGTAATACATCCCAGCAGACTCTGTGGTATCTTTTATCTCAAGCTCACCAGGATATATCGTATCGACATAGAAATGGAAATTACCATTGTTAATTGACAATACGTCATCGATATATGTAAATGAGGAGTTGAAAGCCACGGCAAGTGTTTTCTTCTTTTCGCACATAAGATTATGCATAAATTACATGGGAATTCCAATAGATTGTAGGAAGACCTGGTCTCCAAAAACTACATAGATATTGTCAATCAGAAACTCAAGCATCTTTTTTATGTCAACTTCAGAGTACTTGTGTGTGCAATCAGAATGCTTTTTAAAGTCCAGGCTTTTCGATGTAATTGACAGTTGCTTTTTCAATACAAATGGAACTCGTAAGTTTACTTAACAAAATGATTTTGCAAATGACAAGGTAGGTAAACTTACAAGTTCCATTTGTATTGAAAAAGCACCTGTCAATGATATCGAAAAGACTGGACTTTATGTTATCATGGGGAATGATTGTGTGTGATGTTGAAAAATCGTAAGTTTTTAAGCTGTTGAATTTGGTAAAATCTTGTGATTTCAAATTGTCCAAAAGTACCTTGGAATTTTAAAGTATCCACATCTGATTTACACCACTTCTTGAATATTTTGTTGCACAGTACTCTTGAAGTTTCTCCTTCACTATTGTTACTCTGTTAATACTTAGTGAGGAGTAAACAAAGAGGCTTGGTTGAACATTTACTGGAATCGCTATACATCTTTGTTTATAAGGATCCTTATGAAGTTTCGGAACCCAATATAAATATATGGCAGTTCAAAATCATTTTGGTTCCTTTGGATATGAAAAATATTCAAAACTAACATATGATTTTGAAGAATTTCCTCCATAGAATGGGAACTATGGGCATAAGTTGGATTACCAATTGTAGAATTAAATCCAAGTTCTTCTAAAATACAATTTATATAATGATCAATATAACAAACAAAGACAATGTTGTCAGCAGGGAGCAGTGTTGCAACCACTATTGAAATAACGACCACTATTGAAATAATTATATCAATAGTGGTTAAGGGTGCATTTCAATAGCAAACATAGTCAGTAACCACTATTGAAATACGACCACTATTGAAATAATTATATCAATAGTGGTTAAGGGTGCATTTCAGTAGCAAACATAGTCATTAACCACTATTGAAATACGACCACTATTGAAATAATTATTCTATATAATAATCAAAGGTTCCAACCATTATTGAAATACGAGCACTAGTGAAATAATTATTCAGTAGTGGGTGAGAGTGCATTTCTATATAATAACCATAGGTTTCAACCACTGTTGAAATACGAGCACTACTGAAATAATTATTTAATACATGTAGTTGGTGAGAGTGCATTTTCACTATAGTAACCATAGGTTTCAACCACTATTGAAATGCTACCAGTATAGAAAGAAAAGTTTCAATATATAATATTTGCATGTCCACTGCTCTCTTCCACTATGAACATGTAGTCATCAACTGCGTTCATAGCACTCCCGTAACCTCGAGTTATCGTTCTTAGCACGAGTTATCTGTTCCTTATAGCAAGTATCACAAAACTTCCGGTTTAAAAGCAAATGTCGCGGATAACGAAATCAGTGTGAAATGTTAAAATTTTTAGAGAATTAAAGTTAAACTAGCAAGTCTGAAGTTCGTCTCTGGATAAATGTATGATCTGATACAATATGTTCAGTATTAAATTTTAAGATTTGACCGAGACACACAATTAAAAATTACAATCTAGATGCATATACCATATATTGGCCAAGTTTTGACCCCGCAAAATGACGATATTGAAAACAAAATGCGAGACGAAGATGTTGGAATGTCTCTGCGAATTATGTCAAATAATTAAGGCATCTAAGTTCCACAATATTCTTCACATAAAAGATTAGTCTTCGCTGAATATGGAAGAAATTGTCAATTTTAAAAGTTAACATCCCTGCAATTAAATGGGCTGATACAGGTTCCTTATGATGTTGCAAAAAGAAAATATCAATATATATTCAAATGAACTACATCCATATTTGACCGGAAATAGTTTTATTGAAATTTTTGTTTAATATATAATGGATGCATTATAGAGAGACACGAATTACGTACCCCCCTTTTTCTCGGAATAAGTTTAAATTAGTACTGTTAATTTAGTATGAAAATACTCATTTAAATGCCTACATGCTTTTTTGTTGCAGTCTGATGATTCTCTAATGTTCATATATCCGAATAGTTCTCTATTGGAAGCAAACCCGGCCCAAACCGCCCCTCCGCACGAAATAGGCACATTAACAAATAATTACATGTAACTAAGGACGTTAATCATAAGCTAGAGCCAGTTCAGTTTATTCACATTAAAACATGGTTCAAGACTGAAGTACAATTACATATATACAATTACTGGTATATAATATTTGATCAAGCAAGGAGGGATTAGATATAGCTGAAGAGAAAATAGACCAGACTAATTCTTTTGAGAAAATGACATCACAAAGTTCATAGGCGTAGTCACAGGGGGGACAGCGGGGGCACTAGCCCCCCCCCCCCACTTTCAGATCTGCGGGGGCAAGAGTATGTCTGTGCCCCCCACTTTTTTCATGAAGAACAAAATCACAGCTAAAAATTGAAATTGAAAGTAACTTGCCTTTGAAAAAAGTTAACCCCCCCCCCCCCCCCCACGAAATAGGATTTTCGTGTTTGAACTTTTTTTTTTTTTTTTTTTTTTTTTTTTTTTTTTGCTTATCAAAGAATTTCTGGACTTGAGCCCCCCCCCACTTTTAAGTTTGTGACTACGAAGTTTCATGGTTGTTTTATAGAAGTAGACCCAAGAATTTTTCCAGCAAATTACATTAAAAAATATTAATTCTAAAATAAAGTCATGTTATTTCTTGTTTGAGTGTAAAAAATTATTTACCGGTATGTTAATTACTTAAGATGATCCTGTTCATTCAAGTTTGACTACGAAATGAAAATTACTGACATTCCGAAAACATGGTTCCCCGTACTTTATTCTCATATCATACATTACTGTGCACGTCAATCAGGAATATTGTTTAAAAATAAAAAAGAAATTCCCCACACTAATGCATATTATTGAGAAGCCATATATATCTTTATCGTTTTTATATCCAGTTTGCAATTCCATAGTATCCCCCATCCCCCCCCCCCCGAATAACAGGGCATTTGCTGCTTATTAGGTATCGAAGTTCACATTCATAGACAGGTTTGCAGGTCCTCCTTTCCCTCTGCACTATTGTTGGAGTATGGTATTGTACTAGATTTTCTTTTTACGGTTTTATGGAAAACGAGTGAGAACAGAGGACCCCCCCCCCCCGCTCACGAAATATGTTCTTTTTGTAATTGTATTTTGTTTTCCCTAAACTATTTTTAAAAATCATTTTAATTTTTTATTTGCTTGTCATTTTTTAATTTGCCTTTTCAATTTTATTTCGTCACCTTTTCTTTGAAGAGCGATGCTTCGACTACATGCCTGCTATGTAGAATATCTTGAAAATGTGATAGCGCGCATCATGGAATATGCCAGCAGAGCAATTGCTATTCATAACGCCATGTTCACTGAATAACGTTGTTTATTTCTTAATTGGATTCATTGTTCAAAGCACTATTGAAATCAATAATTTTATCCATATTGAAATCTTTATTTCAAAAGTGAACATTATTTCAATAGTGGTTGCCCTATGTTTGTTTGAAATTTACCCACCTTTAATTAAATAAGTGATTTCAATAGTGGTAACTATCTATGTTTGTTATTAAATGCATCTCACACTAATGAAATAATTATTTCAATGTCATATTTCAATAGTGGTTACTATATGTTTGTTATTGAAATGCAAGAACTATTGATATAATTATTTCAATAGTGGTTACTAACTATGTTTGCTATTGAAATGCACTCTCAACCACTATTGATATAATTATTTCAATAGTGGTCGTTATTTCAATAGTGGTTGCAACAGAGCAGTAATACTGATCATGTAATCTATCTAGTTCTTTTTTTTTTCTTCTGGATTATTGAATGCAGAAGGATAGATGATTTTCATATTGCCCCTTGATCTTTTGATATGTGATTTTATTATGGATCGGATATATTTTCAATTCCATTCAGAGAAAGTTTCAACGTCTTCTTTTTCATATCTGGCACATCGTCTGGCGTAATCTTCAACGGAATCCATAATATTTATGAAATTCTGACGCCAGTGGAAGGATCGGGGTTCCCGTTATTTAGGACCTTTAAAAATAAGTGATCTAAGGTCCTCATTATTTTAAACTATATTTATCTCACCTGTAATAACGTGTCCAACGGGACCATAGTTATAGAGTGAAGAAGAACATGAACACTATGGAGGATTATGTTTCAGAAACTATGTATCCAGGTCATGTAAAGTTTTTTTTGTAATTAATTTTTTTTGAAGCAATGGTCTATATATACAAAAGTACTTGAAATGTAATATATATACTTGTAACTCGTATAAGCTTTTGACTATCTGTGTAAGCTTTTGACTATCTGAACTTTTCTCACCTTTGTGGACGTGTCTTACATAGCCACTGTTACTCTGCCGCAATGAAGTCATCAAATTTATCACCTGTATCACAAAGAGAAATAGTAAATTCAATGGCATAAGTCAATGCATTACAAACAAATGCAAATGCGCAAAACTGTGTAATAAAATGCAATCACTAAAACAACTTACACAAGAAATATAAGACAAGTCGTTATATATATACATTGTATATTTATTTCCATTTCTTTTTATTTTCTCTTTGATAACTCGTTGAAAGTTAGTAGAGTTGATTTATTGATAATTCTACAGGAATGTAAATTAGGCAAATCGAAAGGTCAGGAGCTAAGGAGGCCTATTGCGCATGTAAATCTCGTACGCGTTTGTCTGTATGCTAAGGAGGCCAAATATGCATAAATTTGTCAATTGGTGGTGTCACAGATGTGTGTAGGCATATTTCATGAAGCGCGCTAGTACTATTGAAAAATATGCCTAAATGAAGGTCTTTTTAAAAATAAACTTAAAAACATTCCTTATATTTACTAACATTTTGGAAGCAATTAAAATATCTCAATATTTGAATTTCTCGCTGTCCTATATCGCTGCAATTTTATAACGTTCACAACGTCACGAACGCACGTTTCTCCGTGTAGAAATACGAAAATGTCAAATCAATTTCACAGTTGGCTTAGTAGAAAAACACAGCGAATGTAAATATATATGCATAAATCTCGTACGGCTGTCCATGTGTGTTGACGTCAGTGGGCGAGAACTTTTGAAATTGAAATGAGAGGTCTTTAAATCAATTAGTCTACATTTTATTAAAAATCTATATCTACAGTTTTATTTCACAATGAAATAGAAATATAAGGTATCACTATCTAGTTAGTATAGTATGCCACAAACATTAACAATAGTGGGAAACGTCGGATAATTGATTATGCAAATTATTCCATGTTCCCCTCTATCGTTGATGCCCTGGCATACTATACTAACTATAGACAATGATTCCTGAAATAAGATTTCAACTACAAGAATATATTCATCACTATAAATGCAACTTTTGCTTATATGTTGTTCTTTGTAATGTGTACGATTGTGTTCTTACAAGAGTTTTTCTCTCACTCTGAGTTAATAATTGGAATTTAAAGTAGGACCCCTCTATCTGAGGGAAAATCACACTGTAATATTTTTTCTGATGTGGAGACGGGGACTATTTGCACCGTGTTTCTCCTCTATGTTCCTTTTGATAGGAAAGAACTGGGTGTCTCAATCTTCTTCAAATTTACTACACCCAGAACTCAACATAAATACCTACCACTGATGCTTTTATTCTAATCTTACCCTAACTAAATTTATTTTACTATTCTTTTCTCTCTTTTTCTGATTTAGCAGTCGGCTTCTTCAGCCAATTTCTGGATACTTGACTTTCCCAAAGCCTTGCTTTATATACCCTTGGACTAGTCTATGCCAAGGGTAGTCAGGTCATTCCATTATTAGAGGTCTTCTGTGCGTTTATAAAAAATGCCCCTTAACCATTACAGTTCTTGTATAGAGAAATCATTTAATTTTTTTCTCTCCTTTTCTTCACAGGATTTGAAAACTTGACCAATAAGGAGGAACCAGACCACTACCGCCAGCTCCAAAGGTTCAACTTCTTGAAAACTTTCATTATAGTTACATGTATTGACTGAAAATCATTTCGTTTTTAAATCCAAATTATATATTCTTTTACTTAAGACCTTCTTCATTATAGTTTGAATACATTCAACAATCCAGAAGATGCAAACTGATAATGGGATTTTTCCAGTACATCTTTTTGTGCCATCAGATCCTTCCTAAAGGACATTATACAGTATGTACTATTGTTGAAGATAGTCCTGAAAGCATTGAAGTGATTTCAAAGATTGATTACCGGTGCCTAGAAACTTTGCAGATTAAAGTTCATCTGAAACAAGCACTTGTCTGTAAAACTGTCAGGCTAGCTGTTAGATCACGTGTCAACAATATATAACAAAATAAAAAGACTTAATAAGAAATGAGTGTACATTTTTATTTATAAAATGATAAGAGGTCACAGTATTAAACATTACATGAAGTCACAATACAACTCAAGCTACTGGCCAGGAAGTTTTCAAAAACAGATTTTTTGTAGGAGGAGAGAAGTTCAGACTGGTATACAGGAAGGAAAAGACAGAAAAGATGAATTTATTTGATAAAGAAAGCTTGTACACTCATACAAAATCTAGTGATGATTATAATCTCTTCCACACAGTACAGAGATAATTTCTAGAAAAGAAAACAATCTGAATTTTCTCTACAAACTACCTCGATGAGATCACACTATTGTAGAGTGATCAGAGCAGCAGTTTATACTAAAAGAAAGAGACTATAACATCAGTGATAGTTTTTATAGAAATTTGTTTAACTAGTGAATGCCAAAGCAAGCTCGTTTTTATATGGCGAATACATTGTATACTAGGTATGTGACTTGAAGCTACGTCTTTGGTTTTGAATACTAATTCTTTAAAGGAAATTTTTATTTTTCCCTTTACATAATTAAGAAAGTAAAAAAAAAAAATTCATTTGATTAATTTTGGATTCCTTAATTATGCAATGATAAATAAAAAAGAATCTTTTTCTAAAAAATAATCAATGCCTGTTATCAAAGTGTCAAAAAAAAAAAAATTAAAAATTGTAAATATAACAAAAAAAGCATTTCACAACAACTGCACATAAAAATGTTAGACATGTATTATGAAATTCACATCATTTTATGAAGACATTTTTAAAAATATAAAACAATAAAACACCATCAGCTAAAAAGCAGTCTATACACAGTTCCAATACAAACAAGGTTATGAATCAGTGTGCATTCTTAATCCCAACCCTACAATTCTAATTGATGATCACTAGCCTAATTCTTCCTTCCCCACAATTGTTGTTGTCAATTATTGCTTTAGGGGATTTTTGTGAGAATCTCCACATCTTGGTATGGAATGACTTCCGTGTCAGGACAACACAAATGAATACATGGTAAAGTTACAGATACTTACATGGTTTATAAGTAGTGGTACAGTGGCTAGAGTACAGAATCATTCAAATGTTACAAAAAGTTCCATTTACAATGACATTCTACATTATCAATGATTAGGGACACATATAATGCTAAAGTGGTGTTATATACACTGTATAATAAATATTTCTGCACAGTCACTAGCTGTCTCTTTACTTTGTAGATTACAATCTGTTATTTATTTTATGAGTATGTTATCCAAATTTCCTACAATCACAAGCTTATCAATAAAATCACAGTTTTTGTTCACAACAGTTAAGGCTTCACCCTGCAAATAAGAGTTACACTCAGTGGAATGAATTTGTTTATAAATTTGTAAGTTTTTGGAACAGTTTTTGAGGTTTTTATTTCTTGACATTGGTATTCAGTTCAAAGTATTTGTAGGTAGGATTTTCGTAACCATTCATCTGCATTTTAGCCACATGACGTTCTTCTGGGGAGGCTGCAGGATCCATTTCAGCAAATCCATGAGTGACTGCAAGTCTATGGGAGCGCTTCCGCAACATGACAATGGCAACAATAATAATGACAAATACCGCTACACTTCCAATGGCAATTCCGAAAACACTACTTGTGGAGGTTGCGACTTTTGAAGAGTAACTTCCCTAAAAAAAAAAAAAAAAAATACTGGTTACAATGTATTGGCTAAAAATTGAGAGTAATAAGAGGAGGGACTCGCATTTAAATACTCAAAGTAAATTAAGCTAGGAAAATTCGCTTTTGGTAAATACCTGCCTGAGAGACTGAAGCTGACTTCATTGTTTACAAAAGATACCCATTTATATATGTGACAGAAGCCAGCTTGTTTATTTAGAAGACATCTTTCTCAAACAAACCTGGATATTTAAGAGATTTCCACATCCCATAGATGTTCACTTACTTATTAACACTTGCTTAGTTGTTCACAGGAAACAACAATATACTAACCCTGCTGAAACTGGCTTGGTCATTTTCACGATGAGAGATAAAGACTTTGTTTTCCTTGTGCTGGTCAAGCTCAATTCGGGGACTAAGTCCATCATCCTCCACAATGGGGGTCTTCTTGACCTCCTCCAAGTGATCAGCCAGGTCACCATCATCATTCTCATCATCCAAGGTCAACTTGTCACCCCAGGTCACTAATACAGGATAGGAAAATTATATGATACAATGTTTCATTGTCATAGAAAAACAAAATACTGAACAATGTATTTAACATTAATAAGAGACTATACAAGCATGACTTTCCCAACAATATTGTTTCAAGGTTGACATTGGCTATTATAATCACTTATTATCATTATTTATTAAATCAGAGAAATTAAATATTATAATATACTTTAGTTTTCCCCTATTTTGCTCAGAACATTTCATGCTGTACGTGTTCCTTATGAGTCTCACCTTTATTGGTCTCTTTCTTCTCCTGCACAGTAATGGGTCTCATCACAATGTTCTTGGCACTCTCTGCTAAACCACTGTAGTGCTTCATGAATTTATCTAAAATACAAGTTCTTCATATAGAACATAGACTAAAAACTCTGCCATGTCTTTTGTATGAGCTAATGAAGTAAACACTTCATGTACTTCCTTTCATATTAATGACAGTAATCAATCAATGCCATATCAAAACAAGAGATGTTTGTAAAACACTTATGCCCCCCTCCCCCCAAATTGGAATTTTTTTGTAAGTCCAAGGGGCATAACTCTGTCAAAAATGGCATGATTGTACCCAAAACAGAACTTGACCTAGATATTCATCTGATAAATCTGTATATTAAATTTCATCTCAGTATGTGCAACGGGTGCAAAGAAAATGAACAGAAACTGCAAATAATTGGAATTTTTTCAAACTCCAACGGGCATAACTCTGTCAAAAATGGTGCGACTGTACCCAAAACAAAACTTGGCCTAGATATTAATGTGATATATCTGTATACCAAATTTAATTTCAGTATGTGCAACGGTTGCAAAGAAAATGAGCAAAAATTGCAAATAATTGAAATTTTTATAAGTCCAAGGGGCATAACTCTGTCAAAAATGGTGCGATCGTACTCAAAACAGAACTTGGCCTAGATATTAATGTGAAATATCTGTATACCGAATTTGATTTCAGTATGTGCAATGGTTGCAAAGAAAATGAGCGGAAAATGCAAATAATTGAAATTTTTCTAAGTCCAAGGGGCATAACTCTGTCAAAAATGGTGCGATCATATCCAGAACAGAACTTGACCTAGATATTCACTTGATAAAACTGTATACCAAATTTCATTTCAGTATGTGCAAAGGTTGCGAAGAAAATAAACGGAAACTAAGTGGACTGACAGACCGACCGACGGACCGACAGACAGCAGCAAAGCAATATGCCCTCCCTTCTTCGAAGGGGGGCATAAAAAAAGAAACGACAAAAAAACAAAAACCTCTTGCATCAAAACCAAATCACACAAATCAACCAAGATTTTACTTAGTAGACTTCTTTACAAGCTTTTCCTCAGAACACAGTCTTCTTTCTCTTACCTATTTGTGGCTTCAGTTTGCTCTCCACCCTGGGGAAGTGATGAAGCATGTCCAGACTCTGCTTGATGCGCTCATCAATGACCTTCATGTGTTCAATGACCTGTGACTGGATAAGCTTGGCTTCCTCAGGGTTTGTCTTTTTAACATGAGTGAAATGATTCAGTGAGTGTAGACGGTCCTTCTCTTCCACACGGATATAGTGTTCTAAATGCTTCATTACAGCTCCAGACTAAGGAATTATAGAAAGTTAACCATTAAGACAATCATACAATAAAATCTATGAAATTTTTAAGTTGAATCTTAATCAAAGGCTCTCCCATTTTTGTCCCCTGCTGAAAGTGGGGGATATTAATTTTGGTCTATCTGCCTGTCTGTAGTTCTGTCTGTCTGTAACACTTTCATTTCTGCGATATCCCGAGAAGCCTTTGAGCTTTTGCAGTAAAATTTTACACAAATCCCTAAGGTCTAAGAATACTCCTATTGATTTTGAGGTCATAGGTCAAGATTGTTACTTCATTTATATTTCATTTGTCAAGGTCGTAAAATTCGTACATTCTGTATGTGTGTAAAACTTTCACTTTTACTTAAGCAGGAGACACAGGTTCTCTGAATTAGCTTATTACTATTCTGTCCCTATTCATAAGACTAATAGGTCAACTTGATTCAAATTGTGTTTCCGATTGTAAAAACAAATCACAGAAAGTATATTCGCCATAAGGATAGGGATGATTTGCTGTTCAGAGTATTTGCAGTGAATGCAAAACACATTTTTAAAGCAATAATGGATATTTGAAAATAGAATTATGATATTGGTTGGGGTGTAAGGTCATGTATTGGAATTTATATCTAAATCATCATCTGTCTTCAATCACCCTACCTTGACATGGCTTTTCTGGAGTTCCCCCATGTAGGCCTCTAACTCCTTCCTCTTTTTACTGTTGAGTTCTCCCTGTCTGTGTTGGAGATGGAGAGCCACTAACTGCTTCTTCTCTGCAGCGTCTGACTGCTGGTAACTGTTGTACAACTTCTGGAATCGCTGACAACAAAGACAACAACAAAAATATAACAACATTGTATATAACAAATGTTATCCTATGAATGAAATCACAAGAATTTATGTTTGCTTCTCCAGAATTATCTCGGCACAGTTTTCATATTTGTTTTTGAGAGATACTTCTGATTCATTTTAACATACTGTTTCAGCTTTGTTTAAACATCTGCTAAACTCATGGAATTTAATGTGTTGTAAAAGATACCCATACAATGGTATGAACAAATCTAATATAAAACAAACACTTTAGAAAGACATATGTATAAACATAACTACAATGTATTTTATTTCTGCTAAATATTGACTACACTTCAATGTCTCATTTTCCCCTTTGCTACATAACACACAAGGAGTGAAGAATACAAAGATAACCCTCTAGAGACCTGTAGGATGTTCTTGTTCAGTTTGTCAGCAGCCTTGGGATTTGTCTTCTTCATGTTGTTGACATGTTTCCTGGCTGTCTGCCATTCTTTCATCATCTAGAATTCAAATCAATAACTAATTACTGTTAAGAGAACCTTGGAATAATTTTACTTCACAGGCCTTTCTCAGTCAAATCTATTAATGGCATGGTAACATGTCTGGAAAATTAATCTGCCAAGGTAACCTTCCATGACCTGCCTATGTTAATAGGTTTTTGAATAATAAGAGCTTTAAGCTTTTATGTTCTCAAATCAATAAATGTTTACAAGATATTCATTTATGCTATACTCTTCAAGACAGCACATGCCGAAAAAAAGTAAAGCTAATGAAAATTAAGTGAAAATAAATCACCTTGGTAATTCTTCCATGGTGACGCATGTTCATAGCCTTCATAGCAGCTAAAAACTTGCTGTGTTCATTGCCGAACTTCTTGAGATATTTCTCATCACCTCTGAGATATGCAATATACGCATCATATGTGTCATCTATTGTAATGTGCTCTGTTTGTTCTTTTACTGGTTTTAATGTGACTGCCTCATCAATGGCTTCAAAAAAAATTCAATAATGATGCATAAACATAACACAAAATTAGTGCAACTTATAACATAATCAGCTGAAACTCATTAAATCTTCAGTGTATCTGTGATTATGTCTTAGATTTTATGTCTTAGGTATCAATTTGTGTTTGTAAGGTGAATTCCTTTCATTAAATTCCCTTTGATTAAGAAAGAATACAATTTAGCTGACTTGATTCAAGTGATTGTTAAAACATCCTTCTCTTAGGTTTCAATCATGCCAGCTTTTGAATCTTACAACTTTATCTTCAGTCAAATTTCTTATCAAAGGTATTATGTAAATTATGGATAAAAAATCACAAGAAATGTTCCAAGGAACAATTGCATTAAGATAAAGGCCATTATCTATTTCCTTTTTAGACGGAGGCTTAGCCTCCGCTCTATTGGTACCGCTCATCTGAGGCGGAAGGGAATTTGCGATCGCCATCCAGCGGCAAATCACGTTAACTTTGATTAGCCTGGTCCCCAGGCTCATACTTTCCAAGGCAGGAGTACACGAAGCAAAACAGGGACAGGGAACCAGGCTAAATTTTGATAAACTGGCTTGCCTGTCTGATATCAGATATGCGCTGTATACAGACAGGTGATCAGTGATGTACAGAGTCTGCTGCTGACACGCTCATTGGCTGATAAAAACTCTCGCTGACACAGAATTTAAATTGTCGGGGAAACCAAAACAGATCACCGAGTGCAGTTCTCTGCATCTGATTTTGATGCAATTAATCTAATTCGGTCACAATATTTTCCAAAAACAATACATAATTCTTTTTTTTTCCTCATGAACCTATAATTATCTGACCTCGCCTGAGGGCTTTTAAATTAGTTTGCGAAGGTCCTATCACATTAATACCCTACATTACCTAGGTAAAAGAAATCTGCATCATTGTTTAATTGAAACTGACATATTTTAAATGTTCACTCACTGACTCAGCAGAGAGCTGCGTCTTATCTGTTTATAGCACAGGTACAGAATCTCTGCTGCATCTATTTTTAGAATTCCTTATCACATATTTCAGAAGATTTTGCAAACTATTTAGATGGGACAAACTGACCCACATGTTTCTATGTTTACTTGACCAAAACAGTGGCTTGAATCTTACTTTGTGGTGTAAATTAATTAAGTAATATTATGGCTAATCTGTGCAAAAAAAGGATGTATTAAAACACTGTTGTCATGGAATCTGCAATAGTGACTCAAAGTATGCCCACAAAAAATATATGCAAGGAGTTAAATTTGTTAGGTTTCCCAAACCTTGGAGAGATGTTGAAAAAGTGTCAAAGATGGGTGAATGCTTGTAAGCGGTTCATTGGTGGATCCAAAAGAGGGTAGGTTCCGGGGTTGGAAGCCCCCTTTATTTTTTGTCAAGTGGAGAGAGAGAGAGAGAAAGAGAGAGAAAAAACATTTTCCGAGAATAAATTAAAATACATGTATTTGTACGTCTAACTTATGTATTAAATAGATAGATTCTCACACATTAAGTTTCTTCCACTCACTATTCCCTTTTATATGAAAGAATACAGAGTATACAGTACAACCCTGGAACTCCCCTTTCAAAAATGGCTGGATCCACCTCTGAAACGGGAAGGATTTTCCACGAAATTGGGTATTATCCGTAAAATCACATATAATACTGGATATAAGGGTATCGTTGAATCCATGAGATCTAGTATTAAGGCGTTGTAATCACTTTATTAAACTTAAACAATGGGATGGCACATTTTGCGGTACGTGTCAACTTTCACCTGGATGCAAATATTTCTTAAGGTATCACCTGTCAAGTACCCGGTATAAGAATTTGGAAGTCAGGATTAATGCACACTGGAAAATAAAAGCTATAGAGCTTGGTACATTTCATGATCTGCACCAAACAGGCGTTTGTTCTGCTTAATATTTTTCATAATGTTTGAAATATTTGCATCCTCCTCATGTTCATTACCCAACACAACAGAATTGTTAATCAAAAGTTGAATGTGCATGTTTAGATCTATGCATTGATATATCTGAATGCTTGTATCTCAGCTCCTTTTAGTCCTGAAGAGTTAGATATACTAAAGTACTTTTGGTTTTCTCACATTCAGGAAGCTCTAACCATGAGTCACTAAAGAATTCAAATTAATATAGTTTATTGCAATTAGAGTAGTTTGTCCTTTTGATGAAAAATGGGAATTCAGTAAATTACATAATTAAACATTAGACCACGATAAATAAATGAAGAAGATGTATTTGTGAAACACTCTGGCCCCCCGTGTGGCAATATAGCGAAGATGCAAATTTAATATATTGGTACCAAAAGTATGGTATTCTTACTGGAAATACAATTGTGAAATATGAAAGTAGGCTAAGGCTAAAGTTAATCCATAAGTACGGAAATCTCCAAGTAAAGGTCAAAAGGTCATGATTGTTGGTATGCTATGAAAGGTCTTCCCACAAAGAATACATATGTGAAGTATGAAGCCCTAACCCTTCAAAAGTTATGAAAAATATTTTTTTTTAAAGTAGGCCAAACTCCAAAGTCAAATGTCTTGCTATAAAATGAAAGGTCTTGTCATAAGGATTAAATATATAAAGTATGAAAGCACTAACCCAAAACCTTTTCAAGTTATGGTCATGATTTGCTTTATAAAAGTAGGTCAAACTCCAAGGTCAAAAGGTCAAAGTTCTGGGTCTTCTTACAAGGATTACATATGTACGTATAAAAAGCACTATTTATCCCTTACCATTCAAAACTTATGGCCAAGGTTAAAGTTGTTTTTTCATAAGTATGGAATCTCGTAGGTCAAGGTCAAAAGGTCAAGCTTGTTAATATCTAATGAAAGGTCTTTCCACAAAAATACAAATATGAAGTATAAATGTCCTGGTATCTAATGTTCAAAAGATATGGCCAACTACCTTTAGGCAAATGTTGGGGTCAGAATATGAATAAACCAGAAGTCTCTGTCGAGACTGTAGCTCTACTGGTATGTACTTATCAAAAACCATTGCACTATTTTATGTATCTTTGTGTAGTCTACTTGTGTGCCAACTTATTTTGAAATCAAACTAGAACTGTAGAAGGAGTAGCGTTTTAAAGGAATTTCACAGAAAATTCTATTTTTAGTAACCATGGCAACACCGTTCATCGAAATTAGAAACCGATGCACTATTCTATGTATCTTAGGGTAGTCTACTTGTGTGCCAAGTTATACTGAAATCAGACCAAAACTGTAGAAGGAATAGCGTTTTTAAAGAATTTCACAGAAAATTCTATTTTTAGTAACCATGGCAACATCCTTCATCGAAATTAGAAACCGATGCACTATTCTATGTATCTTAGTATAGTCTACTTGTGTGCCAAGTTATATTGAAATCAGACCAAAACTGTAGAAGAAGTAGCGTTTTTAAGGAATTTCACAGAAAATTCTATTTTTAGTAACCATGGCAACATCCTTCATCGAAATTAAAAACCGATGCACTATTCTATGTATCTTAGTGTAGTCTACTTGTGTGCCAAGTTATATTGAAATCAAACTAGAACTGTAGAAGGAGTAGCGTTTTTAAGGAATTTCACAGAAAATTCTATTTATAGTAACCATGGCAACACCGTTCATCGAAATTAAAAACCGATGCACTATTCTATGTATCTAAGTGTAGCCTACTTGTGTGCCAAGTTATATTGAAATCAGACCAAAACTGTAGAAGGAGTAGCGTTTTAAAGGAATTTCACAGAAAATTCTATTTTTAGTAACCATGGCAACACCGTTCATCGAAATCAAAAACCGATGCACTATTTTATGTATCTTAGTGTAGTCTACTTGTGTGCCAAGTTATATTGAAATCAGACCAAAACTGTGGAAGGAGTAGCGTTTTAAAGGAATTTCACAAAAAATTCTATTTTTAGTAACCATGGCAACACCGTTCATCAAAATTAAAAACCCATGCACTATTCTATGTATCTTAGTGTAGTCTACTTGTGTGCCAAGTTATATTGAAATCAGACTAAAATTGTAGGAGGAGTAGCGTTTTGAAAAATTGTTTACAGACAGACGGACAGACAGACGGACAGCTATACAGTTGAGAGGTACATTGTGCATTTTACGGAAGGTGCGGGGTTATAATTTTGCTTTGTGGGGTTATTAATAGTACAGTGGTGACTTGAGAGGTATCATTAGGAATTCAAACAAATGGTATATTGTGGGGTTAAAGGTCTATATTTGTGGGGTTAAAGGTCTATATTTGTGGGGTTAAAGCTCTATATTTGTGGGGTTAAAAATAAATTATTTAATATCAAGTCAACTTTACGGGCAACTAATTATAAGTACTTAAAATTGTTACTGTTTATCTGAAGAACTTAGAACGGATATTGCAATAACTTTTTTTCAACTACTGCCTAGCAGTAACAATGCAAAAAAATGTTTTTATTTGAGGATAACTGTTGCATCAAAGTAAATTAACCCATCATGTTTTCACATAAAGATGATAGACAAGAATATTCCAGAGAGTGTTAAACAAACAACCCCACTATGCTATATAGAAATAACAGACAACACTAACCCCATAAATTATAAGACAAACAACCCCAGTGTGTACTCTTATAAAGATAATAGACAACACTAACCCCATTAAGTGTTTGGACAACAACCCCACTATGTATTCTTATAAAGATAATAGACAACACTAACCCCATAAAGTGTTTGGACAGCAACCCCACTGTGTACTCTCATAAAGATAATAGACAACACTAACCCCATAAAGTGTTTGGACAGCAACCCCACTATGTACTATCATAAAGATAATAGACAACACTAACCCCATAAAGAGTTCGGACAACCACCCCACTATGTACTCGCATAAAGATAATAGACAACACTAACCCCATAAAGTGTTTGGACAGCAACCCACTATGTTCTTATAAAGATAATAGACAACACTAACCCCATAAAGTGTTTGGACAGCAACCCCACTATGTACACTCATAAAGATAATAGACAACACTAACCCCATAAAGTGTTTGGACAACAACCCCACTATGTACTCTCATAAAGATAATAGACAACACTAACCCCATAAAGTGTTTGGACAGCAACCCCACTATGTACTCTCATAAAGATAATAGACAACACTAACCCCATAAAGTGTTTGAACAGCAACCCCACTATGTACTCTCATAAAGATAATAGACAACACTAACCCCATAAAGTGTTTGGACAGCAACCCCACTATGTACTCTCATAAAGATAATACACAACACTAACCCCATAAAGTGTTTGGACAGCAACCCCACTATGTACTTTCATAAAGATAATTGACAACACTAACCCCATAAAGTGTTTGGACAGCAACCCCACTATGTATTTTTATAAAGATAATAGACAACACTAACCCCATAAAGTGTTTGGACAGCAACCCCACTATGTACTTTCATAAAGATAATAGACAACATAAACCCCAAAAAGTGTTTGGACAGCAACCCCACTATGTACTTTCATAAAGATAATAGACAACACTAACCCCATAAAGTGTTTGGTCAGCAATCCCACTATGTACTGTTATTAAGATAAAAGACAACACTAACCCCATAAAGTGTTTGGACAGCAACCCCACTATGTACTCTCATAAAGATAATAGACAACACTAACCCCATAAAGTGTAACAACCCCATTATGTTCTTATATAAATAAAAGATAACATTAACCCCACAAAGTGTTAGACAAGAACCACAATATGTTCTGATAGAAAATATTAGACATCTTAGTAACCTCAGAGTGTTAAACAAACAACCCCGCTGTATTCTCATGTAACAGATACCAGTAACCATATGAATTTAAGTGTTTGAAAACCCCAGTATGTTCTAATATCAAAAAACTCTACCAGGGACTGGTAATAAAAGAACAAGAACCCCCACTATGTTCAATCGCATCTTCTCGAGCCTTTCTGACTAGCTGACAAATGACCTCGAATGTATTAGTTAGACGCCATGGCAACAACCCCCCCTTTTCATGATCTTCGAAATAAATGCATGAAGACCTTTTATCTGTGGAATATGGAGTTTAATTTTATTCAATGCTATGATATTACATAAAACTTACTATAAAAGGGACTTCTTACTTCCTCTATCCTATATTTGAAAAAAAAACAAAAAAAGCATAACCTTTAACATCAGGTGATGTTAATACATTCGAGGTTGTTTTTCCGAACTCTGACGTAAAGACCCTGAGTGAGATGATGCAATTGCCAGTACGTCATATCCTCTTTTTTTTTACTATTAAAAATACCAAACTATATTCATAATACTTTTTCCTATTTTGATAACATACTTGAAAATTTGTTTTAAACATTTTTCAAACTATTTTTAATTGGATAATCTCTTTATCTTAACTGCTTATTTCTAATGAGAATTTTTCCTTTGAATCTGCTGGTGCATGAATTTGAAGTGTACATTATGCATCAAAAGCATACATAATTTCATTGTAAATTAATAATAATAAATAAAAGAGATGATCCTGATTTTTTAAAAAAAATTTAATCAAACTTTTCATTTACTCGACAAGATGAACACAGATAAGAAACATGTCAATAAATGTAGAACACAGAAAAAAACCCTCAAAATTTGAGACAATCTTCATAAATGTAAAAAAAAAAAAACAAGTATATAGTGAGTTGTCAAATAACTCTAAAACTTGCATGGTGTTGCTACTTATTTTAAACAAAATATATTAATTTAAATGAAGTTTTAAGAAAAAATGTGTAGTCTAATATCTCATCATTTTGCATTTTAAAATTGATATTTAAACAAAAATAACGATGTACATCCTTTTGGAAAATATACTCAAACTTACAGCTGCACCCCCACTCCTATCCCCTAAAATAAAATGAAAAAAAAAAAACAACAACATGCAATTGATTTACAATTTTCAAAAAAATAAAAATCAAACAACATAAATGTACATTTCAGTTTAATAATTATTTCTCACATTTAAAATGAGATCGCTAATTAAAAAAGACGAAAACTATGACTGTTACTTAATGTATAGAAATTCACCATGACGAATGCAATGTTCATAAAAGATCCTTTTGTCTTAAAGCTGAACACTACTCATAAACATAAGTAATCAGAGATTACATAGCTCAATTCAAAAAATGATTACTTCAAGTAAGAAACGGTCTCACATTTAACTAATAATCAAGAAGTTAATTTAAGGTTTGCAGTAACTTGAGAATAGACATCCAAATACTTGAAACTAGTTGCCCATCAAGAAAATCACTCTCTACCATCGGCTCATACATTCACCTCTGTCGTTGGTTCGCGTATACACAGTTTTAAACACGAGAAATAGTGCGTTTGTTTTAATTCATTACAATTCAATTTCTATGTTTATGTCTGAATTTTTAGATAGATATTTACTAAATCAATCCAGAACTATTGATTTGAATTGAAACAATTCTTCAAATATCAAGTTTTATACGTTATGTCAAAAATCTTGACGTGAGCCCATTGCAGAGGTGTCTGAGAGAGGAACGAACGACAACTCTGCATGGGAGATTGCAAGAAAATGTCATTCAATCCACGACCCCTGAAAATGTTATCTTTTTAAGATCAACTATCAAAAATCGATTCATCTTCTTTTTCTGAAAAGTAAGTCAGGTCCTAAATGTCACCGTCTGGAGAAGACAATGGCAAGAATGAATCGGGATTGTGCTTGTTCTTCTGAAAAGTCTTTCATTCATACTTCATGTATACCTGTCAAAAAAAAATACAGTAAAATATATTTATAAATGATAATGTTCAATTTTTTTTTAACAGGTTATGTTTTAATTTATTGTAAAATAATATTGTTGTCTTGATTTTATGGGCACTTATAACATGTACTAACCATCAATCTGGATGTCTTTGATAGTTGCTTTCCTTAAATTTGTGAACTATATTCAGATCACAAATTGTGTGTTCAAGTCATAGGTTTGTTCTTTCAACTTTATGAATGTCCGACGCATGATGGTGTTGCTGCAAAAATAGAGCGGCCTAGATCATCAAAGTTCCACTGATGTTCACTTTCAGTATCTGAACTCTACAAAGGAATACAGAAGCAAATGTTTATTTATATCACATACAAAAATTCCGAGTTACTAATTAAAATTCATCGAAATTTATTTAAAGCATAGTTGTCATGTACTGTGAACTACTTTCTTATATTGGTTAAAGGTGAAAAAGTACAGTCAAACTTGTTTTAAGCTTTGGGAAGTCCAGAAACTAGCCACTTAAGACAGGTGGCCTCTTATTCCAGTTTGCCCAAGAAGTAGCCAGTCAGTCAATAAATAAACAGCAATAACCACTACAGTTGATTTATCTAAACATGTCAATTTCACAAAACCTTTGTATGTGTGTATATATATATTAATCCATGCCTATTTAAAAAATATGAAATTAAAGAATTCCAAATTAAATTTTTAAGGTTTTGTTCATAAGTGTTCAGAGTTCCAGAAACGCACCGGTCCACCGGGGATCCCCGGTGAACTTTGAATGGGACCGGTAAAATCTTAATTTTATTGGTCAAAATGTCCGATGGTTTTGTTTTTTTTACAGACTGTATAACCTTTACATATAATCTTAACAAAATCATTTAATTCAATTGTCCTGACAATAAACAAATGCAAAACTAAAGGAATGAAAAAAAAAAACGTCAGGGCATCGCCAGATCTTGTTTAAATAAAATGTAGACGTTGATTGTCTACTATAAAAAGCTACATATTAAAATAATAATTTCCATAAGTCTGGGAGGAAAAACAGTTTTAAAAACCCTGTCAACAAATATTTTCCATGATAAATATATGCACTCTGTAGTTCTGACAGTAAAAAAAAAATGTGACAATCTACTTTCGTTTTGAAGGACGAATTTGCAGGGTTGCAAGAGTGCCTGCTATTTCTGCTTGATTACAGACAATTTGTTACCATTTATTATTTTCTCTATAATTTAATCTATTAGCATGATAATATTACACCAACTTCTGGATTTTTTCTAATGTATTTGATAGCATTTAAAATACAAGCGCGTTTTCCCCCTTTTCTAAAAATAGCGGATTGACTTGAATGTAGTAAAACGACAACAAATTCACTTAAAATCATCATTTTCATGATAAATTTGCATATCTTTATATCATTAGTACATATTTTTAACTGTATGGAGGTTGTATAATAAATTTTAACTAGTCAGAAATATCGGACGTTTTACCAGGCTTTTTAAAACGAGTTTGATATTTTACGTAATATTTTTCCTGGCACATAAAATACAAAAATCCAAAAGAAAAAAGCCTGGAAAACAACATATTTTCCAAACAATCAACCAAGAGTTGTCATGTTGCAGATTTTATTTTTAAAAACATTTTAAAAATCTGTCAGAAAGGACATAATAAATTTATACATGAATTAAGCGTTGGTCATCACACGCCTTCGGCAACGTCAAATCCTGCATACAAAGGCCATATACAAAATATTTCAATAATTTTTTTTTTTAATCTGCCATCTTTTTATTTACACATATCATTTATTATATCGTTACAATTTCCAATCCTATAATATGTTAAATTTACATACAAAAAATTAATGTCCGGTAAATTTTACAACTGTCCGGTGAATTTTGAATATTTACAAGACAATTGTCCGACATATTTTTGACTAGTTTCGGGAACTCTTAGTGTTCTTTTGTAACATTCAAATCATTCAAGAAGAAATACATGTGCCTTACTACTATCTATTTTTTAATAAGAAAAAATATAAAAGCTTTAATTAAAAGACAGTTTAATGGTGAATTAAATAAAGTATAAAAATTTATTTCAGTAAGTGTCAATAAAATTCATTTAAAAACTTCACTATAATATGTTCAGGTAATGATCAGCAGTGTAACACCCCCCCCCCCCTTTCAATTAATCTTCGATCAACTACTTTGCTGAAGTTTTTAAAGTCTGGTAAATTTTTAATATTATTTTTATAAAGCTGTCAGAATTTCTATCTAACATACAGACACACACAAAAAATTATTCAATTGACCAAAGATTTGTATTAACGCAGTTTAAAATCATTCTACTACAACACAGGTGTCAAGTGCACCAGAGCGTAACTAATCCCTATCGATCGTCTCCTGATGGTGAAATTCACGAGATAATCATGCTATACAAATAATTTGTTTTGACAAGAGTTGCAATTAGAGCTTCTACACGGAATCAAAATCTAACAGGTGTGAAAATACTGATAGACCTGTATTAGCTAAGTTACATACTCTCACTGTAAATATTCAAAGTAATGATGAATTAATATTGTAAATTACAAAATGAAGCTTTAAGCTTGAATTTCTTTAAGTTTAGCTATAGAAAAACTATTAATTGTGATTTAATTCTTTTAAATTTTCAATGGTCGATCTTGAAAAATAAGTACAAATTGATCTTACAGGACAATTATATTTTTTCCATTAACACAAAGACAGTTATATATACGTATCTAAAGGTAATTTGTTTAATTTCTTTAATAGGTGAATTTTTTTATCCGGCACATAATTACACAAGCGACTGTGTAAGCAATGTAACATATTGGGTATTTTAACAACTGATTAAAATGTCCTACACTCATTTATAAACATTGATTGTCATTTATCAAATTGATATACCACTAAATTTTACAACCTAATTATACAACCCCATGTTGATTCCTACTTGCTGCGAAAATTTATTGCAGTGACATTAATTCCATTTTTCCATTCTGATTTTTTCTCTATAGATTAAGGTACGATGACAAGTACATGTAAACAAATGTGTGAAGAGTAGATAAACAATTGGTACGTATCTAGAATGACTGGAGAGAGAGAGAGAGAGAGAGAGAGAGAGAGCAATTATACTACGAAACAGGATAAAATTAAAGCCAAAAATATTCAATTTGAAAAAAATTTAAACACGGATGATTTAAAAATTAATCGGAAGGGGCGGAAGAGGCGTGAAAAATCCAGAGATTTTGTCTCCCATCGGAAGAATCACATGTATTTATGTTATGAGATATCTGCATGTAATTACCATAGATATAGAGAAAATTCGAATTAAGAAAAAAACACGATCGTTTTTTGAAGTAAATAAGCCAAGTAGTACTCCAACACGGATTAAATTATGGAGATTTATTGACAGTTGGAGCATGTTATATGGAAAATTTAAATGGTTTGGATTTTTGTTGCAAAAAACGAGTGAAAATACGTACCAGGTGTGCTTTGCATGTATTGCACGTGTATAAATAATATTATCTTTTTTTACTGGCCAACGGGGCGACCCTCTTGCAGAAAACCACTAGCCCGACCCCCGGGTATCGGTCGATTTTCATTGCAGACCTCTGATTAAAAAAAGAACTATCAGTGCATTCATTATAATTTTTTTCACAAAAGCCCGTTTTCAATCGGTATGTGTTTATGTGGACTACAAGTGTCCTTTCCTTGACTTTAAATAAATTCTACAACTGCATAATGTACATATGAATCATATCAAACAACTTACAAAGCTTTTTTTCAATGTGGTGCAACAAAATAGTAAGACTTACTGCATTTGCTTTTTGTGTTCCGAATTTCCTCACTGCTAATACAAAATGTCCAAACACAGCTACTTCCGTATTCTGCGCATGCGCAGTTAGTTTTAAATATATGCGCATGCTCAGGTATTCGGAACTCCTCGATTCAATTACCGAACTCCTCTAAACAGCAGATTTCTGAATGTCTGAGCGTTTTGGGCTAAGGACATGTCCAAAATTTGGACAAAGTCTTTGTGAGGTTAAATCTAATTTTAGGTTTTTCGACCTCGTAGAGTAATTTTGAACGTAATTAGACCTCTTCATTATGGGGTTAACCCCACAGTACCCAAAAAACCCCACACTGCTGGAAAATACGTTAATTTTACCCCACAATGTACCTCTCGTAAGAACAGACAGACAGACAGACAGACAGACGGACGGACGCCGGACGCATTACTATCGCATAAGCTCTTCTGGTCTCTGACCAGTAGAGCTAAAAATTCCCAAAGAGACAACAAATCATGTTCATTCCAAGCCTCCGTCTATCAGTACTTTCAGTACTTTGATTCCAATTAATGTGACTTACACTGTCTGCTAGATAGATTTTGTACATTAAATGCCTACAGGAAACTGATCTCCCTACTTCTTATACTTTTCTTAGGATCCTGGGGCCTGTTTTACAAAAGAATGTACGCCTTAATTGCTAGTATTGAAATATCTTGTTTAACGATTGTAACAATTTCAAACTAATGTAAAATAAAAAGTTATGATCAAAATATTTTTTTTGTCTCAGTTGTCTTTGTAAAACAGGCCCCTGAGTCTTAAATCTACATTGTATTTTAAGCTGTGCTATTTCTAGAGAATGGTATTAACAAAAAGCCGGGTGTTTCTACTGATAAGAAACAAAAGAATAGAGAGTATTAGACCCTGCCTTGTGTTAATCAGACTGATGTAAATATCTGGTCATGAGATGACATTGGGCAGACCATGGGCTTACCCTAGAATTAGTGTTCATTATACATACAGTTGCCTTCATTAATACTCATATCTATTGATTTAAATGCAGCAAGGTTCTTTTTGACATAAGAACATGACAGAAAACTAATGGAAATATAACCATAAAAAGACCTGTCTGCTTGACATACTACAGTTAATTCCCCATTACAAGAATTTGCCTCATTTTGTATTCAATTTGCATAACTTATATCCTCTGCACTGCATATTGATCCTTTCCTTTGGTAAAGTAATTGCTGGAAACAGAATGTCTATTAGAGACAATGCTCTGTTCTGGAATTGCTGCATAATCCATCCTTTTTTTCCTACTGGAGCTGGGATGAATCAATACACACACACACAGCTCTGGGTTTATTCACTATTTATTAACAGAGGAACAATGCTAAATTAAATCAATTGTTTTTTGGGTATTAACAAAAGTAACATGAAAAGAAGTACTGAATGTTCATCGATCTCGTCTTGAAGTCTGCTATTCTGTTCATTCATCCCAGTCCATTTGATGATGTTGGACTAACATTATAGGGTAGAATCATTGGATGAGTAATACTCCCGATGATTCATTTCTCTACAGACCATGTAGACTATTACTTGCTGCAGTAACAGTGATTCAGCACACAGGCCAATAGTCTGACCCTATCTACGGTACATGTACTGGTACTTCATCTTTGCACACTAAACACAATTGCAATGGTAAGTATACTGCTCTAACTTACAACAGGTACAAAGGATGACCTTGAAAAATGTATGAATCTTTAATTTGAAAGTCTAAGATATTGAGTTGGGCTTAAAAAGCTTTTGTATAAATACAACACAATCATACTAATTCCGACACCTTCATCTTCCTGGGCTAACATTTTTACACAATACACCAAATTGTTTTAGTATCTGACATCTCTGCCCCTTTTCACTCAAGAAATGGGAATGCTCTCTGACCGACTGATAACCAAGAAACAATTTTCAGAGTGCTAAATAAATCAGATATTCACACAAGTTCTAAAGCACTAGCTTTCTGGTGAATTTGCTTTGTGGAATAATTTTTTGATGCTTAATTTTCCGGCTGTTATAAAATCAATATTTTTATAACTCTACATAGAGACAGCATCAAAGAGGGCTGGCTACATGCCAAGGCATCAACTGTTTCACACAGTCTGTTTCAGACAGAATTCTTGTAGGCTATCATTTATTTACCTATCTCTGATACAATTTCCATAATGACTTTTATCAGCAAGAAAAATCAAGAAATAAAAAACAAATTATCATGCAAGATTATTTACGTATGGATATTACCCTAGTACCGTACTTTCTGCAATCACATATATTGATATAAAGCTACAGAAAATGTAAAAATATAATTAAGCTATTATAAATTCAATAATTTTAATCAATTCGTAATGAGTTAAACTGTAATCAATACTCTAGGGGGCTCAAAACAATAGTCAGGAGTTTAGTTTCCACCCATACTTCAAGAGACAATAGAAATAATTCTGACTATTTGTACTCAGCATGTACAAGCATCACATTATCCATTGATTTTTTTTACCAATCTGAGGGTTCTGAAGCTCTACAAATTATCGACTGACTGCTATAATGGTGAATTCTGAGTAAATAGAAACTCTCATCCATAAAGATAAAGAATCCATTAATGAACCTTAGTTGATCAAAAATGACTTGCAGATTAACATTTCTGTTTACCGCAAAAAGACTGCTAAAAGGTTAAAACATCAAGAAGAAGGTCTATATATAAAACTTAATATTCAGTATAAGAAACCATATAGAAGGGATGTCAGTACCATGATTATCTATTTTCTGAATTTTGTATTTATTTATAAATCGTTATTGTCAAAACATCCTAAACAGCTGCTTTTCCACAATTATATCCAACATAGTTGAGTTTTTAAATGACTTCCTCTCCGACCTACACTCTGCTGATTCCCTAGGCTAATTACGTACGCATGAAAAATCATTATCAACATGAATTGTCAAACATTACAAGGAAACGGATTCAACAAATCTGGTAATTATTGAAGTAAGCCTCACATGTAGAGTTTTGAAAATTACTGAAATTAGGCCTCAAACTATAAATAATGCTGACAATGCACAGTTGAATTTCTCCAGTATCTACCATTTATTTAAGGTTTTTATTATGAGCTGTTTCCCTTGTTAAAGGATCTGCTTTATTTTTCATTTTATTACAATTTGAGATTTATGAACAATATTCCATAATGTCGCACATAAATGACATATTTAGTTTTCTGCAATTGAGACCCAAAAGAAGGATCCTCTGTATTGGAGAAATAAAGAGCACTGCAAAGTTAACTTTCACTGTCACATCATTATCACCTGAGCCCAGGTGATCACTGCAGATGTCTGACAGGTGTGGTGATTGATGACTTACTTTTCTCCTTGGGACAGCAGACATACTCCACCCCGGCGAACCTGTCGATGTCACAGTCCAGCAGCATGGAGAAGCTATCGATCCTCATCCCCTTACCCTTGCAGTCTGACGTGGCCCAGTCACCCCACTTCTTGTATGTGTCACACTGATTGTGTTCATGATAGAAGTGGCAATGTTGAGGGACTAAGAGAGCATCACTCTCAAATGGACCCACTATCAATGTCAAAAGAAAATTACAATACTTACTCACTGTGCTATATGAAATAGTGGTCACTGAATGGATTTACACAACATCTGTGATAATGTTCAATACATAACAATTAAAATTCTAAAGCCAACCTTGATATTTCAATCTTATTAATTTCAGGTTTACAAGCAAGCAAATAATTCATTTCTCTACTATGTAAAAGTTTGCAGTGTGCGCGAAAAACTTTTTTCAGCACTAGCCCAATATGGCCAGTAATGAAGAACAATTACTAGCCCGAATCAGATTTTGCTAGCCCACATACTTTACAATATGAATTTGTTGTCTCGCTTAAACCAGTCGAAATTCATATTTATAGACATAACCCAGCCATAACCGGAAGTAAATGCTGATGTGTATTTTAAAAACCGATTGCGGAAAGTTCTCGACATGCTTAAACAAAAGAAACCCACGCACATGTAAAACGAAAGGAAACAATCAGAATTCTTATACTTATTTTATTACTTTTAAAGATTTATCAACAAATAAATGTAAAATGCATGCAACTTTTCACTAGACCGATTGGGCTAGTGCTGACCTACATTCTACTAGCCCGATTGAATTTTTACTAGTGTTCGGGCATCGGGCTAGTCCTTTTGGCGCACACTGAGTTTGGTGTGGGCTGGGACTAAACTTTCTCTTTCCATGTCATATAAGTTCTATACATTAATTGATAAGACCAAAAATTTCAAGTATCCATATTATGTCTTAATTTTAGCTTGCAGAGCTACTGTCTACACTGATTGCAACTTAATATCAATCAAAGTTATTTTTTTATGATAAAAATAAGTATACAGTAATACATACCGACACATCTGTATGGCTGTACTTTGTGGTTTTGCTGGCGACCATGTAAATCTGGCCAGTTTTTGATGTTCACTTTATGGTCCTCAACAATGTTTGTAATGGTCATATTTGGGTACAGCTGTAAAGACAATAAGACAAATGATCAAAATTTGCATAAAAAATTGTACAGTTATTTGAATACATTTTACAGATTTTACCTGAAAAAAAGTTATCTTTGACTATCCTTTCCCACCCCCAAAAGGCACACTTTTCCAAATAATTATTTGGTGAGATGTTTTGGACCATAAATGGGAGAGAGGGCTTGAACATTTTGATTTAAGTTCTCAAAAAAGGGTGGAAAGCAGGGCATGCCCCTTGAAACCCCCCTAACCCCCCCCCCCCCCCCCCCCAAACAAAGATTCTTAGCACCTTCAAAGTAAAGTTGAAGAATCAAAAAATATCTGTATCAATTTGAAATTTTCTAATCTATTTTTAGTTTAATAAGAAGAAATATAAATAGAGGATATTCAATGTTTTGTGGTTAAATATGGAATTTATTTCACAAGTGGGACAGGTTTTTTTTATCTTTCACCATGTTCACTCGTGCTTTGCACTCGTGAAGATATCAAAAAATCCTGTCTCATGAGTGAAATAAATTCCATATTCAACTACAAAACATTGAATTTTTTTGTTTATTACAGTTTTCAAAATTTTTGATTTTTCCTTTGCCTCTGTCTTTTTGTAATACAGTGATAGGCTACATGACGTCATAGTTGAGCAGCTGAGACGTCATAGCTAAGTGAGGTAAAAACATTGTAAACTTGATTTAGCAACATATTTTTGGTAATTTTGGAAGTTTTCTTCTCTGTCAGAATAGTTGATTTATTTCTATTTATCTTATATCAGGTCAAGGAAGATTTTTCACAACACTATATATCCTTTATGGGAAGGAAAATTGAGAGTTTTGCTGCACTTCTGATATTTGTCACACTGTGAAAGGATATCATTTTTATTCAATGATTAAATTACAGTATTTCACAGGTAAAAATGTAATAAATCATCATATTCTCCTGGAAGGCCATGTGCAGGTTTAATACAATGTAGTACTAGGTACAGTGTATATTTTTTTCTCTGATATTTGGAGCTTGGCTATTTGAGAGAGAGGGGAAGTATTCAATCATATAAAACAGATTATCAGGTCTGAGTTTGGATGACAACCTTATTGATGCTTTGTAATGTCTCCCTACTAAAAAGTCCATAATTGTATTTTGTTGAATGGAAGATTTGTTTTTTAAAAAATAGCCATAAGCAAGTTGGTCAGTTATATGCATTTTCCAAATGTTTTTAATCACACTTTCTGTTAGCCATACTTTCTGTAATGTACTATGATTTACATGTTAATTCATTTCATTAATGAATTCTTGTCATTCAATTTGCAACCCAACTCTCTCTCTTTTTTTTTTAAATCTCGGTCAATTTAAACTGCCTTTTAACTCACTCCATTATGTGTGATGCATACCTGAGAAATGTCCAGGTGTAGGTGTTTGTTTTTTTTTTTCTTCAGATTAATCAGTATTCATTAATCCTTACAATCTGACAACAGCCATATTTAATTCCTTACAAATTAAACATGTTAACATCAATCCTTTGTGAAGTCTTCTTTACCTGTATAAAATTTTCTTTGTAATTTGATCAGCCAATTACAGGACACCTTTTATCCAGCATTACTGGGGATAAGACATTGAAAAGTTTCCTAAAAAATTAAGATGAACTTTTTCCCATCACATTTGTGTTTCTTATCTGTTAAATCCACCATGAGCAAATTTTTATTAAATGTATGACATTAGGCTCTTGGTAATCTCCGCTTTTTATAAAGGGTTTCTGTGTCAAAGGACTGAATATTAAAGAACCAAGAATGACTGGCGAAATTGGTTTTTATAAAAATAGTGATATTGAGATATTGAAATCATCTGATACACTGATAGAGTGAAAGTCATCTCAGACTAGACAAGACAGAAGTACACTGATATACCCCCCCCCCCCTGCAATGCCGTAATAAATTCAATTTATGCTCTAAAACACACACATAATGAGGTACAGATAAATTGAAGGGCATGGCTTGTTATATGATACCGGGTTATTCCTATTCATAAAATATACTTTATTCATGTACACCTGAGCAGCAGTATATACCGTAGTCCCATTGCACTCGGGATAGCAAAATCAATACGATCAGTGATCATGTGGAGGCAGTGCTAGTCAGCTAAGACTGGTCCCCAAATGTCAGATCAGGCATAATGTAATAGGTATCTAATGTCTTTTATGGTACTGAAGAAGTATCTGATCACTTCTGGTCTCCTTAGAGTAATATGGAGCATGTACTAATTACTGCTACATAAACTTGTATCTCTGTGTTCACGGACTCCATGAACCAAAATCTGATTGTAAATGCCAGAGGAACACAAGTTACAAGCACCTCAGAACATTACTTGTTCATTGGTTTGAATCCAGTTTGAACTGGCCAATCAATTAATTGACTATTAATCAATTTTATGTGTCTAGACAAATAGAAAATTCGCAATAGCTAAACAAGCATGCAGATAAAACCACTATAATTATTTAATATTTATTTTGAAGTTTTCACTTAAATTCTGACAGAAAAACTATCAATTAACATAATAATGTAAATAAATTACGCAAATCTAATCACACAAGAGTGACAAAATAGAATACATTAGTCACATTCCCTCTTACTCCTCTGTTTGTTCCCCCTACTTCATTTGGTGCCCAGCAAATACCACAAGACTGATTAAATCTGCGCACCTGGGAATGCACCTTCATAAGGTATGCATAATGCTCCTAGTTACAAAAATGTTGTATGTTAAATCCATCCCTTCCATTTTATAAAACCTAACTTCAAAATACATGCATTGCATTCATTATAAACAAGCCTGTTATTGACTTCTCAAATTCATAAACACAAATACAAATTGTTTTGAACTTAGTTGAGGAACTGAAGGATCTAAGAACATGGTTCAGACTCAGAGAGAATTAGGGTAAGAGGAGCTGGACAGTAACTGGACAGTTAATATAGTATTTTTTGCCATACATGTATTTACCTTTTGACAGTATTGAAGAATCTCCTTTGGATCATGAAGACAGTCTTGCTTGGCGTCAGCCTGCCAGCCCATAGGAGAGGTGTGCATGGTGGGTTTGTTACACATAAAGGCGACCATTGGTACAAACTTATAATCATGATGCTGGAAGTCTGTGTTTGCTGCCAGGGACTGAAGAAATAAAAAAATTTTAAATTTTTAGATTAAGAGATCTATATAAAGATAACCAATAAATCAACATATCTATACATACAAAATAAAATATTCAAGCAAACAGCCTGTCTTGGTCACCTGTCACAATCACATTCAATATAAAGAATTAATATGTAAAAGTTGATTGTTAACATGTAACTACCCCTTCCAAAAAAAATAAAGTTTAACCAGTATGTGAAAGTACTTTCATTGTACACAAACACAAAGAGCACTCCTGATGGTGAGGACAAGATACCTTTGGTCTATTCACCAGAATAACTAGGGTATGAAAACCTCTTTATAATGTGACATAGTGGATATATAAATCTTATGAGACCCGCATTCCTCACAATAAACTGCTTCATTCCACATCAATGTCCTTCATAGACTTCCCTTACAGGTTATTTTACCAATTGGTTACCATGAAAAAACTCTCTGAAATAGACTTGTCAACAGTGCAGTGTAAATTCTATACGAGTATGAACAGCAAAGAATGAATTTTAAAATGTATTCATTCAACAAGATTGCATTTTGTTTTAGATATATAAGGCCTTGAAAATATAAAGCCTTGAAAATCTCCATCTCATTTTACCCAACTGAAATCATAATTGTACATGTAATGCCCAAAATTTAATGTTTTTAAGTATTAAAATTGCTTCCACAAAGTACTCCCTACTTTGAAAAAAAAGGGAATTATCAAAGCTATTTCAATGAACAGTAAATGTAATATACCTTTCCCCTTTATAAAAAAGATAAACTTTCCCATAAAGTTACAGAAATTCTTCCAATTAAACATACAAGTAACCATAAAAATATGTTAATCAGTGGCGGATTTAAGGGGGGGCGCACCCGGCGCGCGCCCCCCTAAAATTGTCAAAGTTAGTGTAAATCAAATATGTCTACTTGGTAGACCTCATTTTCACCCTTCAAAATCTCTAGAATCCAGGAGCTTCCGGGGGCTTCGCCCCCTGGGCCCCCACCAGGGCTTTGGTAGACCTCATTTTAACCCTTCAAAATCTCTAGAATCCAGGAGCTTCGCCCCCTGGACCCCCACCAAGGCTTTGCCCTGGACCCACTGGGGGCCTCAAGGCGGCCCCCAGACCCCTTGCCTAATTTTGGCGCCCCCCCTAACTCCAAATCCTGGATCCGCACCTGTTAATTATCAATCATAATTCTAGAAATGACCACCCTATTTGATCTCAAAACGCAAATACTAGGAACATTGGAGTCTCAAAATTTTCAGGGAAATGTGCAGATTCCAAAGTAAATTCACTTATTCAAGCATTGATGTCATAGGGTATGAAGTCATATCCTTTATGCATAAAGGGTAGTCAAACAAAATAGATGATCAATTCCTGTCAAAGTACTTTGTTATTAATTGTTTTGAAATCCCAGATAATTGATACATGGAAAGTACAAGAGACTCTGTTTTACAATACATGCATCATTCGCCATTCTTTAACATAACAGGGGACACCTATTGCAGTCGATAATTTCAAGATTCATTTACCGGCATATGATCATGATGATAAAAAAAAAAGAAGATAAAATGAACTTAATTTCTTATTAGCAATTTTACTTTCAAATTAATTTATACAATCCAAACCAAAACAATTATTTTTTATTGATCACATGTCTAGAAATAACAGTTTTTTTGATACTGTAAGTGGTGGGTCTATGACAGGTGACCGAAAGACAACTCACCGAACGACAACTCGCCGACACTTTTTTCACCGACACTATAAAACTCGCCGATAAGACAAGTCACCGAAAGACAGGTCACCGACAGACAAGTCATGGACAGAATATAATACACCGACACTCACCGACATCATTTATAAAATTAAGAAAAAATCAAGTATGTGAATGTACGTTTCTTTATTCATTTTTTTTACATATTAAATTTGATAATTGAAGTTGTGTGCCAACCCCTCTAAGTACGGAATAAAGGAATCCTTTGTCCTTTCAACACAATCCTTTACTACAGTCAAAATTCTAGCATTCCTTTTTGCATCTTTTTTTTTCATCAAATCGCAAACTTCACCCATAATAACCGACCTTTTCACCATTTCAGTCCGCTTTTGTTCCGATTTAAGAGACGCAATGAATTTGAATATATCGGGATGTGCTACGCCAACAATACTGGCGAATCGTCTGTGCCAACCTTCGAAGAAATTATTAGTTCGTGGGTCTTGATTTAGAATTCTCTCATAGATACTCTAAGTCTGAGGGGGAAATTTTCCCGTTTTTTGCCATGGTGAATAATCAAAGGCCTGAAGGGCCTGCGAGTTGACTTGCTCGAGTCAATTGCACTTTTTCAAACATCTGGGCACTATACCTTAATATATTCAGTTTATTTTGCATCTTAAGAGATTGAATATTATATGTCTGATCCATGTTCGGTTCATAAAAAAAGTGTATATTGCTTTTCCTTTACATATACACGTTGGCACTAATGGGCTTCCGTATTATTTTGACTGGATTCTATAATGAATTTCAGCACATTAGCTGAAGTGGTCAGTGTTATGGAATAATTAGGTTAAAGATTCCCACAGCAAATCTGGATTCTAAAAATAGATTTTCAACAACAACTAGCTGCAGCTAATGAGATCAGCAGGTGTTTGTGTTAGGGGGTATTCTAGGTCAATTATAAATAAACTTCAGATGAGAAGATTAGATCCGCCTAACATACTTGAACATATATATATTCATACGCAGTAATTGTACATCAGTAATTGTACATTGTACAGGTATTTAGTCAAAAATTTCTTTAAAAGCATGAAGGCACAAATACTGTTACAGTATGAAATTTTATACAGTTTTTACCTCTTAAGTTTATACAATCACTCAAACCAAAGCATTTTTTGCTAGAACTATTATATTTGGCGTATGGATCACCTTGATGAATGCGTGAAAAATTTTACAGCTCTGAAACGGCTATGTCAACAGGGAGTAGCTCGCTACGCGAGCCAACTCAAAAAATAACACAGAAAACATTGCTTTTTATATAACTTTAATTATCTGAACACTTAACACACATCAACATACAGGTAAAAACCATTGTCGGTGAATTGTCCATTCGGTGAATTTGTACGCGTCGGTGACTTTCACTTTTGTCGGTCACCTGTCTGTCGGTGAGTTGTCCAGCACCGGTAAGTGGTGGTATATGTGAAGCACAAGTGAACTGTTTTTTCTTTTTCTTTTTCATGAAAACAGGTGTGTCAACCATGTCAAATCAAGTAACACTACACATTCTTCATCACTAAGTCAAGTTTTTAATAGTTACCCTTTATCTCCCATTAACTAATCATTTACAGGATAATAGAGTGATAACAGCTGTTTATGGGGCTTTCCAAGAAGTAAATCACTGTTATGATCAACCATTACACTGAGGGCTGACCAGGCAAACTCATTTGTCTACCATATTAATGTACACTTTTCTGTCCTACAGTTACAAGCACAATAAGTAATGGTTCTCACACAGTGTTTTACAAAAAAAAAAATGTTAACAAAAGTAAGGAAAATAGTGCAATGACTAAAGCAATATACCTTTGTTAGGACTAAATAGGTTATTTACATTGTTTGTTTTCCTCAATTTTATTCAGATTAATTAAGAACTCAAGGTTTTAAGAATGTTCTTTTTATTGCATAAGAATTTGAGTTATTGTGGAAATAATAATTTCCCATGAAATAAGCAGTTAAATTGATTAGTTCAATTTTATAAGCTTAAATCAAAGGCCTGAAGGGCCTGCGAGTTGACTCGCTCCAGTTAATTGAGCTTTTTTCATACATCTGGACACCATACCTTATATTCAGTTTATTTTGCATCTTAAGAGATTGAATATTATATGTCTCCATTTTCGGTTCAAAAATAAAGTGTACTGTAAATCACTTTTTATTCGCGAGAACTTTATTTTCGCGTAATTACGCGAGACAGTGTGCTCGCGAAAATTTAAATTCTCGCATATAATAGCGTTTCTTAAGATTATATAGAGCAAGAACTACAATTCGTGAAAATTTTGTCTCGCTAATCAAGAGTCAATGACTATCTCGCGAAAATAAGGTGTCGCGAAAATTTAGTGATCTACAGTATTACTATATTGCTTTTCCTTTGTGTGTACAGGTTGGCACTAATGGGCTTCCGTACATATTATTGTAATAAGCAGCACTGCAAACCTTGGATTCCATAATGTATTATTTAAGCACACTAGCTGCAGTGGTCAGTGTTATTGGGTAATTAGTTTAAAGATTCCCACAGCAAATCTGGATTCTAAAAATAGATTTTTCAAGCACACTAGCTGCAATTAATGAGAGCAGCAGGTGTTTGTGTTAGGGGGTATTCTAGGTCAATTATAAACAAACTTCAGATGAGAAGATTAGATCCGCCTATAATGCTTGAACATATTTTCATACGCAGTAATTATACATCTTACAGATATTTAAACAAAAATCTCTTTAAAAGCATGAAGACATAAATAATGTAACAGTCTGATATCTTATGCAGTGTTTACCTCCTAATTTTATACAATCACTCAAACAAGAGCATTTTTTGCTAGAACTATCATATTTGGCGTATGGATCACCTTGATGAATGTGTGAAAAATTTTACAGCTCTGAAATGGCTATGCCAACAGGGAGTAAGCTTGCTACGCAAGCCAACTCAAAAATCAGTTTTGAAATTCTTGATGACAGTGGTATTTTAAAAAACTTTTTTGATGCCTGTAAATCTCTATTCATTTAAACTTTTCTGTCACTTGTCCATTGTTAATTCAAACTGGAGGTTATTCAAAAATTAATCAGGTCTCTTTTTCATTAAAAGATTCAACACATTCTAATTTCCAAAGAAAATGGCTTTCTTTTTTAAACATTCATATGTCTTTACAAGTGTGGCAGTCAGACGAGTTTGATGGCCTGTTGCCAGATAGCTCAGTTGGTAGTGCATCGGATCAGAGATTCAGGAGGCCCGGTTTGAATCCTGGCCATGGTGCGCTGCATTTTTCTCCTCTCAGTCCTCTTACACATGATTCCTATCACTAACACTAACAGATTGTAACTGGAAAGGACAAAATCTAAGACTGAACGGTCTTGGACCCTGCATCTGTAATGGTTTGGGCCGTGAATATCGGCTTGGATAGCTCAGTTGGTAGAGCACCTGATTCAAGAAACAAAAAAAATGTTTTAATTCCAGCTATACATTTTCTCCCTCCTGTTACACATCACTGGACTTACACACCACAGAGCTATCCTGTTCAACAACTATAGTTCAAACAACTACATTCCTCCCTTCTGCAGCAACTACTGAGTTGTCTAGGCCAATGTCCATGCATGTTAAATTGTGGCCAAACCTTTACACTTTTGATGAATTTTATACAACGGCTTAAATAGTTCACAGGCACCTGACATTTTTTGTAGTCACTAAATAAAGCCATATATTAACATTTTATATATAAATACACAAGGTGTGCAACGCCATTGACCCCCTCCTCGATACAGACAGAAAACACAAAATTGGATATGCCTACCGGTTTCCGTAAAAGCCCTTGAGTTTATTCTATCATACACACAGATCCAATCCTTTAGACTATCTCACAAATAAACTTAAAATTCACAGGTTATAATGTTAACAACTAAAATTCAAGCAAACTTCGAATTTTTTTACCGGTCCTTCGCCACCGGTTACATGAAGAAAATTACACCAAATTTAATATATAAACTTTTTAATACAGCAATTATAGATTTATTTCATTGACAAACAAAAATAGGAAATAATAAAATATCAAAGGATTATATTGTTTGTTATCCTTGTTTTACTTAACATATGGTTGATTAATTTATGTATTAGAGCATTTGGTGTAAAGATTAAATTTGGTAGAGCACCTGACTGAAGATACTGGGGTCCCAGGTTCGCTTCACGGTCCAGCTATACATTTTCTCCCCTCCTGTTACACATCACTGGACTTACACACCACAGAGCTATCCTGTTCAACAACTGTAGTTCAAACAACTACATTCCTCCCTTCTGCAGCAACAACTGAGTTGTCTAGGCCAATGTCCATGCATGTTAAATTGTGGCCAAACCTTTACACTTTTGATGATTTTAGACAACAGCTTCAAATAGTTTCATCTTAAGAAATTACATTCCCTTTATTCTTGTACATAATCAATATCTGTCCCAACATTCGATTTTTTCTGATAAAGAATTGTATAATTTTCTATCTGAACAGTTCTGGTTAACTGCTGAGAATAGAATCTTCTACACATCCACAATACCTCTTACCCCCCCCCCCCCCACCCCCTTTTCACCATAAAGAGACTACTGGTACCTTTGATTTAACAAAGATGAATGTAGTTATGTATTCAAACTCAAATCTCATCACATTGATCTTTGTTTTGTTCTTTGTTACGTTGGTGATAACAGTCTACTATATCTAACATTAAAGACTGATTGGTGACATTACATGGTGATGACAGTCTATAAATATATTCAACATGGACGACACATTCCTGGGTCTTAGACCCATTCAATGCAAAGAAAAAAACTTGGTAGGAATTCGTTAAAACTCGATAATATTCACCTCTATATAGCCAACACTGACCTGGACAAACACACAAACGCAGGCTAGCACCGATGGAAGCGTGAGCTGCCCCATCCTGGAAACAAAACGAGAATTGTCCGCTTATTATTCCTTTCTCAGTGGAAGTCACAGATTACTGAGCCCGACGAAGTGATGTCATGAGAAATATCGGAACTTTTGATTGGCTGATTCTTCTCATAAAATATGATAATATTTATCATAATTAACTTATAGAAAGATCAATTATTTACAATCTTAAAGTGATTTTTAGAAGTAAATTGTTGAAATTTTATGATATTTCAATTTTGATCCATATTAATATCAAAAGATTATTTTCTAATAGAAAAGTTAGACAATGAGCTGCGGTTTATGCATACAAATCAACCAATGAAAAGTCTCGTTCTATTTGCCTATTGAATGAAAAAACGTAAACAAAGATGGAGGGAAGGGAGACATGTGCGACCACATGGTGCATCAAAACAAGTGATTTTTGTTCATTTCTGTCTCGGGAATGATAATATTTTAATTGCATGTAAGCAGTATGTTTATTTGTGCTTATTTCAATCTTTCTTTATGAAAATTTAATTTTAAACGACTTTATATATATGATAGTGACTGTGGCTTATTGATGATGCATTGCTATGTTGGTTTTGACAGCTTTCTGATATTACAGATATCTCATGGATATAACTAATTTTGGAAGTCTTTGTGTTATCTTTATGTTAGTATCACTAGCTTACCTGCTGCGGCATTCACTTTAAAAAAAGTTATCACGTTTCTAATGAAAATCTTGTTTCATTTATGCAAACAGGTATAGCTGCAATAAAGTAGTCCTCCTATTTCTTTAAATGTGATATTTTCTGGAGAGCCCCCCCCCCCCCCAAGGGAGAGGTCTACATTATTGCAGCTAAAACTAGCTGCAGATCTGTAGCTCTCCGAAAACATTATATTGATAGACTGGAGAGCTACAGTGCCACCCATTGAAAAAACTGTATATTTATTGCGCACAAAAAAGTGCGCTCAGTTCTTAATTAATTCTTCCAAATTCTTCCCTCAATTGCAAATAAGGAAAGATTTCTAAAAATTCCTTTATCTTCTATCAAGTACTCTCGTAGTTGACATCTGAACGAAGCATATTGGACCGAATTATCTTTGAAACCAAAATGGCAGTATAAATAAGCAAAATGTTCAATGCTGTGATTACAATATCAGGGTCAGGAGGACTATTAACAACAATTATGAGGAATGTTTGGTTGTGGAAACAGCGAAAGAATATGTTAGGAACACACGGTTAGTAATATTTTGAGATTACAGTTTTAAAAACATGGAGAAATAAATCGAGAACCGAGCACACTTTTTTGTGCGCAATAAATATACAGTTTTTTTCAATGGGTGGCACTGTAGCTCTCCGGTCTATCAATATATTTTTTTTGGAGAGCTACAGATCTGCAGCTAAACTAAAACATGTTTATCTAGTGCATATTTATAGGTAGCTCTTTAATATGCTGGTCTGAAAAAATTAGGATGGACAGTCACAGTCAGTGCCACCTATTGCAAAAAATGTATAAATACTATAAAAAGTGCACTGTTATCACCTCATCCCCCCCCCCCCCCCAAAATGTGTTTGTAACTTATAACATATTCTTTTATTACATGTACTTCTACAATAAAAATGCCATCTTTGCTAGCTTAGAGTCTGATTCATTTACCCTTATCTTAGAAATTAGGGTAAACAAATTGGACACTTTACTAGTGAGTACAAGTCATGCACAAAGTGCATTAGACCAATTATCTTGCCACTTGATATAGAAGTTTAAATAGGTGAAATTTTTGATGATCTCAATTTCAGGCCCATGAGGGCCATTAACAATATTTTTTGGAAATGTTTTGTTGTGGATAATTTAAAGGCGAGGAACATACGATTAGTTTAATTTTGATTTGGTAGCATAAATAAACAGAGAAATATATCAAGGAAAGAGCACAGCACACTTGTTGTGCTCAATAATTAAACACATTTTCAATAGGTGGCACTATAGCTCTTTGGTCAGCCATCCCAATAATTTTCAGACTAGTGAGCTAGAAATCTGCAGCTAGTATATATGTCTTTTGAATAAATTATTTACATTTTAAAGATTTTGAAGAGTCATAACCATTGATATGTACATTTATTTTACAGAGCATTATCCACACCTAAAATTACAATCATGACAGGAAGTTTGGGAGAGAGACAGCCAATTGCTGAATCCTTTCATTCAGCAGAGGAACATCATGATATATGCAGCAGAAAGCTATCACTGCTGGGTAGATTCCCAAAACGATACATAGTGGGCATCATGGCATTTTTTGGATTCTGTAAGCTAGTTTGAACAAAACTGATGTATTCTAATTTTATGATAAACTCTTTTATTATATACCTAAAGTGTATCACTCAGTTTTACTGTAGATTTAGTGCAATCACGTGACGTCATGATCCGACTTTCCGGATCACCACACTGTGGTTTTCTGAATCCATATATCACCACTCTCTCAAACTGATGACGTAGTACGCAAAAATATGATGTTATTTTTCTTGTGCGTTAAAGAGTCCCTTGTTTTTATGCTTTGTTTTATGGATAAATATTATACAATTGATCTCTATAGTTTTATTTTGCTATATTTAGCTAGTTGTAAGGGGGTATATAATAAATTTATCATTATAATAGTAACTTGATCCGAAGAGCCGTATCACGTCTCATTGACAGGCGCGGATTATCAGATCAAACGAGACGCAAAGCGTCTCGTTTGATCTGATAATCCGCCCCTGTCAACTCGACGTGATACGACCCTTTGGATCAAGTTACTGTTATAATAATATATATATATATACTAATGTTATACTTGATAGCCATTTACTTGTAGGTATTAACAATTTTGTTTTAGAACACACAGAATAAAAATTCAATAAACCAAAATTTGATTTTTTTCCCAAATACATTGTATATGATAAGAGGATAAAGTAGATTATTTGAATACAATGGTAACTGGTATTTTTCTGAAAAAAAAATTGCTTCCTGATCTTGAAATAAGGCCTTCTGGTTTTTTTCTTCAAATATAGCAGAACTGGCTTTGAAAAATAGATAGATCGTATGTTGAGGAATTAAATAATTGTGCTGGCTTATTTGTTTTTTTTTTTCATTTTGCTTACAATGCAGCAATATTTTTCAGGTAATATTTATGCATTAAGAGCAAACCTGAGTATAGCTATTGTTGGTATGGTGGCGAAATACAATGTGACAAATGAGTCTACCATAGTAAGTAAAAATAAATAAATAAATAAACAGTATAAATGCACCTGGAATAAACTATGATAAAAATTTAATATGTTAATTAATACAATAGAAAATAAGAAACCATTAATTATTGACAGAAGATCTGACGAGTTATTTACAGAGGAAACAAAATTAATTTTGCCTTCTGAAAAGTTGAGTTATATTTTTAATTAGACTTGCTCGAGTTTGACAGATTTTTCTTGACATGATGAGTGACTCTTGAGTAATTGTTTTGTTGTTGACAAGTCGAGTGATTCTTGAGTAATTGTTTCAGCTGATTGAGCCTGGCTTCGACTGGAGCAGTAAACAGCAGGGACTCATTCTAGGAGCTTTCTTTTATGGTTATATCTTCACCCAGCTGCCAGGAGGTATAACAAATAAATTTCATAACTGCAGGTTTTATAGCTTTAATTGTTTTCTAGATTTAACATATATAGATTGAACATATTTTCATCATTAGACCAAGCTACAGAAAAGATTTCTAAAACATATCAATTATAATTATTTCTGCAAATAGACAGGCTAACCAAAATAAAAATTAAATTGTTTTGTAATTTTTTTCCATATTGGCATATATTTTTGCAGGTTTTCTTGCCAATCGATTTGGAGGGAAGTTTTTGTTTGGTGGAGGGATATTTATCACTGCAGTGTTAACAATCCTTACTCCTTTCTGTGCACAACAGAACATTGCTCTCCTGGTCACAGTGCGTGTTCTGGAGGGTTTCTGTGAGGTCAGGCCTGTCAGTATACATCTTTAAGTATATCTGTTAGCAGAAGTCCACTTCACAAAATGATAGTACTTGTAGGTTCTTAGAATCATAAGGAGTGATTGAATCACAGTGTTGGCTGGCAATTAATATGTCCAATGTGTAAAAATATACTGCAGACTTTTTTTTAGTTGATCTTGTTTACCTGTGTTTGAAAAATTGAAGTCAGTATTTCATGTACCTGAAGAGCAGAAATGCACTTTTTTTTAACCTAAAAATTCCTAAATAAGCCTTCTATAATTGACATATTATTTTTAAAGGGAGTAACTTATCCCTCCATCCATGCTATTTGGGCCAAATGGGCACCTCCTCTAGAGAAGACCAGACTGGTAGCTTTTGCATTTTCAGGTTTGATTTCAATTTTATGTTAATGGAAGAATGTTTTACTAATGAAGAATAATGATTTTTAAAAAACCCTGATATGTACAAGCACTATAAATCTGTTTCTTTTATAGGTTCCTACATTGGCACTGTCTTTGCTATGCTGATATCTGGGGGGCTATTTTCTGCTGGATATCAATGGCAGTCTATCTTCTACTTGTTTGGTAGGTTTACACCATATCTGCTCTGTATAACAGGTTTATGTGCAATTGTTATCTTTATGTTGCTTTTTATGGTAAATGTGGACTAAGCATTAAGGACATACACAATGTAATTTGAATTTTATTGTCTTTTTTAATGGATTTGAAGAGTTCCAATAGCTAAAGGAACTGTGTGCTACATTTTAATGTATACAAATGCTGTTGTACACTTCTTCTAAAACAAGTTTAGATAAAAAAAATCACCTAGAAGATATGTTTACTAATTTTAATGTATTTTTCTTTGAATTAGGCAAGACTTTTGGTTAATTGATATCTTTTCAAAACAACCTGGTAATGCATGCTGATTTTTTGCCTATTAACATCTGATGGCACTATGATCATGATAATGTTAAATTAGGAATCTCTTGAAAAATTATCAGTATGTGAGGTATGTTGCATATGCCATTAAAATGATACATTTTCATTACATGGGAAAACATTGGTTACAAAGGAAATTTGAATAAATTATGAGATTAGATTCATCAGAGTTCAAAATCTAAAATTTTCCCATTAATTTCATGTAGCACAAAATGTAGACTTCATTTTCACTTTACAACATAAAAGCAATAGATTTTGAGGCCATTTAAATGTACTCAATGCAATGTGAAAACTCAAGGTCATTGATTAATGCATGTTAATGCCTTATACACACAGGTGCTTGAGGTCATAACTATCATTTTCTGTCTTTGTCTCTGACTTGGGTGTTATATTTTTCACAATTTTTTAAGAATTCCTGATTTTATTACTTGTAGGTAGCCTTGCTATACTGTGGTTCGTATGCTGGTGTTTTTTCATTGCTGAAAGTCCAGCTAAACATTCCACCATTACAGACACAGAGCTGGACTATATACAGTCCAGTATAGGGTACACAGAAGAACAAACAGAGGTAAATATACACAGCATGTAATATATACAGTCCAGTATAGGGTACACAGAAGAGCAAACAGAGGTAAATATACACAGCATGTAATATATACAGTCCAGTATAGGTTACACAGAGGAGCAAAAAGAGGTAAATATACAGAGCATGTAATATATACAGTCCAGTATAGGTTACACAGAAGAACAAACAGAGGTTAATATACAGTTAATTCTCGATAAACCGCCACCTTTTGTAATTTAGAAATCATGGCGGTATAACGAATTTGGCGATGAATTGAATTTTCCATCTTTTAGGAAATAAGACGTAGAGTTATCGTTCCTAGAAATACCATTTAGCGTTTCTATTCTTATTATCACATGTACATGTATAATATATAAACATATTTCTAAATTTGAAAATACTTCAAGTAACTTTTTATGTACAATTTCGCTAAAACAAAGTATTCAGTTATGAAATTAAGACAAGTATATGTGTATGTATGTAAATTTGCACGTCATATATTGAAAAAAAAATGCTGGGTCGATCGTCGTGATATATTGCCTAAAGTACGTAAAATAAGTTCTTGAATAAATTCATTGTTTATGAAATCATTGTTAATGAAACGTTCACAATTTCTGACTTATAATTATTTTTTAAACAAACCTTGCATTGTTTTTAAAAGCAGAGATCATCAAAATAATATCGTTATCGGCGTACTTTACAACGACCGCTTTCGTGGCGAAGCCTTGACTAAATGATTTTATTAAACAGAAAACAAAATTATTCTAACAGTTCATGTTAAAATCATTGTTTACTTAATTGCATGTACCTTAACTGGCTTTGCATGCTTTACAAAGGGATAGCGTCAACCAATTAGACGCGCTTCACTGATCACATACACCTGTGGCGGTATTATCGAGATAATTGACACTTAAAAATGGACGTTTGTTGTGAAAACAGGGTGGCGGATGGCGGTATGCGAATTTGGCGTTATAAAGAGAATTTTATATAGCAAGAAAAACGTTCTTGGGAAATCATGGCGGTATTGCGAAAATGGCGATGAATCGAATGGCGATAATTCGAGAATTGACTGTACACAGTATGTAATATATACAGTCCAGTATAGGGTACACAGAAGAGCAAACAGAGGTAAATATACACAGCATGTAATATATACAGTCCAGTATAGGTTACACGGTGGAGCAAACAGAGGTAAATATACACAGCATGTAATATATACAGTCCAGTATAGGTTACACGGAGGAGCAAACAGAGGTAAATATACACAGCATGTAATATATACAGTCCAGTATAGGTTACACAGAAGAACAAACAGAGGTTAATATACACAGTATGTAATATATACAGTCCAGTATAGGGTACACAGAAGAACAAAAAGAGGTAAATATACACAGCATGTAATATATACAGTCCAGTATAGGTTACACAGAGGAGCAAAAAGAGGTAAATATACACAGCATGTAATATATACAGTCCAGTATAGGTTACACAGAGGAGCAAAAAGAGGTAAATATACAGAGCATGTAATATATACAGTCCAGTATAGGTTACACAGAAGAACAAACAGAGGTTAATATACACAGTATGTAATATATACAGTCCAGTATAGGGTACACAGAAGAACAAAAAGAGGTAAATATACACAGCATGTAATATATACAGTCCAGTATAGGTTACACAGAAGAACAAACAGAGGTTAATATACACAGTATGTAATATATACAGTCCAGTATAGGTTACACAGAAGAACAAACAGAGGTTAATATACACAGCATGTAATATATACAGTCCAGTATAGGTTACACAGAGGAGCAAAAAGAGGTAAATATACACAGCATGTAATATATACAGTCCAGTATAGGTTACACAGAAGAACAAACAGAGGTTAATATACACAGTATGTAATATATACAGTCCAGTATAGGGTACACAGAAGAACAAAAAGAGGTAAATATACAGAGCATGTAATATATACAGTCCAGTATAGGGTACACAGAAGAACAAACAGAGGTAAATATACACAGCATGTAATATATACAGTCCAGTATAGGTTACACAGAGGAGCAAACAGAGGTAAATATACACAGCATGTAATATATACAGTCCAGTATAGGTTACACAGAGGAGCAAACAGAGGTAAATATACACAGCATGTAATATATACAGTCCAGTATAGGTTACACGGAGGAGCAAACAGAGGTAAATATACACAGCATGTAATATATACAGTCCAGTATAGGGTACACAGAAGAGCAAAAAGAGGTAAATATACACAGCATGTAATATATACAGTCCAGCATAGGGTACACAGAGGAGCAAACACTTACAGAGGTAAAAAAAAATGTTTAGCTGGACATCTTTAGATCCCCTGTTATGTGGGTTATTGTGACTATGATGTTTATTTTGTTTTTGTTCAGAACTTACTTCCACCCTGGCTGGACATCTTTAGATCCCCTGCGGTGTGGGCTATTGTTGCTGCTCATTTTGCTGAGAACTGGGGATTCTACACTTGGCTCACAGAGCTTCCCAGCTTCATGAAGTATGCTCTGAATTTTGACATACAAAATGTAAGTTTATTTAAATTTAATGATATATTTAATATGCATGTTTCTTTTGTAAGCTCACCCGAACCAATTACAGACTCAAGTGAGTTTTACTGATTGAAAAGTGTCCATCTGTCTATCTGTAATATTTTGTTTTGTCTGTACACTTTTCAAGAGCCACTGGATGAAACAGAAAGATGTGAAAGCTTCATTACATAGAGTAGACACAAGTTTGTTCAAATCATAACACAGGACTGTTGAAGACACAAGTTTATGTAAATCAGTGTTAGGGTGGGACTGCAAAAAAGCGTAAAAATTTAACATAGAAATAGGAAGGATGTTTTGAAAATCCTTTTTTAGCATAGCTCATATTAAAGGTCAAATTCAAAGGAAATAGATATGCTTGTAACTGATTTATGTTGTAAATAAAAGTTAAAAAGAGGGAATTACAATATTCGTTTAATTTTAAACCTCGTTGTTTTCTGTATTTACCTGTACAAATATCACTAAAAATAACGCTCATTAATAGAGTTACTTCCCGTTTTTGTGACGTCATTCGAGACACTCGTCGGAATCTAGTTATATAAGTATAGTATATAACTACTCTTGATTATCTAAAAGAATGGTAAATTTTAGGGAACATAAATGTTGATATACCAGGGTTACGTGTAGATCTTTCAATTAAGAATAGCTAGGCTTTGTATGAAATCATACAAAGTTCTGACCAAGTATCATCGCAGAACCTAGCGAATGTACACTTGTGATATTTGATCGTTTTTACTCAATCACTTAATATTACCGCAGAGATATTTACAAAAAATGATTTTAAATATATTGTTCCTTATTCATCATACATAGATGGGACCAAGACTTTCACTCGTGAAAAATTATAGAATTCTTTTCTTTACATTTCATGGCTGTTTGAACAGGGGATACATGTACACCGGATTTTTAAATGTAAATTATACTTTAATAAACAATGAACAGATCAACAGAATTTACTGCATCATCGGATATGAATTTATCATCCGAGGGAATCCGAAGATCTTGCTATCACACTGGTGCTTTTTTTTTTGGGGGGGGGGGGGGGGTCGTTCCCCAAGGATTCTTTGACATTTTAAGAATTAAATATTTTTTGATGACATATCACAAAGGATTACAAATGAACAATCCAAATTTTAGCTTAACCTAGCATTTTACATACAAATATTCATACACTCTGATAATAAAACAGAACGTCCCGTTTCAGTATCAGAGGGTATGAATTTTCCCCGCCGTCCCCAAGCACCCGTGATAACGATACGTATGTCTGGAATCTTCATGCGTAACAATGAAATTTTTATTTGTCCGCCCCTCTCAATCTCCCGAAATGACATTTTCTTTGTTTTGCCCCCAAATGGAAATTACTTCCTACAGACATGCATTGCGTAAAATCTTTGTCATAAGGCCCTTTTATTAAAAAAAATATTTTAATATGAATTTCTTCATCCTAATTTATATGCTCTTTTGGTAACTATGACAAGATGCCGGTCAAAGAGAAAAATACTGCAGAAAAACAAATGAAGTGGACAGTAAAATATGAAGGAACAATCACTTGCGTGCATGAACACTGAAGTTTTTGATAATATTATAATAGAAAAAAGTGCATTTGCATGAAGTAAATAAAAGCATTCTTGAGAAAATATTATCGGAGACGGAAATTAAACTTTACATTTATATATACTGACAAGAAATGAAATCACCAACTCTGTACAAGTATATTATCCGAGGAAAATTGCCTTACAGGCACGAGCTATAGGCGAGGGGGGGGGTGCTTCCTGACCTTTTCATATTCATATTTTTAAAATTTTAATTTAAAACGAAATTTTGATGAAAGGTTAGTAACAACCCCTTTCCCGTTTTGTCACAGTAAGGTCATTTTCCTGCATCTCATTATACTAGTATTTCTTATATATAAGAAAAAGACTACCCCCTTCCATTTTTTTTTTGGGGGGGGGGGACATTTTTAATCAAGAATCTTTTTGGCTTGTCTATTACCCCCCCTCTTTCATATTCTGTCTGCTTCCCTTGCTCACCATATGCTTAACATTTATTTAGTTTGTTTAAAAGAATATAACATTTATATACACGATAAAAACATACAGATAGTTTTTTCTCTACCATTTTCTACCCTACGTACATTTATTGTACATCTCTCTTATCGCAGATTTCTCGGATGGGTATATAACAGCCTCGGTAACTTTCCGTCTTGTGCGCAGGCACCCGAAAAATGGTTGATGTACATCCACCACCCCCACCGAGACATTTTTGGACACGATAATTTCGATTTCCTCTTCAAGTGATAATTTCGATTTCTCTTTTCAAAAAAAATTCCTTGTCTATATCGTACCAATACTTTGATATTTGATACAGTCCTTCGGATGAGACCGTATAAACCGAGGTCCCGTGTCGCTGTAGGTGCTGCCAAAAAAAAAGATCCCTCCGTGCTCAATGGCCTTAAGTGCCGATCACAGGACAAAATTTTCAGCTTTCCGCCGGCAAATGATAGCGTCTTCATATGAGTGAAAAATAAATAAATAAATAAAAAGACTCAATAAATCGATATTTGATTATCATCTTCCGTTTTCTGTCAAGTTTTAGAAATTGTTCTTTTACGGTTTATGAAAACTACAAGTACTTTTTATGGCTTTGACAGCATGCTAGAGGTACTTTACGGCAAGATACATGTTCTTTTGACTTGGCGCCGCGTAATACATGTATGTAAATATACCAAGCACATATTGTAAAGGGACAATCTCTGTAACTTGACAAAAACGAAAAATATCAAGGTTTTCATGGTATTGGTATGTAGACGAGGAATTCATGTATATTGTCTTAGTTAAATTTTTAATAGGAGAGAGAGGGCAAAATTTCACGTGCCTCTCATCTTGTCTAGTACAGTACTGTTACTAAAATAATTCAAATAAAAATTTTAAAACCTTTCCCTTCAAACTGTATAGGGGCTTTAAAACCTATAAACTGAGAAACTAAAATACGACTTTAATTTTGAAATAAAAAAAAAAAGAAATCCGTCAGACATTTTATATTTAATTAAACTTTAGGCTAAACCAGCTACGTAATGCATCGTTTTTGAAAGGGGGACAGCCAGAGAAAACTTTTAAAAGTTGACAAGCAACAAAAAGGGGGGGGGGATTGCCCAAACTCGAAATCCTAGTAAGCGTAATGTTTGTGAAAAAATGGGGAGGTTCCCTCTGCATCCCCTCCCCTGTGGCTTCGTGCCTGTAAACTGAAAATTATTGGTCATATTTATAGCTTTGTATGTCACGTTTATTGGACTCAAAACCATTTTTCTTAGACGCTCAATTTAATATGAATACTAGTATTCTCCTCAATTTCAGGTTCGTAAACAATAAATAAATACATGTATACCCATATCTTGTCTCGAATTATTATTAAAGTTAAAAGCGCACATGAAAGCATTTAGAGAACAATAATTTTCCAAACCCGTCAATATAGTATGCACTTCCTATTTCATATTGTCTCTAATGACGTCATGCAACAAGGGAGATAAGCGATTTACAATAAATGATCCACTTGTCACTCAGGTAAGTTTAAACGACATTTATTGATGGAAATTGGTGACAAAAACTTAAACAGACCTCAGAATGTTATTAATATAATTCTAGAGGCTGATAATAATGAATAATTATGAATTTTCACATAAATATTATATTTGACCTTTAAACATGTTAGTACAAAGCATGAACAGGTAGTGCAGAATCAAGTTTGTACAAATCATGTTTTGAAACTTTTGATTATTAAACTAATTCTGCTTTTTTTCCCAGCAGTTGCCAAAGTATGCATGTGAGCCATATGTCCCTTAGGCATCATTCTTGTGAGTAAGATCAAAGTCATGAATTCCTTCAGTCACCTAGAAATTCTTGATTTGGCATAACTTTGAAGTGAATATACACAAGTAGTTTGCACTAGAAACAAAGTGTGCATTGAAGTGTGATAGGTAAAATATTAATCTGATATTTTTAGGATGGATATTTAGCAGCATTGTCCTATGCTGTGATGGGTCTGATATTTTTAGGATGGATTTCAAGCAACCCTGCACTATGCTGTGATTTGTCTGATATTTTATACGTAAACTGGATATATCTAGGTTGGATATTTAGCAGCATTGTCCTATGCTGTGATGGGTCTGATATTTTTAGGTTGGATATCTAGCAGCCCTGTCGTATGCTGTGATAGGTCTGATATTTTTAGGCTGGATATCTAGCAGCATTGTCCTATGCTGTGATGGGTCTGATATTTTTAGGTTGGATATCTAGCAGCCCTGTATTATTCTGATATTGGTTTGATATTTCTAGACGTGATATCTAGTGTCCCTGCACTATGCTGATATTGGTCTGATAATTTTAGGTTGGATATCTAGCAGCCCTGCCCTATGGTTTGATTTGTATTTTTTAGTTTCCTACTTGTGAAAGTAGAGGGGACTATAGGTTTCCTCGGCGTCTGCCTGTCAGTCTGTCTAGCTGTCCATCCTTTTGTCTGTCCCCGTCAGTTGTCCTACTTGGTTTTACGCACTTTTTTCTAGGCACTTGCAGATATTTAGCTGAATTTTGGTATGTGAGTGTATCTTGATGAGTTACAGATCAAGTTTGAAAGTCATTTCGCTTTTTTGATTTTTGACAAAATCATGGCATTTTAAATTTGTAATAAATTATTAAGGTTTAAGATCGGATTTCATGCTGTGCTAAATTCCAATGGTAAATATAAAGCGAGAAAAAGAAATTGAATAAATGAGTTAAATTTTCTTCTTTATGTGGATTATTTTGTAAGATTAAAGGCATTCACAACCTCAAAATCAAGCAGTTTTACCTTGGACATAAATTTTGAATATTATGAAATGACATCCTAAAGAAAAAGTGGAACCCAGTAGGGGACATGTATTGCTTATGCAATACTCTCAGAATGCTTGTTAGCTTGGATATCTAGCAGCCTAGTCTACTTTGCTAATATTGGTTTGATTGTTTAGCTTGATATCTAGCAGCCCTACACTATGCTGATATTGCTGTGATATTTCTAGGCTGGATATCTAGCAGCCCTACACTATGCTGATATTGCTGTGATATTTCTAGGGTGGAGTTTAGCAGCTCTGCCCTATGCTGTGATGGGTCTAATATTTTTAGGCTGGATATTTAGTACCCCTTCCCTACGCTGTAATTGGTCTGATAATCATATTTTTAGGCTGGATATTTAGCAGTCCTTTCCTATGCCATGATTGGTTTGATATTTTTATTTTTATGCTGGATATCTAGCAGCATTGCCTATGCTGTGATTGGTTTTATAACTTCATTTTAGGCTGGATGTTTAGCAGCCCTGCACTATGCTGTTATTGGTCTGATATTTTTAGGCTCAGGGATTTCTAGGCTGGATATCTAGCAGCCCTGCCCTATGCTGTGATTGATTTAATATTTTTATTTTTAGGCTGGATATCTAGCAGCTCTGCCCTATGCTGTGATGGGTCTGGTGGTGATGACCTGTGGTTTCCTAGCAGACTCCCTTTTGGCACACTGCCAGCTATCAGTTGTTGCTGTCAGGAAAATGTTTACATGTGGAGGTAAGAATGTACTTGTTCAACTGACAACATCTTTTGGAGAGTCATAGTCATCTATTTGTTTTGCATTATTCAGTGCTTTATTTCAAGTCTTAGTTATGTCTTTTGTACTTGACACAAACTTGCTTTCAGATTGGATATATTGTGTGTATTTATTAAAGATTATAGATAAGACTCACAGACCTTTTGACAAATCAAACTGGGACCAAGGACCTCTTTTAATGCCAATCTATGTCATAATGTATTATGGTATGATGATAATGTTTCTGTATACTATATACTAGTATTGTGTACTGTAATATACTAATGTATACTAATCCACACAGTTTCCCTAATTTTAGCTCAGGTGAAAGCTCAAGTGAGCTATTGCTAGAACAGGCAATTAAACTTTTACTTAAGTTATGATCATTGTATTTTGAAAGATAAACTATGTAGCATCATAACTGCAATGGTGTGTGGAAACAAATTGAGTAATGCGCTTCATGAAAATTTGTTTGCACACTCTGTTGCAGGTTATATCTATAAAAATAACAATTCATAGCTTATATATACATTCTTAAAATTTCGGCCTTAATTTACGGCAAATGTTGTATTTCAAAATCCATGTATTATCCTTCGTGTAAGGTACTGTTTTAAAAAGGAAGAGCTAATGTAACAGGTTCTAGTCAATGTCATGATGATTTTTGATTTTCCCTAAATATGACGAACTTCTTTTGCCATTGTTATTTGTGATATCAGAATAAAATGCATGCTTTAAGGGTCCTCCACACACCTGAGCTTATGTTCTCATATTACTGAGCATTACTAATAACAAACATATCCACCTTTAAAAACTGGCCTGGAATTAAAACATAATTTATATAGATTTTTTAAAATAATGATTTCACAAGTTTCAAGATATTTTTCCCATGGCGTTTTAATACCAAGCACCACAAATTTTGTCTTAACCTTTCGCATATTTTTAAGCTCACAGAATAACCATAAAAAAGCAATTTTATTGATAAAAGCAATTTTATTGATCAACATATTTTTTGTATAGAAATTTATTTAATTTATGAAAAATAGATAAAAACTCATTTTCTCTAAAATACATCTAGAGAAAAATGTATGAAGACTCCTTTTGTATAGAAAAAACATCAATGAATTAGATTACATAAAAAAATTTAATTAAAATTATCTTTAAACATGACTTATAATTTTAGCCTTCCTGAGCCAGCTGGTGTTTATGGTAGCAGCTGGATATCTGATGACCCCGGTAGCGGCCGTTGTTTGTGTGACCATTGCTGTGGGGCTGGGGGGCTTTGCCTGGGGAGGATTCAGTGTCAACCATCTAGATATTGCTCCACAGGTAACTGAAATATTTCTTAACTTTGGTTCACAAGGAACTACTTTGTCTGTTTGCTATACACTTTGGGGTATGGTGTTGCTAGAACAGTTATGATTTTAATGTTGCCTCATCCTTTCATAAAAATGGTGTACATTTGCTTGGTAAAAAGGCTGACAAACATATATATACACAATGTCATCAAATGTTACAATCAAAATATACATATCTTTAAAAACTGAAAATATTGTTTGGCATTAAGTTGCAAATAGAAAAAATGAGATAAGCACAAATTTGGTGACTAACTGAGCTTTTGGTCTTGAAGCCTTTACTAGAGTATTTATATTTTGAACAGATTCCGATACATAACTGATGGAGGATAAAAATGAATGTTCTGATTGCTTTTAATTCATAATTGCAGTATGCCAGTATTTTAATGGGAATATCGAACACATTTGCCACGATTCCTGGAATAGTCAGCCCTGGACTAACTGGTGTGATAGTCAGCAATCAGGTAATCTAAATTTTCCAAGTCATCAAATTCCTGCAATAGTTTAGACACTGGACACATATTGTACATGTTAACATATGCATTGAATATTGAACTTGATTGGATTTTCACCTCAAACATTTAAGGAATGACTCTAATTCTTGTCCAGATTATTCAATACAACCTGGTTTGGGTCAGTTTAGGCTTTATAATCCGCGAAGTGGATTATAAAAGAGCGTAAACTGACCCAAACCAGGTTATACTCGAATACTTTGGCCAAGAATTAGAGTAATTCCTTATAATTCAATTTTAAAATAATTAAACAACTGTGGATGTAAAATTGTGTTGCTTTTTATGAGTTCAAATTTGCCGCTCAGTAATACAAATGTAGTATAGTAACGGAAGTGATGGGAAACAAGAGGAGGTATAACTGATACACAGATCTAGTAGCCATGATGTTTGTTTAAACAAGATAAAATTGAGCTACTGTTTGAAGTTAAAGGTATATTTATTAAATCTGGAATTTTCCATGAATCCCGATGACTGGAAATGAGGGGATTGCATGGATACAGATGATTCAGCTGGTTGTCAAGGGGGTGTGTCCCCATACCAAACCAGATAATACAGAATAATCTGCATTCCTTTTTGCAATTTGGAAATCAACCAATGAGAGGCTAGAATACAAACAAAATTAAATTATTTGAGCTTGTTTGCATACATGCATTGCTAGATAAAGAGCCACAAAAATGCATAGTGATTATCTTGCATGATATGATACAAATAATATTTGACGTTTTTTCAGGCTTTTTTTTTACTATCTTGATATTTTATGTGCCAGGAAAACGCTAGAACTGGTGCCAGTACGAAAACTGGAAATTTCGCCATCTCCAATATGTCCAATTGCACTTAATTTTCGATACTTACAAACCAATTGTAATGCCGAATTCACAATTTATCAATAGCACAATTCTTCTAGTACTCACCAGTATGGAAAAAAACAAAACATCACTCCACATTTCAATACAGGACTTGCAAGATTTTGAAATGCACAAAATGAAAACAAATCTGGACAGTGTAATAAAATGTTTTCATCGAATTGTACATTTCATAAAAATATCATGAAAATGATGATGGTGAGATAAAAGATAGATAAGATAATATTTGTTTAAAGTCGGGTACATCAACAAACAAGAGGCCCACGGGCCTTATAGGTCACCTGAGTATCATGTAACAACTTTCCAGCGATTGTATTTGGTTCATGTTTTAAGCCAAAAGTTATGAAATTCACAAATTTTGAAAGAGGCACCATTGCTTGTCAAAGGGCAGATTTCAAAGCATTAATTTATTTTATCAGCAGCCCTGAAATTATCTATTTTGAAAGAGGCCCCTTTCTTCATTATAAGGCCAGCATTTTTTTTTATGTTTAGGTTTAGTTATGAACATGAGAATAAAAAAGTCCCGAAGGAGAAGGAAATAAATTTTTTTTTTGATAAATCAATTATTAACATTTGTACATTCTTTTTTTATGCTATCCTAATAGGCTCCTTACCACTGGACACATAATGCTTACAAATAGGAAAGTAGAACATTTAATTGCTTATTTCATCATCTGTCAGTTTGGGCCAGTTATATAAATTTTGTGATGTTGATCAAAATATATTTTAAACTAGAGCCGAGCTCATTGCAAAGCAACAAGTAGGTCTTCTGTTGGAGCTATGGACAGGAAGTACTGACCTTGGGTCAAGGTCACTGCACTTTCTTATGTGAACAACCTTTCTTCTCAGTATGAGCCTCCAGTGAATTTTAATTACAAAGTTATGCTTAAACATTTTTTTCTCTGTCAGTGACCTAGATTTGCTAGAAAGACCTTTGATCAGGGTCATGACACAACCTCCAATCATAAGTAATCTATGTTTCAAGTAAGAGCATCCAATGATTTTCATTTACTACTTCATAGCATGGGAAAGAAAATATTTTTTTCTGTCAGTGACCTTGATCTTAACAGAATTGGCTCTGTGTCAAGACAAAGCTTCAATCTGAAACAACTTTTAGTGATTCAAAATTCATAACTCTGACAGGAATTTTACAATTTTTTTGTCATTGGCCCTGAATTTGTTAAAATGGCCTTATTTTAAGTCATCTGAAACCGGCAGACTATAAACAATTTTTATCAAGTATGAACTTAAACAAAAATTGTTCAAATTGAAATGATACTATTTTCGGAGTCACAATCATAGAAAAATCCTTTTGTCACAAGCAATCTCTGTATCAAGTATTAGCAAAAAAATATTCTCGATTACTTATAAATGACTGCGACAAAACATTTATTCTTTCTCCAGTGACCTTCAATTTGCCGTAATATTGCCTTGATTCATGACACATCCTAGGATCATTATAGCCTGGCCTTCTGGGAAAAACTTTGAGGGACAGACAGACATCTGGACAGTTAAGCAGACAATTTAATTCCCAACCCATCCACCCTACCCCCTAAAATACTCAATCACTTTGTGGGGGAAACTCTGGTCATGATTTGAAAAGAAAGTAATCTTTTTTATATCAGGAAGCTTTCATAAGTATAGTTTCTCATTCTTGCAGGTTCATAAGAATAATATTTCAAAACGACCCCTTCTTATTTTACTAACCGTTTTCTTCATTATCATCATTTTATATCATCCAAGGTCGCCTGCATAGCGCACTGATTAGAGCGTCTGCTCTATAGTCGCGAAGTAAGGAGTTTATCCTTACATCGTGGGTTCGAATCCCACTGTGGGACGTGGAGGCCTGTTCTTCGGATAAAACCGTATAAAACAAGGCCCCGTGTCGCTTAAGGTGCTGGCACGAAAAAGATCCCCCTTCCCCCGGTCAAAGGCCTTAAGTGCCTATTATAGGATATTTGAAGCTGTCCACTGGCAAGTGCATGATGGCATCTCTATATTAATGAAATATTCTTGAGAGGGACATTAAAACATATCAATCATACCCCCCCCCCCCCCCCCAAAAAAAAAATGATTAAGAATTTTGCCTATGAAATATTTCGGAGGGTTGTTGAAAGTTTAGGCTACATACAACTATCAGTCCATTGAATAAGAATATTTATTTCAAACTTTGGGGAAAGGGGGTGGGGTGCATGGGGGAGTTATGGTGTATACGTAATACATTCGAGATTATTATTATTCCGTTAGACAGAAAGGCCCAAGGAGTTGTGATTTGCTGATCATGATCTAAAACACATTGACAAACCCAAACCACATGGTTTTATACACGTCTTTCCATTAATTTATTCATAATTATTTTCCTTGAAGGAGAAATGCATGGATAAAAGATAAAAGAAAATTACTGATGTACAATAGCATCCATGCATGGACTTTTAGTACTTACATATTGTGCTTGAAGTTGAATAAAATCAACAAATAAATTTAATTTAAATAAGAAAGGGGGGTTATGTTTAATAAAATAAATTAGACAATAATTGATACAGGGAGACTTTCTGTTAAATACATGAATGTACATGAACAAAATGCCTCTCTCTTGCCTTCTTTCGTACATTTATTTTTTTAAACCAGGAAAAGTAATGTGTGTTAGATATAAGTTCGTAATTTTAAAGAAAATACTGAGTTATATATGATAAACGATACAAATGGTTTGACTATGGTGCCGGATATTATTTTAATTGTTTAAATTAGGTTGTAAAGGTGTTTAATTACATAAGTTTTTGATATTCAGTAGCTGCAGATTGTTATATAAGTTCTTAAATTTTCAATTCTGGACATAGGATGCGAGTTTATTACTACTTACGTGTACATTGTATAACTTGGTACCAATATTTAATCACGGAACAAAATTACAATGTTAACACACTACCGGGTATACTAATCATTTACGGGATTTGAATAAATTATTTTACAAATTAAGTTCATTGCTTTCAAATCTTGAATTATTTTTTCAACTTTACTAGTATCGAACCTGTAATATACGTATGCATTGTGCAGCACAGAAGCCACTTATGAAGTTTACAAGTGCCGGAGTTAACTATCGATGTTTAATCCATTTCATTGACTATAATTCTATCCTTATGATTCGGAAGATTCTCTTTAAAAGTTTAAAATTGGTATAGACATGGTAAAAATCTGTGATGGAAAAAAAGTGTGTTTGGGAAAATTTGTGTTGAAAACGGATTTATTTGTGTGTGAAAAGGGCAAAGCTTATGCATTTAAATCAATATTGGTTGAAGTAAAGTAACCACAGATCGCTATAGTCCTTACGCAATGAATCGTCAAAATAAAAAGTAAAATTACACATGGAGCTAACGAACATTTAAAAACTGAAGACTGATGAATATGATTAATGTACTGAGTACATGTAAAGTAAATGTCCCAGGGTTTTGTGCTGAAGTCAAACGTAAGACAATTTAATAAGATTTTTTTTAAAGATTCGATTTACTTAAGCAAAATAATATTTTCCCGTAAGTTTGTAAATTAGACACGTCTACCTCCCGGCGAAATTAATGTCAACAAGCGATGGAAAGAATGGTTTGTCGCGTAATTGTAAACAAACACAAAACCTAGATAGCTGTTTTAGTTAAAATATGTATCACGTTCAAATTTAAAACAAAGTTAAGCCAACATATTAATCTCAAATATTCGACAATAAGAATTTTTTATTAATTGTCGTGTTGTAGAAAGGTTTTAATATATCAATTATTTTGCCTTCGACTGCAGGGTCAATGGATCACCATGGAGTGTCGCTTTAGATTTCTCGGCCGCGTGTAATCGACAGATAGATAACGTAATGGTAAACACACTTAGAATCTGTGTTCCAGGTGAATGTGAGAATCGAGCAATAAATAATGGCGTATTATTTGACTCTTTAAAAAGTTTCTATGAGATCTGGGTGTATATTGTTTTCATTTAAATTGTTTGTGTTCATTTTAAACAAAGAAAAGATACTCGTACTTCTATCACTCTCTCTTTCTCTTGGAAAGATCTTTATTAATAAAAAGAAAAAGTTGCCATCGAATACTCTGTACGGGAACCAAAAAACATGTTTAAAACCTAATCAAAAAAAAATATGATCAGCGTTGTAAAATATTTATTACTTATGGCATGTTTATTTCAATTATACGCATAAAAAGTTCTCCTTCAATAGCAAAATCAGAACGGTGCCATGTTTACGGATCTACCTTTCTTTCTTACCATACGTAAGACTCGAATAAAATATAATATTTTTATAGGATAGAAATAATATAAAGGAACAATTTATAATGGACAACCATATCAAAATATTTACCGTTTTTGAGTTATAATGCAAAAAAATTTCAAGGCCCCTAGATCCCTAATTTTAGGGGCCAGCCCCTTTTCAATGATATCAAATGAAAGCTCTTGCAATTATGCACAAATTTTATTCAATATGTCTTAACAAAATATTTTTAGTTTTCAAGATAAAAGGTAAAATATGTGTAATTTTTCGCTCTTTTATGCGTTCTAATTTTTGACCCCTAAATAGCGCCATTTTGAATAAAGAAATCGAAAAACAAAAACTGGCATGCACAACTTCAATCCTTCTGTTATCTAAAATCAGTAAAATTTCTGCTCCAGCTTTTGTGGTCTCTGAGCCTTTATCTGGAAATGAAAGCCTATAAATTTTCATTTAAAGGGAAATAACTCTAAAGCGGGAGTACATTTTTGAAATATTAGACAGCATTCTGATAGAGTGTATCGATGTGTATAATATCTAAAAATTTGAGCAAAATCCGTTGAGAAATGAGTGAAATATGAGGCCTCCAAGTTGGCGTCTAGGAAAAGGAAAAAAAAAAAAGAATAATAAGAATAATCTTAATCATCAGAATCAGTAGAAGGTCTTCCGTTGGAAACGGAAGACCTTAAAAATCAATTCTTTAAAAGTCTTTCAATGTATCTTCATTTTTTTAATATGTGTTAGGTGAATGTGTAGACATTGTTCTAAAATTTACTTGATGCCTAAAATTATAATTCCTATCATAAAACAGACAGGGAGTATTGGGGAGTAGGGTCAACATTTTTTCAATTAAGTGTAAAATGATTTTTTTGGCTGATACAAATGATACTACATGCCTGTATATATATTTGTATATTCTTGCCTTTTAATAGTTGAATTTTTTTTTATTTCTTCAGGTTATTGTTTATTTCTTCCTCAAATGGACTTCACTTCTCCAATAGTTTTATTCATTACATCTGATGCATAAGCAACCCTTTTCTGAAGAAATGTTGCTTAGACTGTAAGCTATAACAGAGACCTAAACAATGTCCCTGGCAATATGCAATAGCTACCACGGGCAGTTTAAAACCTGGGGGAGGAAAATAATTTACAGTTACTTTTGAAACGAATACATAATTATCTCACCAGCATGTCATTGTGCAACAAAGTCGTCAGCATTTTATTTGTCCTCTGAACGGGTGAAACGTTTTGAATGGCACTCGTATCAATGAATTTTACACTAAACCAAGCTATCTTCTCAGATCTAGCTTTATTTACCCGCCATTTCATCGTAAAACCGGAAGTGCGCGTTCGTAAATTTGAAATCTCGATCCCGACTCAAATTTGACAAAAATGTTTTATTTTTTTCTGAAAATTCAAAACCTTGAGCGAAAGGTTTGTAAAACTGAAAATAAAATAAATCCTGGCCTTAAATATGTAATTAGATCATTAGCATATTAACCAGGAGCAAAGGATAAGATGTTCAAAGAAATCATGCATTTCACTATATAATCATTAGAGCCCCGCCCTAACACCAGAACCCCTGACCCTGGGGCCATAAAATTCACAATTTTGGTAGAGGCACTCTTGCTCATCATAACTATGTACTTAGTTGGTTAATTTAATACCCAGAAGCAGAGAAGAAGATTTTCAAAGAATTCATGTATTTTCCCTATATAATCAATAGAGCCCCGCCCTAACACCAGAACCCCTGACCCTGGGGCCATAAAATTCACAATTTTGGTAGAGGCACTCTTGCTCATCATAACTATGTACTTAGTTGGTTTATTTAATACCCAGGAGCAGAGAAGAAGATTTTCAAAGAAATAATGCATTTTCACTAACTTCTTATTTAGCCCTGCCCTAGCACTAGAACCCCTGACCCCAGGGCCATGAATTTCACAATTTTGGTAGAAGACTCATTGCTGATTACAATCATGCAAACAGTTTGACTGCTTGATGTCCAGGAGTAAAGAAGAAGATTTTTAAAGATTGCATTGATTTTAGTGGTTTTGGCCCCACCCCTCAGGCCCCAGGGGGGCAGGGATCATGAAATTCACAATTTTTGTTCCCCTTCACCCATAGATGCTTTGTGCCAAATTTGGTTGAAATTGGTTCAGTGGTTGCAGAGAAGAAGCTGAAAATGTTCAAATGTTAACGCACGACAAACGGCGCACGACGCACAATGCACGACGAACGACGCACGACGACGGACGAAAACAGAGAGCAATAGGTCACCTGAGTTTACTCAGGTGACCTAAAAACATTAGCTCTGAAGAGCTATTTTCCGACTGAGTACTAAAATATTGTACCATTGATAAGTTGTGAGTTTGACTTTAATTCGGTTTGCAAGTATCGAAAATCAACCTGAGAATGCCAGGTAGCAATTTCCCTGTTTTTGTAATGGTGCCAGTTTTGACGTTTTTCTGGCACGTAAAATATTACAATTGTGAAAAAAGCCTGGAAAACATGAACTTGGACTAGAAGAGGAAATGCTCTTTTAATAGGAAATTATATGAATTAAAAACTTGACCAAATACCAATGAAAAGCAAGAAATAGCCCCATCTTTAATGCAACACTTTATATACCTTTCAGCATGACAAGAGTGAATGGCAGATTGTGTTTTACCTAGCGGCAGGAATCTACATAGCAGGGGGTGTTATATACGGACTGCTGGCCTCGGGCCACAGACAAGAGTGGGCGGAGGTTCCCACGGGGTACATGTCACAAGTGGACGAAAATATCAAAGATGATCTATGATGAGAGAATAAATATATAAAATAAATCACCAGAGGGGAGGAGAAAGGACGCCAAAGAGGAGGGGAATGGGTGTTCAGTGTTTACCTCAGGATCTCTGAAATTATGTCTAAAAACTTAATAAGTGTGCAATAGATTTAGCTTTAGTGAGAAAGTAATTTATCTGTTGTGGATCTGTATTTTAATTTATATGGTAGTAAATGTTTGGTAAACTTTTTTCTCAGCTAGTTTTATAAAAGAAAAACTTCCTGCTTAATTGATATCATAGTTCTAGTAATCAATACAATAATTATATGTACTTTTTAAAAAGTGTGTTTGATAAGTAAGATATTAGATATAACTCTATTTTTCTTTTTATACGCCCGTCTTAAGACGGGACGTATTATGTTATAGGCTTCCTGTCCATCCATCTGTCCGTCTGTCTGTTAGCTCTTTCGTTTCTGGCTCATAACTTTAATACTATTAGGCCTAGGATTATCAAACTTTGTCATCTGATGCATCTTGGGTGGAAGGTGTGTCGCGCACAAAAAGTAGGTCGCTCTGACTTTTTATTAAAAAGTTATAGCCAAATATGGAAAAATCATTTCCGGCCCATAACTAGAAAATTATAAGACTTACAATCATCAAACTTGGCCAGTTTATGCATCTTAGGTAGAAGGTGTGTCGCGACCTATTTTAAGGTCACTGTGACCTTTAATTTAAGTGAAATTTTAAAAAAAATGTTTCTTTTTACTATTCATTTAAGCATCCCAAATAATGTAAGAGTATTGCACTGTCCTTACTAAAAAAGTGTTAAATCAAGAAAATACTTAATTTTTAAGCATATACTTGACAGCAATCTATAACAAATATAATGTATGTTAGAGAAATCCTACCTCTCCCTTGAGAGTAATTATCAAGCACTGGCCAAGAAGAATTTTGATAACAGAAATTTGCATGTCAAATTAGAGAGAAATTAATGAGTTTTGAGTGTGAGGATTTAACTGATAGAGCATCGTGTTATCTATATCCCTTGGGTATTGGGCAGATTGGTAAGCCTGTTGGATTAAAAATAGCTCTTGTTGGCTAGCCTAAGTTTTAAAATGAATTTGATGAAAAGTAATTAAAACTAATTTGATATTGCATAATAGACTAATCTGATATGTATAGGTTACATCATAGAAGCCGAGTAGTATTGATTATATCGTTTCCATGGGGCGTGGAAATCGAGGGCGCGGAGCGCCCGAGATTTCCACGCCCCATGAAAACGATATAACCAATAGTACGAGGCATCTATGATGTAAGCAACTTGTCGCATGTCTGATGACGTAAATTTCAGTGAGAGTGTCAAAATTAAGAAAAAAAATATTAAGAATGATAAACTTAAAATTCATTTCAAGCTAGCTCTCCAACATGTCGGACGTTCTTAGTGAATTTGTCTTTGACTTTTTAACTGAGTTTGAAGATTTTGACAATTTATTTTTTAGGTTAGCACTCGACAAATGTGAAATCACAGAAGCAAATATCAAGGAGTTTAACGATATAAAGTTTGGAGATTTTTCCGTATCTTTCAAAATTTCAAAATGGATTAATCTTTTGAACGACTGGGAACTTTCAACCGAGTTAAATACATGTGTTTTAATTTAGTTAAAGGCTAAGAAATAGCTTAACATCTTCATTTTTCTGTAGTTATGAACTTGTGAAATAAAATTAGTTTTTTTTCTCATGACCTGATTTCTGCCTCCTGCAGTGATATATGAAGGGGCGTGGAAAGTATTATCGCATATGTGATATGGGATATATCACCACACAAAGATCAAAGAAAATCACCGCAGATATGCGACAATATATAATATTATTAATTTAAAAACTAATTCTTAAATATAGGGTGGGTGGAATCAGCATGTCCATATGAATTAAATATTAAAACCTGTCGGACATTAAATCTCAACTAAAAAATATCTTTGAATATTTTATATGTTTAAAAAAAAATTATGGTATATAGTGCAGACCCATTCATCTCTTGGTAGTAATGAGTAGACAAGCATCCAGTTAAAGATTAATTAATGAGTTCAATGTAGGAAGGCCATCTGATGAAGCAGTCTTATCTGTATCCTTTGGGGATTAGACAGAAGAAGTGCTGGTCAGTTTATAGCATATGTCATTTGATGGCCAGCTTTTCTTTTCAAAATTAATTTGGTATAGATTAAGGTGTTATGACTGATTTGACATTGTTAAATATGATTGGCATTTGACAAGGTCTAACACAACCAGCATAGAATGATGTAATATTTATTATAGTTAATGCCTATATCACAGGGAATGGATAAATATTTGAAGGAATGGAAAAATCATGGAAATCTTAGAATCAAGGTTGACATGATTTTCTTGCATGCTAAACTGTTCAAGAAAATTGTATTTTTTTGACGGGCGTATCATGCTGTGGCGCGGCGCTTTATTATTTTAAGTGAAAATAGAATATTTTACATACTCAGTATTCCATAATGGTATGATAGAAATTTCTGATTAAATAACCAGGAATTAGTATGATATTAAATCATTTTTGTGTCTTTAACATTAAAATACTGATTTGATACTAAAAATTTTGAGTGACATTTTCTTAGAATGTAAGAATTCATGAAACATGATCTATATATTTTTTTTATAGTCTTGCAGCATAGATAGACTTGTTATGTCTGGATGAGCTGGTTTATTGGTTTATATATGATAATGAAAGATTTTTACATAGGTACAGCTGATAGATAGTTATGATTAATTGCAGAGAAACAGAGACAGTGAAGGTTATATTAGTTATGCTATATTGTTTCTTAAGTTGATTGAGCATATTAATTACATTCCTATCCTTTTACTTTTAAAAGACATCATTCCTTTAGTATAAAGACAATCGTAATAGATTTTTTAAAAATTACTGAACTATCTGTATATTATATACTGCCCGTCAATGGAAACGCAACAACTATGTACCAATCAAGTTAGGACATCTTTTACTTTACCAAATCAGTTATTTAATGGTTGAATGGTTTTCATTCCATTACCGAAAGTTGATTTTTTTAGCCCTCTTAACAGCTAACATTTAAAAAAAAAACACCCCCCTTCTGACCATTTAATCAAAACATGCTAGTCCGCCATGTACAACATACAGTGTACGCAGTCCGATTTCTACCTTGCATTAGGTTTATCAATGTCTTTATCTGAGCAAAATAAATATTCTTGCACATTTTTAATTGCCTGTTTTTCAGATACTGATGTCGAATTTTCTCTAACTAGGCGCAGTGTATTAACCCTTAGACTTCCGGTCAATGAACTGTCATTCATGCTTTTGAAACACATGAGTTAGAAAATCGTTATGTAGCGTATATTTGCATCTGTAGCTCTACGTTTTCTTTATTTTGAGAATTTCCAGCATTAGCAATGAAATCCGTGCTTTCGGTAATTTTGAGGAAATACAGGAAATCACATCCGGAAAAGAAAGAAATATTTTTTCCCGGCATTTTAGTACAATACTTATGATAAACAGGTACAAAACCTTAAAAACCAAAATATTGTCAAATATTTTATCAAAATTGCTAATATTTGATTTCTGTTAAAAATCAACTTCCGGTAATGGAATGAAAATCATTCACCCGTCAAAAAACTGATTTGGCAAAGTTAAAGATGTCTATACTTTTTTTGGTACATAGTTATATCCTGTCCATTATTTTCACCCTAAATTTAAGGTGTTGTGTTTCTATTGACGGTGAGTATACATCTTCCATTAGTTACCTGTAAATTTGAGTCTTACCTTTCAGGTTATCTAGAATATGTAATAAGAGTGTATCAATAAAGGTTAATATGACCTGGAAGTACATGTACGTGAAACATGGCATATATGTACATTTTTAGTGAAAGCTAATTTGAGAGAGAGAGAGAGATGTTCTTATTATCATTGCCGGTATACGATCATACTGAAAAAATGTACTTATTACACTAAGACTTTTTCTCCAGGAACTTGACAGTGATATATTAATAGTTATTTTCATATGCTTCCTATATTTAAATTTTTGTTTTTCTCAAATATAGTAAAGTTGTCACATAAAGATACGAAATGATACAAGATTGTATACTAAGAGAGAGAAAAATACTTTTTACAGAATTTGGGCTCAAATCTGAACTAAGATTGGAAATTTTAAAAGCTAATACTGTTTTATTTTGTTTGAAAAAATCATATTTATTTAATATAGTTTGAAACTTTAGTCCCTTATTATTAATTAAAATTACATTTGAAAATTTCTTCAAAGTCTTTGATCATGATTGTGTAAGAATTATACCTAAATACATTGTTCTATAATAATTTTGAGAAGTAGAAAAGAAGATATATTTTCATATGCTGCCATTCCGCCAAAAATGTAGTCCCTGCTATTCTTCAATAGCAGTTGACCATTTCTATTTAAAGTTGTATAATATGTTGAGAAAAGAAAAATATGGTCTTTACAATCTCTTACACCAAAATATATAAGGCATAAAAGCAAATATACTTTTAAATTTATCTAGTCAGAAACCAGTGAGGAATAAAACAAAAATGAATTAGATCTGTTTTACTTTTTTAATTCAGAGTATTAGAATTTGGAAGACGCTGTGCCATCACAAGGTTTTTCATTTAATGAGCTGAAACATGCTACTACCTTTATGTCTATTAATATGGCATTACATTTTACTAATTGCCATGCGATATTCTGTGATTTCATTTATTACTTTTTTATTCAAATATTTTATCAGGTAAAATACAAATAATTCAGATCTATATAATTGTTTGACCTCTTGTTATTACATGTTGTTATTGTTATCTTTTATTGTTGATGTTGTAGAATTTTTTTTATTTTTTGAATAATTTATTTTCACACATGCAATATGTATAATGAAATTGTAAAAGTTATTTTTCATGATGATCAGGTGGAGGATTGATGATTTTGTAAAACTGTATATGAAACTGGTACACCAAATATTCTAAGGAAATGCTTGAAAAAGGAAACAGGTATTTTTGATCAATATTTTGTGAAATGCTTGCTTTAAGCAGTGTAATTAATAACAATATTATGATGTTGTTCATGATCTCAGTATTTTGCCTAAAGATTTTTGATGATTTTGTGGAGTCTGTAAATTAAATGTTGTTAAAAGCTCACAATGTTTTTGATTATCATTAATAAATCTATTTCTAGAAGTTGGACACATTTATAAAGCCGAATACCGAGAGTTATTTTCCTATGATTTCCTTCTAGTTCTCTAATTCTTCGTACCAAGAATTACCATAGCATGTTATTAATTTGCTTCATCCAAAATATTTTTTATTATATTCAAGAAAAAAAAAAACTATTGAAGATGTAATTTAAAAAATAAATAAACCTTTGATAAAAAATGGTCATCTGATACAGTAGAAAGCTGAAACGATTGATAATTATTTTTTATCCTAAAGTGAATTTATTTTTAATTATATATTTTTAAAACCCGTTTATGTTGAAAAAAAAATGTAGAAATTGATTCTTTTACATCACAATTTACTGTCTCACTCATACATGGACACATAGGCCTACCCCTAGAGATTTCTGAAGCAGGAATAATGTTAACTCCTGCCGTCCACAATACTTAGTCTCTAAATGGACACAAAGTCCTAGAGCTAAAAATAACGTTTCCTAAAGCAGGACACTAAACAATAGTCACTACGCTGCCACCAATTTTGTAACATGAAGCGGTCACCCGTCTGAAGGCTTTACACGCTCGCCTTTGCTAAACTTGCCAGAAATAGAAAAAGACTCTACAGTATTATTTATTGTATCTAAATTTTATCGATTTTCAGTAAATGTAAGAAAATAACTGTAAAAATATATACGTGTACATTATTTATTTACTTTTTTAATTGGTCAAATCGGTGCATGCTCCGACGATTTTTTTTTTAAGTTTCAAAATCATGAATATTATTAATCTGCAGGTGAACTAATAACTTATTTTGACTT